CCTCATCTGATGTGTTGTATTTCTGGAGCTCCAGCTCATCCAGCACCTCCTCTGACATCTGAAGCATGTAGGCGATTGTTGAGCAGTGAGCAGGAGAGAGTTTCTTCTCTGACTGTTTGTCTGATTTCACAAACTCCTGAATCTCTCTGGACAGAGTCTGATCTTTCACTTCCAGCAGACAGAGGAACAGATTGATGGATCTTTCAGTGGAGAGTCCATGTCCATCTCTGATCTTCTCTTTAATGTACTGTGTGCTTCTCCTGATGCTCTCTGAGCTCTTCTCTGTGTGTGTCAGTAGATCCTGGAAGAGTCTCTGATTGGACTCCAGTGAGACGCCCAGCAGGAACCGCAGGAACAGATCCAGACGCCCATTCTCACTCTCAATGGCTTTATCTACTGCTCTTCTTTGTAAATCATGCAGTGAATCAAAACATGCCTCTGTGGAGCAGGTTATGTGGTAGTAAAACACATAGAAAGCAGCGAGGAACTCCTGAATGCTGAGATGGGTGAAGCTGTAAACTTTCCTCTGCTGAATCACAGATTCCTCCTTAAAGATCTCAGTGCAAATCCCAGAATACACTGAGGCGTCAGAGACGCCTACGCCGCTCTCAATCAGGTCCTCCTCATAGAACATCACATTGCCCTTCATCAGCTGTCTGAAAGCCACTTCAGCAAGTTTGACAATCACTTCTCTGTTGGACTGCAGGAGTTTCTCTGGATCTCTCTCTTCATACTTCTGATTCCTCATGTTGATCTGAATCAGCAGGAAGTGGATGTACATTTCAGTCAGAGTTTGAGGGATTTCTGCACTCAGATCTTCTTCCAGGAGCTTCTGAAGCACAGTGGATGAGATCCAGCAGAAGACGGGTATGTGGCACATGATGTGGAGGCTTCTTGCTCTTCTGATGTGTGAGATGATTCTGCTGGCTTGATGCTGCTCACTGATTCTCTTCCTGAAATATTCCTCCTTCTGAGGCTCAGTGAATCCCTGAATTTCTGTCAGACGCTTGATGTATTTGGAGGGGATCTGATTGGCTGCTGCTGGTCTGGAGGTGATCCAGATGAGAGCAGAGGGAAGCAGCTCTCCTTTCATCAGCTTTGACATCAACACAGCCACTGATGAAGTCTCAGTCACATCACAAACTTTCTGAGCGTCTGAAAACATCAGTGTGATTCTGCTTTCATCCAGACCATCAAAGATGAACACAACTTTACACTCCTCATAAATCTTGGGCTCCAGATCTTCAAGTTCAGGATGAAAGTCCAGCAGAAGTGTGTGAAGACTGTACTGATGATCTCTGATCAAGTTCAGCTCTCGAAATGGAAGCACAAACATGAAATCTACATCCTGATTGGCTTTTCCCTCGGCCCAGTCCAGAATGAACTTCTGCACAGAGACGGTTTTTCCGATTCCAGCGATGCCTTTAGTAAGAACAGTCTTGATTTGCTCTTTCTCCTCTTTAAAGATGTCATTGCAGTAGATTGGAGTGTGTTGGGAGTGTTTTGTTCTGGCTGTTTTCTCCATCTGTAAAACCTCATGTTCTTCATTCACTCCTTCACTCTCTCCCTCTAGGATGTACAGCTGGGTGTAGATCCGGTTCAGCAGGGTTTGATTCTCATGGAGTTTGACTCCTTCAAATAATCTCTCATATTTGTGCTTCATGCTGGTTTTGTGCTTGTTTTTAATTTTCTCTAACATATTGTCTTCTGATTTTAATCCAATTTTTTTCATTTCAGGTGGGGTGATGGATCGGTTACTCATTACAGATACACAGCTGGACTCTTTAAACTCTAAATGCTGTCCCTTTCTCTTGCTGTTGCTGATAGGACACAAATTAAAAAAACATTTTTTTACACAATTAAATCTTAAATGCTCTTCTCATCTATGTGTATTTATTAACAAATAAGGAACCATGTGATAAGTGATAAAACAGTGGGGTACAAACTGGAATTGAAATAAATGTAAGAAATAGTTTGACATGTTTATTTAAATTTTTATATATAGAGAAACGAGCTGCATTAACCCTTTCACATGCAAGTTTTAAATACTCATGCTGTTGTCAGAATTTTTGCAGTTGAAGATGTGTACTTTAAACATGCTAATCGCACCGGTGTGATTGTACGTGTGAAAGGGACCCCTTTCACACATGCAATCACACCGGTGTGATTAGCATGACCAGAAAGGAATTAGTTCATAGAAATTAGTTGTGTGATTTTATCCTTTGTGAAAATTAACTTCAGACAATATGACCAGTGTCTTACTTGGGGTCAGAGGTCACCGATGCATCACTGAGGTCAGGAGGATACACCATGGACCAATCACTCTTCATAGACACACAGCTTGATTCAGGAGGTGGATAGCTCATTTCAGAAGCAGATTCCTCATCCTCATCCTCATTCTTCTTTTGAAGACTCATTTTAGTGTTCACCTTCTTGTATTTTCTGAGAGTATTGAAACACTGACAGACATATTGATGTGGAAACACAAGAGCTCTGTTGTTACAATGACCTTAATGTGGATGTCACAGCCGTATAATAATTCCAACCCATATGAACAAAGAAACAAAGGTCAATAGTAGGTGTTTTCCATACGGTTTGCTTCAGTTTTTGATTTCAGGGTCAGATTTCAGTGCAGTTTGGAATATGATATGTTTAGTAAAATCAACAGGACACTGTCTAATAAAAAAAAGACAAACTCTATAAGCAAAAGCACGAATCAGTACGATATAGAGACACAAGCAAAACAAACAGAGGTTTTCAGGTAGAGAAACTGAATAATATAGTCAAATATAACACTGCATCCTGTGCATAATCTTTTTAAATATTAAATGTTAAATATTAAATTATTTAATTTTTGTATATGTTTATTAACCCTTTGATGCATTACAGACAAATCTGTGTTTGATCAAGGAACAGTTTCAGTATTTTGCCTAGTAATATCTCTAATATACAAACACAGAAATACTGACGAAACAGTTCATAGTTCAGATACAAACACTGATGTTTATAGTAAATATCATTACCGATCTGCCCTATACACTGACTACACAAGGTCAAGGCTCTTCAATACCAGTCAAATCCCATCCTTTTCCAACCCTCTCCACCACACCACCACCTCCCTTGGTCCCCTGAGAGCTGAAAATCACCTCTGGTTGAGATTAAAATCAGTGTTTAAAGCAACTTGAAGCTCAAAATAAAAGTTGGAAAACAACCGGCCATCATAAACATGTCACTGAATAATTATTTAATAATGATACATCTGGTATTAAAATATTCAGGTTTATGACTGAGGTTTTAAATCATAACTTGATATGGAGACCTAAAAAAAAATATGTGTTGTTCTAGAATATTATAACATAAATCTACACATTTAGCATTATCAACAACAGTAGCAAAGATTATTTTAACAGTTTTGAATATTTTACTATTTATTTTTATTCATATTTTATTTTTAATTTAAAGTATATTATTAAACACATAAAAAATAAAGAATGAACGTCAACACTTCCCTCAGTTTATTTGGTTTACTCTAAGGATTAACTAAATATATGACTCGCATTTAGAATCAAAATAAAAGAATCAGAGGAATAAATAAATGCATTTTAAAAATCAGCTCATTTGTACATGACGTGATTAAATAAAGAATAAACTGTTTGCACTTACCACAGAATGTGTGTCTGACAGGTTTACTGCTCCATTAAGGTTTGAAGTACAAACAGAATGGCATCGTTTCATTATCTTGTTTGAGGTGTGTCTTCTTTCTTTTTAAACCGGACATAAAAATCAGTCTAATCTGCTCCACCTAGTGGCACTGAGCATCATCACAGGTTCAACAGCACTGCAGGGCTCACTATCAGGTCTCAATTTATTTTAAACTTCATTGAAAAGACAAGAAATGCAGAAGAAATGATTTCATACATCTTTCCTGATTATTCTCTCATATGTACACTTCTTGAACTATATGTTGTTTTTCTGCAATGTTGTTTTAACGTCTTACCAGGGTCAAAATCTATTCATGTTACTCTGTTTTACTTCTTTAATATTCATCAACTCAAATTCACTTGTGATTTTCTTTTTTCCATTTAATCAGTCTGAATATATATCAGTAAACCATTTATGTGCAGTGGGTTTATAAAACATTATTTGGCCAAATTTCATGTTCTTCTTTAATGTTGTTTAATGGCATTACAGTTTACTCTATATTATTTGCAAGCCTATTTAGCTTAACACGGAGACATAATGCTAAAGATTACATATTTAATGCAAGAGGAGAGTGGAGACACTGTTTCCATTTCCTTTAGTTTTTCATAGAGAGTTTTTTGTGGAAACCCCAAACTTTAATAAAATAAATCCCCATATCTATCAGACACCCACCCACACTCCTTTAATATGTTTGCATATGATAATATATGCAGGATTTAAACTTGAACAGACTGAGTGAGTTGCTGCTACTGACCCTGAGAAGGGGGATGTTAGCAACATCATTCATTCATTAATTTTCCGTCTGCTTACTCCCTTTTTTCACCAGGGTTTACCACAGCGGAATGAACCGCCAACTTATCCAGCATATGTTTTACGCAGCGGATGCCCTTCCAGCTGCAACCCAGTAATGGGAAACACCAATACACTCTCAGATGCACACACACATACACTACTTGGTTCATCAATTCCCCTATAGCGCATGTGTTTGGACTGTGTGGTAAATCGGAGCACCCAGAGGAAACCCACGCCAACACGGGGAGAACATGCAAACTCCATACAAAAAAACACCAACTGAGCCAGCCGGGACTAGAACCAGCGACTTTCCTGCTGTGAGGCCACAGTGCTAATCATTGAGCCGCCGTGTCACCGCTGCAACATCATTCAATACAATGTATTTCAATTAAAAATAAACATTCTACAACATCAGGTTGGATTTTTTAACAGAATAAATGTTAAATTGGCCACATAAATACAGACTAGTGAAAAAAACAAGCAACAACCATGTTTTGGTCAATTATCAGGCCTACAACAAATATAAAAAAATATATATTTCACTGAAAATCCACACTTCACCTTTACTAAACTACACTTTGAACAAACGTGTGTAGCTCTGTGTTTGTGATGTCGCAATCGTCTCCCCCAGCTGTTTTTTCAATCTGACACAGAGCGAGTGAGGAATCAAACACTCTGAACCCAGCGTAGAGGTCTTCAGTAAATGTGGTGTTAAATGTGTGTAAGTGTGTGAGTGTATCAGAGACACTGTAGAAGGATAGAGAGCCGGACGACACGTCCACATACACTCCTACTCTATTAGACAGTGGTGTAGAGGTAGATAAGCTAGTGCTCACATTATTGTGCCAGACAGTGAATCCATTAGCAGAGCAGAACAGACTCCAGGATTTATCACTGAATCCAAACCGACAATCAGTCACTACATTTCTGGCCATTTCTTTATACGACACTGCTATATGACCCCAGCTGCTCCATTCAGCCTCCCAGTAACAGCGTCCAGTCAGAATCTCTCTACACAGAACCTGAGGATGGCGCTCAAATCTCTCTGGATGATCAGGATATGCCTGACGCTCCTCCACATATGTGATCTTCCTGTTCTCCTCGGATATCTGGAGTTGATTGTGCGCTGTGTTTGGATCCAGCGTAAGCTCAACTGCATCTGAACACAAGAAGAGGGTATGAGATGACAATTACAGCTGTACACCAATTAAAATGTACTTTAAGCCTGACACCACTGATTATACATGAGCATAAGTTGGACAAATCATGCATGCAAATACAGTGCACATAAAGAAAGACAGAGTGAAAAAGGGCAGAAATGGCCTACATTTTCTCAGTCCTGGGGTGATTCGGAAATATGCAGCATGGTCCAAACTAGAAAGGAACAATGAATCACAAATGAATAATGGCTAATGATAAATGTTTAACAATGCATTGCCAAAAGTTCTGGGACATCTTCCTCTAGATCCACACAAACTTCAATGGCATCACAGTCCTAATCCATAGGATTTAATAAGCATGGATCGACCTTTGCAGCTATATTAACTTCCTCTCTTCTCCGAAAGCTTTCCATAAAGTTTAGCAGTGTGCTTATGAGAACTTCTGACCATTGTTGACCTTCTATATTCTTACAGAAGGGCATTTGTCGAGGTTAGGAACTGATGTTGGACAAGAAGGCACAGTTCAGAGTCTCCAAATCTACCTAAATGTTTTCGGGTTGAGGTCATGACTCTGAGGTGAGATCCAGTCCAGTCCTCCAAACCAAAAACACTCACGAAATCTGTTCTCACAAATTTGGGAGCATAAGTTTGTTAAACTAATGGCCCTACCCCAACCCCTAAAAAACAAGCCCACATAATCACATCATCATTTCCAACTGGGCATACTCATCCCGAGGTCTTCCGATTATGCAGAGTCACTGATTGGATCCAAGACCAGCGACGAGATGATCCCAAGGTGTCCATATCCGGGACCAGGCCGTATCCTGAGCAGCTGCTGCTGCGTTGTTGGTCATGGGGGAGTGGAGAGTATGAGACTGATTCCACTGACGCTCCAGGGACAGACGAGTCTTCGCTGAGGCCAGCTTCCAGCCTCCACTGCTGAGACTGCAGCTTTGCACAAGACTGTTGGCCAGCGGAGAAATTAAAATGGTCGTGCCCAACAGAGTCTGGTTCTCTCAAGAATTTTTTTTCTTCAGTCTCCTATTGGTGAAGTTTTTTTTTTCCCTCTCTGCTGTCGCCACTAGCTTGCATGGTTCAGGATCTGAAAAGCTACTCAAAAATGAATTTGCTCTTCAGTGTTTGGACCCTCAGTAATGGACTCTCATAACCCCCTCGACCAAACATTACACTTGACACAATTCAGTCAGGCAAGTCTCATTCTTTAGACACTAACCAAACCCAGACTTGTCCATCAAACGATGCTCAGGAGTCAAATGCGATCTCTTTACACCAGGGGTCACCAATCTCAGTCCTGGAGGGCCGGTGTCCCTGCAGGGTTTATCTCCAACTTGCCTCTACACACCTGCCAGGATGTTTCAAGTATACCTAGTAAGACCTTGATTAGCTTGTTCAGGTGTGTTTGATTAGGGTTGGAGCTAAAATCTGCAGGACACCAGCCCTCCAGGAGCAAATTTGGTGACCACTGCTTTAAACCATTGCATCCAACAGTTTTCTGTGCACTTGATGATGATGTATGGCAGGGGTCACCAATCTCGATCCTTGAGTCCTCTCGGAGGTCCTCTCGGTCACCACACCGTCCTGGGTGTTTCAAGTATACCTAGTAACACCTTGATTAGCTTGTTCAGGTGTGTTTGAAAATCTGCAGGACATTGGCCCTCTAGGAACAAGTTTGGTGACCACTAAGGCAGCTTCTCGCTCCAGGAAACCCAGTCCTGGAGCTCTTTGAGCTTGTCTGAAGGCCACTTAATGGTTGGAGGTCTGTAATACTGTGTGCCTCAGCAAACATTGACCCCGCTCTGCGATTTTATGTGGCCTACCACTTTGTGGCTCAGTTGATGCTGCTTCCTTTTTCTTCCAGTTTGTTATATTACCACTAACAGTTGTGAGTGGAATATTAAGTAGTGATCTCACAAATAGACTTTTACTAATGTTGGTAGAAGCATCTGCATGCCTAGTGCTTGGTTTTATACGCCTGTCGCTATGGAAGTGATTGGAATACCTGAATTTAATGATTTTAAAGGTGTCCCAAAGATGTAGGCAACATATATACTTGTATATAATTAAGTACGATTAAAAGCACATTTCTAGAATAGCATTCCCTGACAGCCCCACATACTTGAGTATCTGCAGTGTGTAGTGTGGATCCTCCAGTGTGTGTTGGAGCAGCTGGACTCCTGATTGTCCTGGGTGATTGTAGCTCAGATCCAGCTCTCTCAGGTGTGAGGGGTTTGAACTCAGAGCTGAAGATAGAAAACCACAGCCTTCCTCTGTCACCATACAGCCAGACAACCTGCACACACAAACACTGGGGTTCAAATTTTAAGACAGTATTGAATCTGAAGCTTTAAATGATCATGACACAACATGAAACTCAAACCCCAGTATCTCCAGCTGACAGTTTGGACTCTTCAGTCCATCAGAGAGCAGCTTCACTCCTGAATCCTGCAGGTCATTGTTACTCAGGTCCAGCTCTCTCAGGACACAGTTTGAGGATTGAAGAACTGACGACACAATTTCACAATCCTGAGCAGAGAGATTACAGCCAGCAAGACTGAAAAAAAGAGAAGAACACACAGTAAATAAATTTCTCCCAAAAAAATTTTTTAACACTAACACTTGGTTAAACACTCACAGAGCTCTTCTGCAGATGCTGACGGCTGGTATCAGTCTTCTTCTGCCCTCATCTGATGTGTTGTATTTCTGGAGCTCCAGCTCATCCAGCACCTCCTCTGACATCTGAAGCATGTAGGCGATTGTTGAGCAGTGAGCAGGAGAGAGTTTCTTCTCTGACTGTTTGTCTGATTTCACAAACTCCTGAATCTCTCTGGACAGAGTCTGATCTTTCACTTCCAGCAGACAGAGGAACAGATTGATGGATCTTTCAGTGGAGAGTCCATGTCCATCTCTGATCTTCTCTTTAATGTACTGTGTGCTTCTCCTGATGCTCTCTGAGCTCTTCTCTGTGTGTGTCAGTAGATCCTGGAAGAGTCTCTGATTGGACTCCAGTGAGACGCCCAGCAGGAACCGCAGGAACAGATCCAGATGACCATTCTCACTCTCAATGGCTTTATCTACTGCTCTTTTCTGTAAATTATGCAGAGAATCCAAACATGCGTCTGCAGTGTTGCTTACGTGATAGTAAAACACATAGAAAGCAGCGAGGAACTCCTGAACACTCAGATGGATGACAAATAGAGGCAAGTTTAAAACTGAGAATTGTGATTGGCATCTGTTTTATTGTTCAGCGGTTGAGGCTACAAGGCAAAACATTTATAGTTTGTAAAAGTGTGTTAGCAGAATCAGTTTAGCAGCAATAGCCTATTGACAGAGAAAATAACCCCAAGGACCCTGTGTCAATTTCCTAATAGAGTTATCAGATTTTTATTAGAAAACTTTTGTATAATTAAAACTGATAAAATACTAATTGTAGGAGACTTCAACATTCAGGTAGAGGACACTAATAATACATTATGATGTGCTTTAACAAATTTATTACAATCACTCGTGAGAAAGAAAAACGTCATTCGTCCAACACATCACTTGAAGCATATATTAGATCTCATTTTTGTCTCAAGGAATTGAAGTCATTGATGTAGACATTATACCACAACGTGATGATATTCCAGACCACTCTTACTTTCAAACTACATAGCTACAAACAACCTTGATGTAGTAACTCGCATGGATGGATGCTACCTTTACTAGCACACTAAATACTGTGGCACCCATCAAAATAATAAAAGGCCACAGAGACTAATATGGCACCATGGTATAATAGTCATACTCTCACTCTCAAAACAAGCAACACTTGAACGCAAGTGGGAAGAAAACTAATTTAGAGGTTGTACGAGCCATTTGTTTATTTTATTTAAAGGTTGACTCTTTCACTGGTGTTTTCCCATGATTTATTTTCAGTGCAGCATTCACTTCAGTGACGCCGTCATCTACATCAAAATCCTTACATTGTAGGCCAAACACCTTGCACCATACACCGAACACCTTGCACCATACACCATACGGCAAACACCGTAAGAGCTTGTATACAAAGAGAAAATGAAACCAAATGTAAGCAAATATGAAAACCGTATACAAACAAACAGACATTACTTTAACTCAATATACAAATTCAATACAAACAAACAAACATATTAAACGAAGTGTCAGTACCTTGTTCTCCAATCAAGCCAGAAGCTTTAGTCCATAGCAGACCGCACAGATGAGACGTCATGATCATGTGCGATCTTTCTGTGTGTCTGTTTATATCCGTAATGGTAATTCATTCAAAATAAAAGACTTCCGCTTTTACAATGAACACTTCGTAACACAAATACCAAAAATATCAAATATACATATAAAGAAGAGAGAGAGAGAGAGAGAGAGAGAGAGTGGGTGGGTGGGGCCTACTGGAGAAGGGCCTGCTGGGAGCACATGGTCTTTAGACCTTACCTTAAGTGTTTGATGGCCAAATTTGTTTGATTTACTTTATTTCATATCAGTTTTTTGTTCAACAACTTCTGCAGTAAACGGCAACAAATGAAGACTTGATGTTTTATGTATTGTTTGCAAAGGAAGCGTCTAAACCCCTCAGCAGACCCAAGATGTGACTAATCTGAAACCTTGATCAAGGATAGTCACAACAGAGGTCTTTAGAACTGCGTACAGAGATAGTGTTTCCATCTATAAGAGGGCCCTAAAGTCCGCCAAGGCTGAGCACCTCTGCAAATGGATAGAAAATATTCATAACAATCCTAGATTTGTATTTAACACCATTGATAAACTAACAAATAATTGGTCACCGTCTAAACAAAATTTTATGGCAATAACAGGGCTTAATTTGTGGCGGAACAAGCCAGATCTGGCACTGATCCCCCTCCTCACACACACCCCCCACCCCACCCCGCTCTTCACTTTCATCCGCAACACCTCTCCCTCCTCTGGTAGCATGCCAGATCCGTTACCCGATCTGCTCCAAGGCCTTGCAATTTACAGATTAAGCACTGGGCAATAACCATAACTTTTCCAAACTTGACTGTTGTGGAATAATGTGCAATTTGCACCAATAATTATTGTGAAAAGCGCAATTTAACTGAACTTGAAATAAATTGATTACCTTAGAACAGGGGTGTCCACACTCGGCCCTGGAGGGCCGGTGTCCTGCAAAGTTTAGTTCCAACCTCAATCAGACACACCTGGGATAGCTAATCAAGCTCTAGGCTTTCTAAAACATCCATGCAGGTGTAATAAGACAAGTTGGAGCTAAAATCTGCAGGACACCAGCCCTCCAGGACCGAGATTGGGCACCACTGCCTCAGAATCTTAAAAAAATTTACTAATAAGTCAAAGTCAAATGTTCAATTCCAACAAGAGTTTTCAATGACTTCTTGACTGGGCCTGAAGATTCTGAGGACATATAACTTGGCATACAAAAAAAAGCAATGACACACACATCATTCCAGTTTTACTCTGAAAAGAGATGACACTAATTTCCCCATATAATCTAGGCCCTTGAACTCACATTCAACATTATTAATAGTGATAAGGTCATAAGAAAGTTACTTCATCCTGGAGCAGACATCTATCAGAAAACTGGGATGAGATGGTGGAGATGTGCTTCCATTAAAGTTAAATCTGACACAGAGTCACTGAAGATTCAGGATAAACGCTAAATCCAGCATAGAGCTCTTCAGTGAATGTGGTGTTGAATGTGTGTATGTGTGTGAGTGTGTGTGTGTCAGAGACACTGTAGAAGGACAGAGAGCCAGACGGCACGTCCACATACACTCCTACACTATTAATACAAGCTGAAGGAGCAATAATATCAGTGCTCTTATGGTTGTGCCAGGCGGTGTAATTTCTATCACTGCAGTGCAGACTCCAGGAGTTTTCATTGAGTCCAAACCAAGAGTCAAGCCCACTTTTCCTCTTGATTACTTTATAAGCCACCGCTATATGACCAGAGCCGCTCCATTTCACCTCCCAGTAACAGCGTCCAGTCAGAGGCTCTCTACACAGCACCTGCCCAAAGAACTGAAATCTCTCTGGATGATCAGTATACGGCTGAGGATCTTTCACATATGTTGCCTTTATATTCTTAGACATCACGAGGTGATCATGTGCTGTGTTTGGATCCAGTGTGAGAAAACAGGCATCTGAACACAAGAGCACAAATAACATCATCTATTTATCATATACTGTATGCATGTGTGTGTGTCTGTGTGAAAGAGAAGGAGAAAGAACTTGCATTTTCTCAATCCAGGTGTCATGCTAAAAGGTCCTCCATGGTCCAAACTATACAGGCACAAAACCAACAACATAAAGAATAAATTCATTTTTAAAAACATTTAATAACTTAAAATTGTTAAGCATTTCCCCCAAAGTCCAAAAAAACATCTGGTATAGGTGAATTGGGTGAGCTAAATTGGCCGTAGTGTATGGGGAAAAAGCCGAATAGAAAATGAATGAATTGTTAGGCATTTCCATTGAAGCCTCTCTGTGTAGTGTGTGACAGGGCTATGACATAAGATCCCTATTAGATGACGCCACATACTTGAGTTTCTGCAGTGTGTAGTGTGGATCCTCCAGTGTGTGTTGGAGCAGCTGGACTCCTGATTGTCCTGGGTGATTGTAGCTCAGATCCAGCTCTCTCAGGTGTGAGGGGTTTGAACTTATTGCGACTTCCTGATGCCTCCTATAAGTCGCTCGAGAGGCAGTGAGGGTCCTTTATATTTGTGACGCGCTGGTGGCTTTAGACAGAGACACTGAGCCCAAGATGTTATATGGAAAGACTTTATGTAACTTGAAGCATGAAAAAACAATACAGCAATTTGTGTCTTTGAATACCTGTATGGTGCCGATTATTGCGTTGGTGTGATGATTGTTGCGTGTGCCGTTGTGATACAGTTTTGCGTTGCTTGGTTTGCGCTGCTGTTTGCGTGGCTGTTTGCGTGGCTGTTTGCGCTGCTGTTTGCGTGGCTGTTTGCGGTCAACAAAAAATACGGCTACCCCACTCTCCTTCTCTCCTCATCACCTGTGTGATTGTGCACGCGCTTTATGTTTGAGCAGGTGCCAATTATGCCCACGTGACCAAAACATAAAACGTCACTGTGAAACCCAAACCAATCAGTATACAAATAAACATTATAATTAAATGAAAAGTAATATGGCTCCTATACACCAGCCCCTAATTATTAGATCACCACATAATAATTATCCAAAATTACAGATAGGAGACATAAATCAGACACACAAAAGTTCAACTGTAAAGTCCAACAGTAAAATGTCCATACTTTTCTTCTTTGTGTCCTAATGGCAAAATCCACAAAAAAGCAAAAAAAATAATCCACAAAAGGCATTATCAAAAAAAAAGAAAATAATTTAACTGTAGTTCATATTTAATCAAACTCAGCCTCCTGCAGCAAGCAGACCTTGGTAATAGGTCTTTCCAAACAGCTGGTTTTTGTTTTAATCCGTACTTGACGGACAAATCCTCTTCGGTCTGGGAAGGTTTGGATCACTCGACCTGTTGGCCAAGAATTTCTAGGAGCTGTGCTGTCCATAATGATCACAAGATCTCCCACAACGAGGTTCCTCTTAACTCCAATCCATCTCTGACGCTCCTGTAGCTGAGGTAAGTATTCCTTAACCCATCTCTTCCAGAATAGATCGGACATGTATTGTACCTGTTTCCACCTCCTAAGTGCATACATGTCTGTCGGTTGGAACAACCCTGGGGGTAATGATGGTGAAGTCTTTAACTGCAACAAGTGGTTTGGAGTTAGTGCTTCCAGGTCATTTGGATCCATGGAAGCCTTGGTGATTGGACGGCTGTTGATGATGGCTTCAATCTCACAGAGCACTGTGTGAAGACCTTCTTCATCCAGGTTTTGCACCTTAAACATTGAATTAAGGACTTTACGCACTGATCTTATTAACCTCTCCCATGATCCTCCATGATGAGAGCCAGCTGGTGGGTTAAAACTCCATCTGATTCCCTTCTGCAGCAAAAGATCATTGATCTGCCCCTGGTTCCACTGTTTAATGGCAGCTTTCAACTCACGTTCTGCACCTACAAAATTAGTTCCGTTATCTGAACGGATCTCTCGCACCTGTCCCCTTCTGGAAATGAAACGCCTGAGTGCATTAATGAATGAGTCCGTATCCAGTGATGGAGCAACCTCAAGGTGTACAGCTCTGATGGCAAGACAGGTAAATATAACCCCATACCGCTTTACCATGCTCCTTCGGCTCTTAACCTCAAAAGGTCCAAAATAGTCCACTCCCACTCGAGTAAATGGTGGTTCATCTGGGACTATTCTTTCGTGTGGCAAGTCTGCCATTTGCTGGTAAACTGGCAGAGCATTTAGACGGCGACAGACGATGCATTTGGACAGTACTTTCCTTATGGCTACACTGACACCAGTTATCCAGTACTTCTCCCTCAATTTGGACAGCATATGGTTCCGTCCACCATGCCCCACTTCCTGATGGATATGTCTCAGCAAGAGTTCTGAAATGTGAAGATCTTTTGTTAATATTATAGGGTGTTTAACTTCCACAGGCATAGCCAACCTACAGAGACGACCACCAACTCTCAGGATTCCATCTTGCAGCTGTGGACAGAGTTTATGGAGGTGACTGGATATTTTAATATGTTGCCCTTTCTCCAGACTGGCTAGCTCTTCAGGAAATCTCTGTCCCTGACAGAATTTAATGATGGCAAGCTCAGCCCGGTCCAAGTCCTCCACTGTAAGTTTACTGCTTGTCCTTTTAAAATAATCAATCTCCTCTGCCACGGAGGAGCTCTGCTGTGCATTGTTGCCAGACTGTACAACGGTCTGATGAAAGTGCCTTGTTTCCTTTAAACAAGACATGAGCCAGTCCTTGATCCTCAAGAACCATGCTACAGATTTCTTAAGGCGTGTCCAGGAAGAAAAATACTTGATCAGGTAAGTGACTGGATCTTCTTTGAGTTGTGTAACGTTTGTTGCAGCAACATTTTTGACCTCGGGGTCTTCAGATGAAAGGTAGTTGACGTCCTCCTTGTTTACAGGCCACTCACTCTCCGGATGTAAAAGAAAGTGAGGCCCTGACACCCATGTAGTGTTTTGAATAAACACATTCACCTTAACACCTCTAGATGCCATATCAGCTGGATTGCTTGCAGTGTCCACATACCTCCACTGCTCAGGACTGGAAACTTTCAGGATTTGAGAGACCCGATTAGAAACTAAAACTTTGAATCGTGAGGTTTCATTTCGGATGTATTTGAGCACAGATGTACTGTCCGTCCAAAACACAGAATCCAAAAGATCCATATGCATCTCTTTCCTCCAAAGAATGTCCATGCGACTGGCCATGGTAGCAGCAATAAGCTCCATTCTAGGGATGGTTACGGATTTTAACGGAGCCACTCTTGCCTTCCCCATGATGAAAGCACTGTGCGTTACTGAATGCTGGTTCTTCAGCAACAGGTAAGACACTGTTCCATACCCATCCTGACTGGCATCACTGAAATGGTGTAACTGGGCTGTAACAACATCTCCAAAGCATGATGGTTTCACACATCGGTCCACCTTAAACACATCCAACAAATGCAGCTGCTGCAGCCATTTCAGCCAATCCTTTGATACGGACTCCGGCACAGTGTCATCCCAGCCAATTTGTCTCCTGCACAAATCTCTCAGAATTTTCTTTGCTGTTAAAATGACAGGGCTTAGCATTCCCAAAGGGTCATAAATTGAACTGATAGTAGAGAGAATTCCTCTTCTGGTGAGTGGTCTATCCTTTAGTACAATCTTGAACTTAAAACAGTCTGATTTTATGCACCATTCCAAACCCAGCACTCTCTCCACAGGTAATGAATCCAACTCCATGTTTAACCCTTCCATGCCTCTTGCTCTGTGACTTTCAGGGATAGCTTCCAATACACCAGGCCTGTTGGTTATCCATTTTGTGAGGGAAAACCCACCCCTGGCACACAGAGAAACCAGCTCCTGGTAAAGTGACACTGCTTCCTTCTCTGTAACAACTGACACAAGGCAGTCATCTACATAAAAAGAGTTCAATAATTTGTCTACTGCATTCTCACTGTAGTGACATCCATAATCCTCTGCACACCTTCTGAGGGCATAATTGGCACAACTAGGTGATGATGCTGCCCCAAACAAATGCACCTTCATACGGTATTCAACAGGTTGTTGTTCCACATCTCCATTAGGCCACCAAAGAAACCTAAGCAGGTCTGAGTACTCCGAAGAGACCCGTACCTGGTAAAACATGGATTCAACATCAGCCATGATTACTACTGGTTCCTTTCTAAAACGAGTCATGACTCCTATCAAAGAACTCGTAAGATCTGGGCCCTGTAAGAGCTGAGCATTCAACGATGTTCCTTGATAACTCGCTGCACAGTCAAACACAACTCTCATCTTTCCCTTGGTGGGATGAAACACTCCATGGTGTGGTATATACCATACCTTTCCATCACTGCGGTCTAGTTCCTCTACAGGCACCTTCTCAGCATAATCTTTAAGAAGCAGATCATTCATAAAGTTGTTATATTCAGCATGAAATAATGAATCTTTCTGAAACCTCCTTTTCAGATGATGCAAACGCTGTTCGACAATGTTCTTGTTTTTTGGCATGCTGACGTCAATGCTCCTTAATGGTAATGCAATTTGGTAGTGCCCATTCACATGTTTTACTGAATTACTCACTAGTTCTAGGAATTTTTGATCTTCTCTTGACATACCAGCATAATCATCGAGACGGTTTTCAGGGAAGTCAGTTTTAAACTGTTGGTGCCAAATCTCATCCAGATTTACAGCTGACACTCTATTAACCATTACCAGGGGCTGTTTCCAGTTAACCCTTTCTCCACTGTCTCCCATCAGTGGTCCATTAACAGTCCAGCCCAACATGGTTCTAATGGCATATGGTCCATCATTTACACTGCATACCACTTGTAATGGTTCCAGTGCTTTAGGGACATTGGTTCCTATCAGGAGTTCTATTTCGGAATCGATCTGAGGTAAATGAATGTGTTTTAAGTAAGACCATCTTTTAATATCCCTATTAGTTGGAATATTTCCTCGGTGCACTGGCATGGACTCTTGTGTATAAACTTTTGGCAGCTCAAGAAAACGATCTCCTTCCAGAGCTGCAACCTCCAAACCAGATATAATGTTGCTACTCACAACCTTCTCCTGCCCCATGGTTCGTAGAAGAATACGCCCCTTCCTTCCTGTAAGGTGAAGCTTGTGCATCAAGTTCTCTGTACAAAACACTGCAGTGCTCCCTTGGTCCAAAAATGCATAGGTATTAATAATTTTGCTTCCTTTATTAGATTTTACCTGAACCGGTACTATGGGTAGCTTGCAGTCCTCATCTCCAGCCCCTGTAAGACCACTTGACACCAGCATGTTGTCAACAGGCACCACTGTGTTCCTCTCAGTCTGCTCAGTAACATGTGCAGGTTCCCTATGAAGTACTGTAGGATGCTTAAGGTTACACTTTGAACAGGAAATCCTTTTACGGCAATTTTTACTGATGTGTCCTCCTGTACACAAACAGCCAAAACATATACCATTTTCCCTCAAGAAGCCTATCTTCTTCTCGTGTACCATCTTCCCCAGCTGTACACACATATCTAGGGTGTGTCCTCCTCCACAGCACATACACACTTTCTTATCTGTTTTTATAATTTCCTTCCTTTTCTTTTCAGACTGACATTTACTTTCCACAGTGCCCACACTGGTCGCAAAGCTGATTCCTTTGTTTCCTGATCGATATTGTGACTTAAGTTTGTTCATTCCTTTATTTCCACTTACTGATGTAGTGTCTTGTATGTTACCAAACACCGGATCTGTGAGTATTTTCACTTGCTTCTCAATGAAATCAGCAATGTCTTTGAACTTAACTCTCTGTTTATTTCTTTCCTGCAGCTCACAAACCTGGCTCCTCCATCGATCTCTGAGTTTATATGGAAGTTTTTTAATAATACACAACATATTAGAAGGCATGTCTAAGTCATGAAGATACTGCACATCCTCCATTGCATTACAACAGCCTCTGAGAAAGAAACTGAAATCCTGCAGAGCCTTCACATCCTCGGTTTTAATTGGAGACCATAAAAGGGCTTTGTCCATATAAGCAGAGGCCACTTTCTGTTCGTCCCCAAACTGTTCCTTCAACAAAGTTTTTGCTTTCAAATATCCTCGATCTAGATTCATATAATGACAGCTCCCCACAAGTGCTTTAGCATGGCCCCTTGTATATTGCTCCAAGAAATACAAACGGTCACAGTTGTCATTTATATTTTTCTCAATACCATTCTCAAAAGCTCTAATAAAAGAGTGGTATTTCAGTGGGTCACCATCAAATATGGGTATTTCTCTTTTTGGTAAAGCTGAAAGCCCCTGTTGCTGCATCAACAGTGTTGTTACCTCATTCTGTTTCTTCATGAGACCAAGAACACAATTTTTGGTTTCCGAATCCATGAAAATATCTGTATTGAAATCATGTGGTCCTTGTGAATCTTGCATGTCGAAAGAATTCAGGTGGTTTTGCGAAAATGGTGGGTCAATGATGTTTGATGGAGTTATATTGTCCAACACAAGCTTGACTTTGGGTTTAGCTCCTAAATATCTCTCCTTATTTGAATCTGATGGAATAAATTCACCTGCATCAACATTAAGTGGTTGTTTAGACTGTTTTGCCACATAAGAGTTCATCCCATCTGAAACATTTGATGTCAGTATCACGCTTGTTGTTGTACTGTGTGTTTTGAGAACCTCAAGTTTTGCCTGTTCTCCTGCAATTTCAGCATCCAGTTGCAATCTTTCTTTCCTTTTACGCAACTTTTCCTCCTCTTCTTCCAGTGCATGTCTTTCTTCTAATAATTTTTTCTTCATGGCTAAAGCAGCCAACTCGGCTTGGGCTTTTAAACGTGCAGATGAGGTTGAAGAATGTTTTGACAGTGATGATTTGTTACAGCTTATGTTTGAGACACTATCACGTGGATTAATTTCATCCTCATTTTCAACTTCATTTGATTTTGCAGAAATCACATTTTCGTTCATTTCTGTTGCATTCTGTGAAACACCCTGGGTTTGCTCAGTTTCACTGATCCATTGCTCGGTTTGGTTTTGAAACACACTGCTGTAATTCATTATGCTTAAAAACCATTCCTTTTGTTTAAGAAATTCATCCTCAGGAAGTAATGGCATAAGTTCATCATGTGCATTAACAGCACTCTCACACATTGTGTTTAAAGTCATTAAACATTGCTTTATTTGAAGGATGTTTGCCTTTTGTTTCATATATTCTTTCATTTTTGGTATCAACCCTTTGATTTTATCAACAGCACGTTTACGTTCACATTGCAATCTCTCAATTTTATTCAGCAAGGCCTTTTGAGTGAGTTTGCTTTCCCTTTTCTTTCCCATCTCTTCAACCGAGCACGGGGTACCACCAGTTTGACTCATAGTGACTCTTTTGATTCAGTGTTCAGTGAATCACAACATCCAAACACAATGCAACGTTTGAACACGCTCAAACGATTCGATTCAATTCAACAGCAGTTCATTTTCCTTCCAAACAACATCACGGCATCACACAAACAAGCCGCAAAGTGCAGACTTCCTACAGACACCAAAGTAAGTCGCGCGACCTCGCGCATCCGATTTGCATTCCAAACAACTTTAACATGCACCAATGCCAACCAGATTCCTCATCCACACATATATCCAGATAAACTTATCTGTCCTATGAAAACGAACACATGACGTGGCCCATTTGGTTTGCAATCGCATCACTTACTTGGCGTCTTCCTGATTCGTCTGTGCGCTGATTTTGCGAGCGATGATTTTCCTGATAAGATGCCGTTTTTTGTTGACAAAATATTGCGACTTCCTGATGCCTCCTATAAGTCGCTCGAGAGGCAGTGAGGGTCCTTTATATTTGTGACGCGCTGGTGGCTTTAGACAGAGACACTGAGCCCAAGATGTTATATGGAAAGACTTTATGTAACTTGAAGCATGAAAAAACAATACAGCAATTTGTGTCTTTGAATACCTGTATGGTGCCGATTATTGCGTTGGTGTGATGATTGTTGCGTGTGCCGTTGTGATACAGTTTTGCGTTGCTTGGTTTGCGCTGCTGTTTGCGTGGCTGTTTGCGTGGCTGTTTGCGCTGCTGTTTGCGTGGCTGTTTGCGGTCAACAAAAAATACGGCTACCCCACTCTCCTTCTCTCCTCATCACCTGTGTGATTGTGCACGCGCTTTATGTTTGAGCAGGTGCCAATTATGCCCACGTGACCAAAACATAAAACGTCACTGTGAAACCCAAACCAATCAGTATACAAATAAACATTATAATTAAATGAAAAGTAATATGGCTCCTATAGAACTCAGAGCTGAAGATAGAAAACCACAGCCTTCCTCTGTCACCATACAGCCAGACAACCTGCAGAAATGCACACTGCAGGTCAATTTTAAAGACAGTATTGAATCTGAAGCATGAAATGATCATGACATAATATGAAACTCGAACCTCAGTATCTCCAGCTGACAGTTTGGACTCTTCAGTCCATCAGAGAGCAGCTTCACTCCTGAATCCTGCAGGTCATTGTTACTCAGGTCCAGCTCTCTCAGGACACAGTTTGAGGATTGAAGAACTGACGACACAATTTCACAATCCTGAGCAGAGAGATTACAGCCAGCAAGACTGAAAAAAGAGGAGAACACACAGTAAATAAATTTCTCCCAAAACAAGTTTCAACACTAAAAACTTGGTCAAACCCTCACAGAGCTCTTGTGCAGTTGCTGACGGCTGGTATCAGTCTTCTTCTGCCCTCATCTGATGTGTTGTATTTCTGAAGCTTCAGCTCATCCAGCACTTCCTCTGACATCTGAAGCATGTAGGCGATTGTTGAGCAGTGAGCAGGAGAGAGTTTCTTCTCTGACTGTTTGTCTGATTTCACAAACTCCTGAATCTCTCTGGACAGAGTCTGATCTTTCACTTCCAGCAGACAGAGGAACAGATTGATGGATCTTTCAGTGGAGAGTCCATGTCCATCTCTGATCTTCTCTTTAATGTACTGTGTGCTTCTGCTGATGCTCTCTGAGCTCTTCTCTGTGTGTGTCAGTAGATCCTGCAAGAGTCTCTGATTGGACTCCAGTGAGACGCCCAGCAGGAACCGCAGGAACAGATCCAGATGAGCACTCTTACCCTCAGTAGCTTTATCAATGATTCTTTTATGGAGATTTTCTAGTGAATCAAAAGATGCTTCTGTAGTGCTGCTTACATGAACATAAAACACATAGAAAGCAGCGAGGAACTCCTGAACACTCAGATGGATGAAGCTGTAGACTTTCCTCTGCTGAATCACAGATTCCTCCTTAAAGATCTCAGTGCAAATCCCAGAATACACTGAGGCGTCAGAGACGTCTACGCCGCTCTCAATCAGGTCCTCCTCATAGAACATCACATTGCCCTTCATCAGCTGTCTGAAAGCCACTTCAGCAAGTTTGACAATCACTTCTCTGTTGGACTGCAGGAGTTTCTCTGGTTCTCTCTCTTCATACTTCTGATTCCTCATGTTGATCTGAATCAGCAGGAAGTGGATGTACATTTCAGTCAGAGTTTGAGGGATTTCTGCACTCAGATCTTCTTCCAGGAGCTTCTGAAGCACAGTGGATGAGATCCAGCAGAAGACGGGTATGTGGCACATGATGTGGAGGCTTCTTGCTCTTCTGATGTGTGAGATGATTCTGCTGGCTTGATGCTGCTCACTGATTCTCTTCCTGAAATATTCCTCCTTCTGAGGCTCAGTGAATCCCTGAATTTCTGTCAGACGCTTGATGTATTTGGAGGGGATCTGATTGGCTGCTGCTGGTCTGGAGGTGATCCAGATGAGAGCAGAGGGAAGCAGCTCTCCTTTCATCAGCTTTGACATCAACACAGCCACTGATGAAGTCTCAGTCACATCACAAACTTTCTGAGCGTCTGAAAACATCAGTGTGATTCTGCTTTCATCCAGACCATCAAAGATGAACACAACTTTACACTCCTCATAAATCTTGGGCTCCAGATCTTCAAGTTCAGGATGAAAGTCCAGCAGAAGTGTGTGAAGACTGTACTGATGATCTCTGATCAAGTTCAGCTCTCGAAATGGAAGCACAAACATGAAATCTACATCCTGATTGGCTTTTCCCTCGGCCCAGTCCAGAATGAACTTCTGCACAGAGACGGTTTTTCCGATTCCAGCGATGCCTTTAGTAAGAACAGTCTTGATTTGCTCTTTCTCCTCTTTAAAGATGTCATTGCAGTAGATTGGAGTGTGTTGGGAGTGTTTTGTTCTGGCTGTTTTCTCCATCTGTAAAACCTCATGTTCTTCATTCACTCCTTCACTCTCTCCCTCTATGATGTACAGCTGGGTGTAGATCTGGTTCAGGAGGGTTTGGTTCTCTTGGAGTGTGTTTCCCTCAAATAATCTCTCATATTTGATCTTCATGCTGGTTTTGTGCTGGTCTTTGACTCTCTGCAGGTCTCCAGTCTCTAGCATGTGTGCATCAGTGTTGTCCTGTATATTGTGAGTCTGATAGTTGGGTGTCGAGTTTGGCACTGGTGTGATCAGCTTAAGTATCTTTGTCCTCCTTAAAGGAGCAGGAATTTTAAATTAGTAAACAATTTGAGGTGTATTAAGGGTTTATTGTTTAAAAACAGTTATTAGTCTGATTTGTCCTACAGTGTGTAAGAAATATTATACTAAGTAATACTAACTGCGGGTCAGAGGTCACTGGTTCATCACTCAATAGCGGAGGAAAATTCATAGAATTGCCACTCTTCAGAGAAACACCACTGGGCTTTGGAGACTCTGATCTCGGTCTCTTCCTCCTGATTACACTGACAAAAGAAATAATACATTTTAGACTCATCTAAGGCATCTGACATGCCAAATTTTTCCAAACAAGCAACCTTTTACACATGATTCATCTTTAAAGGGGGGAACAAAATTGCTAACTTGTACTTCAAAGTCAACATTCCCAAAACCTAATAAATAAATACAGTAAAATGTCCATAAATCCTTATTAAAGCTAAATTAAACAACCGATTACATTATTTTTAGGATGCATTTTTACTCCTATAGAAAAAATGATTTCACTTTATTTTGTTGGTCCATCTGAGTATTAGTAGACTGTCTGCTTAATATCTGCTGATTCTGCTCCAACAGACATTTAACTGACTATAAGAAACTTTGCAAGTGAATGTCAATTACACAAACCCCAACAATCTACTAATTATAATAATCCAATGAGAATTAGTCGGCATGTAGATGCAGTGTAACTCAAATTCAACAAACACACCATCAAAATAAAGTGTGACCAAAAAATTGATGGAAATCTTGATGGAAGATTAGTAAGTGTAACACTGAATCTTAACCAGATGCTAAGTGTCACTTGCTCCAGGCTCATACTTTCTTCAAGCAGTAGCGTCATATTTAATATGATGTGGCCACTATGCCCCATTCACACGGGGCTTCAGCGTCAACGCTTGACAGAGGGCGTGTCTGAAGTTGGAACTGCGATCGTCATAGCATCGTCAGCCAATGAAATTAATTAGCAATTGACTACTGTCTGAGCTGGTGTGTTTGTATACAGCGATCTGATTGGTTGATGCTTCCGTCTGCGCTTGAAAGTCCCAACTTCTGCTGCAAGCAATGCCACTAGGGGCGCTAAAGTCTAGATTGGATATGTGGCCGGCCAGACTTGCGATATGCATATTAATATAACAGCATTTTTATGATACTGTATAACAATAATTCATATTTTAACAGTACTGTGGTGGTTGGGTTTAGGGTTGGGGTGGGGTGGGGGTAGGCGTTAAAATACAAATTATTGGGTAATTTAATAGATAAATAATAATATCTATATATACATGATACTCGGTACAACTACTGTTTTCACAAGCATAAAAGCAATGGCAGGACACAGCTGACAGTTGTTTGCTTCATTTTGCAGCATTAACCGTCAAAATGTTTTAGGTTTTAGAAAGAACATATAGGTGGCGACAATTTTCCAAATGTGTCACTTCATTAATCCTTTAAAAATGATGAATCTGATGAAGCGTGCAAACATTATAAGAGAGTCATTGAATCATTAATATGAAAATGAAAATTATATAGTTGAAGTCAGCATTATTCGCCCCCCTTTGAATTTTTTTCTTTGCTAAATATTTCCCAAATTATGTTGAACAGATTCTGGAAATGTTCACAGTATGTCTGATAATATTTTTTCTTCTGGAGAAAGTCGTATTTGTTTTATTTCGGCTAGAATAAAAGCCGTTTTTAATTTTTAAACACCATTTTTTGGACAAAATGATTAGCCCCTTTAGGCGATTTTTTCCTGATAGTCTACAGATCAATCATTATACAATAACTTGCCTAATTACCCTAACCAGCCTAGTTAATCTAATTACCCTAGTGAAGCCTTTAAATGTCACTTTAGGCTGTATAGAAGTGTCTTGAAGAATATCTAGTCTAATATTATTTACTGTCATCATGACAAAGATAAAATAAATCAGTTATTAGAGATGAGTTATTAACACTATTATGATTACAAATGTGCTGGAGAAATCTGCTCTCCGATAAAACAGAAACTGGGGGAAAAAATAAACGGGGGCGAATAATTCAAAAGGGCTAATAATTCTGACTTTAACAATGTGTGTGTTTGTGTGTGTGTGTGTGTGTGTGTGTGTTTGTGTGTGTGTGTGTGTTTGTAAAAGTGTTATCATACCAGAGTTACATTTTTTAGTCACACCTTGGCCTGATTACTGCCACAAACATGCAAAACCCGTTTTTCATATCACTGATTTTTTTTTCCATTCTCTGACAAAAATTACTTCAAACTACCTGAGGTCAGAGGTCACTGATGCATTATTGAGGGCAGGAGGAGCTTTCTCCATGGACCGATCACTCTTTGGAGACACATAGCCTGATCCAGGAGATGCACAACACATTTCAGAGTCAGAGTCCTCATCTTCTCTCTTCTTTAGACTCATTTTAGTGTTCACCTGCTGTCATTTACTGAAAGAGTATTAAGACACTGATGTTAGACATTATATTTAGAAACAAACGAGTTCTCTTGGTACCAAGGTACAACTTAATGTGAATGACAGTTTACAGTTTAATAATTACCAACCCCATATTAACAAGGACATTTGAACAGGTTAATAAATTCTCAAATCAGAAAGGGTTGGGACAGTGTGGGAAACTCAAATCAAAAAAAGGTGATTTTTTAGATTTACTTGCTTCCAAGAAAGGTCTAGTCCTTTAGTTCCTATATGAGAAAATGACTGAAATGTTAAAACACAATGTTCCTCAAAGAAAGAGAGGAAGACATGTGGATATTTCACCTTCAACAGTGCAGAACATCATCACAAGATTGAAGGAATCTGGAGGAGTTTCAGTGCGTAAAGGACAAGAGCGCAAGCCTAAGCTGAACAATGGTGATCTCCGATCCCTCAGGGGGCGCTGCATCAAGAGACCTAATTCATCTATAAGCCAGATCACCACATGGGTTCAGGACTACCGTGGCAGACCATAAGTACCACAGTACAGAGTTACATCCACAAATGCCAATTAAAACTGTACTATGCCAAAAAGAAGCCCTATGTTAACAGTGTCCCAAAGCGTTGTTGACTTTTCTGGGCTCGGAGGCATCTGGGATGGACCATCACACAGTGGAAACATGTACTGTGCTCAGATAAATCAGTATATCAGGTATTTTTTGGGGAGAAATGGACTGGACCAAAGAAGAAAAGGATCATCCAGACTGTTCCCAGCAACAAGTGCAAAAGCCAGGCTTTGTCATGTTCTGGGGTTGTGTCAGTGTGCTTGGTAAAGGTAACCTGCACTTCTGTGATGTACTATTATTGCTGAAAAGAACACAGAGATTTTGGAGCACAATATGCTGCCTTATTTTCCATGGACGCCTGTGAATATTTTATCACGATAATGTTAAACCACATTCTGCACACATTAAATAATGTCTGTTGTACTGTCTGTAATGAAATACAATCAAAGTATATTTACAAAACTTTTCTTTCTTTTGTATTTGCATTTTCCACATGGTTCCAGCTTTTTATCATTTGGGTTGTATAATAATAGTTATTATAATTAAAAAATTATTTCTGATTAGTTTAATTTAGAACATGTTTGCACCAAAATGGTTGGTGTGTTGAGGATTTTTTACTTCCTGCTCTTTTCTTTTACTAATTGATTATCCTGTACCTTTTTTTTTCCTCCTATTAGGTGTTTTATATTTAACAAAACACTGTAAAAGAAGCTGTCCACTCCAATCTTCTGCTGGTCATTGCAAACATTAATGGCCATCAATATTTAAAACAATTATTTATATTGAAACAAACCAGTAACAAATGCAAAAAAAAAAAAAAAAAAAAAAAAAAAACCTCAAAGATAACATCTAAAAGTAAAGATAAAATCTATTTATTTTTTTACAATTTATTATGTTTATGTAGGAAATACATTTCTTTATATATTTTTAATATTACAGCTTAAGTTCTAAAGTCTATACGGTTCATGAAAGGCTACATAAAATGGTAAATATAAACCTCACAGCTTGGAATAATTCTATATTACAACACACTATAGGTACTTCACATTTTCAATATAAAACAAAGACAGTGTGATTAAACATACTATATAAACATGTCGAGCGCAGCACTTTCACAATCACAGCTCACAATCAAGCCACTTTGATTTAACTTGCAGTAAGGAATAACTAAGGTTATTATTAATACAAGAAATGAAGCATCAGCACACTTTTATCTGATGATTACATGAAGAATTGGCTATTTAAACTTACCTCAAAATGTGTGTCTGTTCATGTTCACTGAGGGTAATAATACAGGTAAAGCCACAGAATGTCGTCCTCTACCCTTTTCTCTTTCACTTCTTCACCTGGTTAAGGTGTGTCATCTTCATTTTTAAGCAGGATATGCAAATCAAACTAGGCTACTACACTGCAACAAATGAAGCTGTTGAACAGCACTGCATAGCTCAAATCTACATCATTTATTTACAACAAACACATATAAAAACTAAACTGTGATTGGAACATGGACAACAATACAAAAGACAATGATTCCTTTCTTTTTTTAGACTGTTCACTCAGCGTACACTTCTCCTCATGATTATAAGAAATTTCATTAATTAATTTTCTTTCAGCTTAGTTCCTTTATTCATAAGGGGTTGCCACAGCAGAGTGAACCGCCAATCATTCCAGCATACGTTTTACACAGTGGATGCCCTTCCAGCTGCAACCCAGTACTGGGAAACCCATACACACTCATACATTATGGACAATTTAGTTGATCAATTCCCCTATAGCACATGTGTTTGGACTGTGGGGGAAACCAGAGCACCCTGGAGTAAACCTACGCCAACACGGGGAGAACATGCAAACTCCACACAGAAACACCAACTGACCCAGCCGAGGCTCGAACCAGCGACCTTCTTGCTGAAAGGCCACAATGCTAACAACTGAGCCACTGTGTTGCCATGCAAAACTTTTGTTTTATGCTAATTTGTTTTAACACACTAATGAGAGGTCTTTTCTATTCAAAACTATTTTTTAACACTAATAAACTCTCACAGAGCTGTTCTGTCAGTCTTCTTCTTCCCTCGTCTGACGTGTTGTATTTCTGGAGCTCATCCAGCACCTCATTTGTACAGAATTCTTAATAGCAGTACTTGATGAACACATATGTAGACTTTAATTTTGTTTATTAGTAAACTGCATTTAAAAATGGCAAGTCAAATATTTTCACAGAATATTTCACAATATAAAGTAGTTTGTGTTTTTATTTTGTACTTTTATGTAAAGTACACATCATACGTTAACATTTTGCTCTGACAGCTGTTGACATGTTGTGTTTCCAGTTTGGCAATACACACAGAGAAGGCCAAAATCAAAACAGCGGCTCATCTTTATCTGATTACGTTACAAAACAAAATGTTAAAAATGTGCCTCTTCCTTGTGTGTTACTATAATTGTTAGTCTTGTTTCCTTTTACTCCACCCACATCAACACAAGTTTTACTTCCTCTATTGCAGAGCAAGACACTTTCATAATGTGTGTGTGTTAACTTGTTCAAAGTATGATGTGTAAACTCTGCTTATACCAAAAGCTTATACCAAAAACTCTCTCATTGTTCGCCTCAGTGTTTAATGGACTCATCAAACACAGTCCTTTCAATCTCTCAGGCGTGAATCTTATCTTTACAGAGTAGGGCTGTTTCTAGACCAGGGGTGTGCAAACTCGCTGCTGGAGGGCTGGTGTCCTGCAGATTTTAGCTCCAACTTGTCTCAACACACCTGCGAGGATGTTTCTAGTAAGCCTAGTACGAGCTTGATTAGCTGTAAATATAATAAAGTTGCATCAAATCTAATCTAATATATTATATAACGGCACTTTAACTATTTTTCTACATTATAATTTATATTTGATTGTAACTTTCATTCATTCACACACACACATACACTATGGACAATTTAGTTGATCAGTTCCCCTATAGCGCATGTGTTTGGACTATGGGGGAAACCAGGAGTAAACCCACACCAACACAGGGATAACATGCAAACTCCACACGGAAATGCCAACTAACCCAGCCAAGGCTCGAACCAGCGACCTTCTTGCTGAAAGGCCACAATGCTAACCACTGAGCCACTGTGTCGCCATACAAGACATTTGTTTTATGCTAATTTGTTTTAACACACTAATGAGAGGTCTTTTCTATTCAAAACTATTTTTAACACTAATAAACTCTCACAGAGCTGTTCTGTCAGTCTTCTTCACCTGCGAGGATGTTTCTAGAAAGCCTAGTACGAGCTTGATTAGCAGTAAATTTAATAAAGTTGCATTAAATCTAATATATTATATAACGGTAGTTTAACTATTTTTATACACAATAATTTATATTTGATTGTAACTTTAACTTAGATTGGTAGTAATACACTAATGTGCTCCTGTTTTAAAGCTGCTTTAAAACTATAATCATTGTAAAAAGCGCTATACAGATGAACTTGAATTGAATTAAATAATAAGTCTATCTAAACGGTTTAAATCCTAACAGCTACTACATTAAGCTCCAAGTAGTTTATATGTTCAGTCTGTCTTTACATTGATGTGTTTGTGGTTCCTCACAGGAGGATGTTAAATCTGACACAGAGACACAGAGGAGTCAGGATAGACCAAAAATCCAGCATAGAGGGGTTCAGTGAATATGGTGTTGAATGTGTGTATGTGTGTGAGTGTGTTTGTGTCAGAGACACTGTAGAAGGACAGAGAGCCGGACGGCACGTCCACATACACTCCTACTCTATTAGACTGTGGTGAAGGTGTGGGAATGTTTGTGCTCTTATTATTGTGCCAGACAGAGTAATTTGACTCACAGCAGTAAATATTCCAGGATTTATCATTGAGACCAAACCTGCAGTCACTCCCACCTTTCCTCTCAATGCTCTTATAGGACACTGCTACATGAACCAAACCGCTCCATTCAGACTCCCAGTAACAGCGTCCAGTCAGAGTCGCTTTACACAGAACCTGCTCAATGTTCTCAAATCTGTCTGGATGATCAAGATACGGCTGACTGTGTTCACCTCGTGTTGCTTTTCTGTTCTCCTCAGACAGCTGGAGTTGAGTGTGAGCCGTGTTTGGATCCAGTGTGAGTAAACAGGCATCTGAACACAAGAAGAGAGATGAGAATCTGAATAACACTGACATCATTAAACATCCACTGATTGATCTGTTGTGCATGAGTTTGCTACAGAGATGGCTAATAATTCATAACAATTACTTATTACAATGTTTGGGTAACTTTTCAGTTTAGAGTACATTTAAAGATGTTTATTATTACTAGTACATTTTGTAGGAAAAAACAAACAAACTTTTATTTAGCCACATTTTGCAGTGTTTCTTTATTACTGTCAATTGATAATAAATGCACACCAAGCATAATACCGATATCAAAGAACAAATGACAGAAAAAAGTTCACTTTTCATGCTTGTCATTCTGCATTTCCCCTTGTAACCAGCAGGTGTCCTCCTTACTGCAAGACTGGGCAGTTTTGAATTGTGTGGGCAAACAAATGTTAGGTGTGTTGACAACATTTGGGTGGATTTGGAATCGGTTTAGCAGGTTCAAAAAGTTGTTTATAGGTTATGTTTTTAAATAAAACCCAAGTGTGTGCAGCAACTCCATTCGGTTTGTTGTGACGTTGCTAAACACGCCCAGTACGAGGACTTGCATTCATTCATTTTCGTTTCGGCTTAGTCCCTTTATTAATCTGGGGTTAAGGAACCGCCAACTTATCCAGCACGTTTTTGATGCCCTTCCAGCTGCAACCCATCACTGGGAAAAATCCATTCACACTCATATACTACAGATAATTTAGCCTACCCAATTCATCTGTACCACATGTCTTTGGACTATGAGGGAAACCGGAGCACCCGGTGGAAACCCTCACCAACACAGGGAGAACATGCAAACTCCACACAGAAATGCCAACTGAGGCTCGAACCAGCAACCTTCCTAATAATAATAATAATACAGACAGACGGATAGACAGACGGACGGACGGACGGACGGACGGACGGACGGACGGACGGACGGACGGACGGACGGACGGACAGACAGACAGATAGATAGATTTTACAATGATGGAATTAAGTATTGAATAAGTAACCATTTAAAAAAACATTTCTAAAAGGTGTCTTTGACTTGGAATTTTCACTAGATGTTGATAACAACCAAAGAAATCCAAATAGGCAAAGAAAACAAATCTTTAACATCTACATTAGCAGGAGGATGAAGATGAAACCAGGGTGGACATTTCAGCAAGGCAATGATCCAAAACACAGCCAAGGAGACTCTCAGATGCTTTAAGTAAGAGAAAGAAAATTAAGCTGTAGAATGGCCCAGCCAATCACCTGACCCAGATCCAATAGAGAATACAGAATAAAGATTGATGAGACCCACAGAATCATCCAGATTTTTTACTCTTTTTTGGAATCACACCTGAGCAATTAATGTGACAACATTCTACACGAGGGATCTTTAAGCTGGTAACTAGCTCTTTGAGTTGTTTTTTTTGTTGTTGTTCTTAAGCAACTTTTAAGACTTTTTTTTAAGATTTATACTTTTACCTGAGTATATATTTTCTTAAGTTCGTGTACTTTTATTTGAGTACAAATTTTGGATACTTTATCTTCTCCTGGTTTCTGGTATTTTTATACTTTAACAAAAAAAAATTCCCACAAGTATACTAATACCCATACTTTTGAATTTGTGGGAATTTTGTTTTTGGTCCTCATGATAAAACCTCATAAATCATTCACAAATAATAAATTAAAATCATAAATAATATTAGCAAAGGGTTGGTTTAAGTAGTGGAATTGGGGCAGGGGAAGAGAAAATACAGTGGAACAGTAGAAACATTAAACTACATTGATGTGTGTGTGTGTGTGTGTGTGTGTGTGTGTGTGTGTGTGTGTGTGTGTGTGTGTGTGTGTGTGTGTGTGTTTGTGTGTTTAAAAGACTCACATTTTCTCAGCCCTGGTGTATTCCTGAAATGTCCACCATGATCCAAACTGAAAAAAGACAGATCATGCTCACTGAACTGGAGCTAATAAGTGTTTTTTAAGTGTTTACTGCCCCACATACTTGAGTTTCTGCAGTGTGTAGTGTGGATCCTCCAGTGTGTGTTGGAGCAGCTGGACTCCTGATTGTCCTGGGTGATTGTAGCTCAGATCCAGCTCTCTCAGGTGTGAGGGGTTTGAACTCAGAGCTGAAGATAGAAAACCACAGCCTTCCTCTGTCACCATACAGCCAGACAACCTGCAGACACATAGACATGACTCACCTTAGTATCTTATAATACTCCTCAAGATATTAGACACTGACAGATATTACTACACACCTCAGTATCTCCAGCTGACAGTTTGGACTCTTCAGTCCATCAGAGAGCAGCTTCACTCCTGAATCCTGCAGGTCATTGTTACTCAGGTCCAGCTCTCTCAGGACACAGTTTGAGGATTGAAGAACTGACGACACAATTTCACAATCCTGAGCAGAGAGATTACAGCCAGCAAGACTGAAAGAAGAGGAGAACAAGAGAATTGAAAACAAACTAAATATGCACAAGAAACTAAAGAAGTAACACTGGATTAGACACTCACAGAGCTCTTGTGCAGTTGCTGACGGCTGGTATCAGTCTTCTTCTGCCCTCATCTGATGTGTTGTATTTCTGGAGCTCCAGCTCATCCAGCACCTCCTCTGACATCTGAAGCATGTAGGCGATTGTTGAGCAGTGAGCAGGAGAGAGTTTCTTCTCTGACTGTTTGTCTGATTTCACAAACTCCTGAATCTCTCTGGACAGAGTCTGATCTTTCACTTCCAGCAGACAGAGGAACAGATTGATGGATCTTTCAGTGGAGAGTCCATGTCCATCTCTGATCTTCTCTTTAATGTACTGTGTGCTTCTCCTGATGCTCTCTGAGCTCTTCTCTGTGTGTGTCAGTAGATCCTGGAAGAGTCTCTGATTGGACTCCAGTGAGACGCCCAGCAGGAACCGCAGGAACAGATCCAGATGCCCATTCTCACTCTCAATGGCTTTATCTACTGCATTCTTATGCAGATCATGCATCACATCACAAAATTGCAACGTGTCCACATTTTTCATTACATAATAATAAAACACATAGAAAGCAGCGAGGAACTCCTGAACACTCAGATGGATGAAGCTGTAGACTTTCCTCTGCTGAATCACAGATTCCTCCTTAAAGATCTCAGTGCAAATCCCAGAATACACTGAGGCGTCAGAGACGTCTACGCCGCTCTCAATCAGGTCCTCCTCATAGAACATCACATTGCCCTTCATCAGCTGTCTGAAAGCCACTTCAGCAAGTTTGACAATCACTTCTCTGTTGGACTGCAGGAGTTTCTCTGGATCTCTCTCTTCATACTTCTGATTCCTCATGTTGATCTGAATCAGCAGGAAGTGGATGTACATTTCAGTCAGAGTTTGAGGGATTTCTGCACTCAGATCTTCTTCCAGGAGCTTCTGAAGCACAGTGGATGAGATCCAGCAGAAGACGGGTATGTGGCACATGATGTGGAGGCTTCTTGCTCTTCTGATGTGTGAGATGATTCTGCTGGCTTGATGCTGCTCACTGATTCTCTTCCTGAAATATTCCTCCTTCTGAGGCTCAGTGAATCCCTGAATTTCTGTCAGACGCTTGATGTATTTGGAGGGGATCTGATTGGCTGCTGCTGGTCTGGAGGTGATCCAGATGAGAGCAGAGGGAAGCAGCTCTCCTTTCATCAGCTTTGACATCAACACAGCCACTGATGAAGTCTCAGTCACATCACAAACTTTCTGAGCGTCTGAAAACATCAGTGTGATTCTGCTTTCATCCAGACCATCAAAGATGAACACAACTTTACACTCCTCATAAATCTTGGGCTCCAGATCTTCAAGTTCAGGATGAAAGTCCAGCAGAAGTGTGTGAAGACTGTACTGATGATCTCTGATCAAGTTCAGCTCTCGAAATGGAAGCACAAACATGAAATCTACATCCTGATTGGCTTTTCCCTCGGCCCAGTCCAGAATGAACTTCTGCACAGAGACGGTTTTTCCGATTCCAGCGATGCCTTTAGTAAGAACAGTTTTGATTTGCTCTTTCTCCTCTTTAAAGATGTCATTGCAGTAGATTGGAGTGTGTTGGGAGTGTTTTGTTCTGGCTGTTTTCTCCATCTGTAAAACCTCATGTTCTTCATTCACTCCTTCACTCTCTCCCTCTAGGATGTACAGCTGGGTGTAGATACGGTTCAGGAGGGTTTGGGTTTCTTGTAGTTTGTTTCCCTCAAATAGTCTCTCATATTTGTTCTTCATGCTGGTTTTGTGCTGGTCTTTGACTCTCTGTAGGTCTCCAGTCTCCAGTGTGTGTGCTTCAGTATTGTCCTGTATAATGTGAGTCTGATAGTTGGATGTAATGGGTTTATGTGTCTTTTTCCTCCTTTAAGAAGTAAAAAAGCAAAATGTTTACACTATTTTATATTTGTTAATATTTAAATTGTATTAAGTGTTAATTGTTTATAAATATTTAAATATTCCGTTGTCCTACAGTGTGTAAGAAATATTATACTAAGTGATACTAACTGAGGGTCAGGGGTCACTGGTTCATCACTGAATTCAGGAGGATGCCTGACAGATCTGTCACTCTTCAGGGAAACACAACTGGGTTTTGGAGACTCTGATCTCGGTGTCTTCCTCCTGATTACACTGACAAAAGAAATAAAACAGCATTTTAGACACATCTAAGCATTTGGTTTCCCAAATATCTGCTAAACAAATGGCCTATTACACATGTTTGAAGTACAAGTTAATGATTACGTTCCTCCTTTAAAAGCCCACATCCCCAAAACCTAATAAATACAGAACAAATATCTTACACAAGCTTAAATTAAAGCTAGTTTAAATAATGAATTAGATCATTCTCAGCATGCATTTATTACTCGGATGGATTATAAATAAAATTCGGCCCAGTCATCAGATTGACAGAAATCTCTAATGTGTTATATTTTAATAGTATGTTCACCAAGATGAATGACTAAAACACTGAATCCTAACCAGATGCTAAGTGTCACTCACTTCACACTCATAATTTAAATAAGCAGTGACATCATATTTAAACATGATGTGGGCCCTTACTGGCATAAAAGGGAAGAAGGGGTTGAAAAACGCTATCGATTAGCCCTTTTTTCACACCACATTCAACCAAGCTATGGAATAGCTATCCAATAATAATATGTACAAGTGTAAATGCCCTCTGAAACACATTTAATGCAGATTATACAAATTATACAAGTTCTCCTCTGTCAATGCTGAAATGACTAGTGTGTCTTACCTGAGTTCAGAAGTCACCGATTCATCATTGAGGGCAAGAGGAGCTTTCTCCATGGACCGATCACTCTTCAGAGACACACAGCCTGATCCAGGAGATGCAGAACTCATTTCAAAAGTGGGGTCCACATCTTCTCTCTTGTTTTGACTCATTTCAGCTTTCACCTTTTCTCCGTTACTGAAAGAATGTTGAGACACTGATTTTAGACATTATATTAGGAAAAAAATAATTTCTTTTATTTGGAAACACTATTTCTTGGCACAATAGTACAACTTAATGTGAATGACACTACCATTTAATAATTACCAACCCCATATTAACAAGGACATTTTAAAAGGTTAATATAATAAGAATAAAAATAATAATAAAAATTAAAAATAAAACTGATTTCTGATTAAAGTTCCATTTAAAATCCATTTGCACCAAAATGGTTGGTTTGTTGAGGGGTTTTTCATTCCTGCTCTTTTCTTTACAATTGATTATACTGTAGCATTTTTCTCTTTTCAAGTGTTTTATAATAAACCAAACATTATAAAATAAGCTGTCAATATAAAGCATCTTCTGGTCACAAATGCAAAAAATAAATAAAAAAATAAAAAAATAAATAAATAAATAATAAAAAAGTCAACAGATAATATGCACTAAAATACATGCATAATATTGAATCGTGAAAGAGGGTTTTTTAACTTACTTTTTAATATTATCATTATTATTAGTACATATAAAAAGTGCTAAAAACTTAATTACACTAATCTTACAGCAGCATTATAAATACAGAAAACACATTTTTCTAAATATGGAAAATACATTTCTTTATATATTTACAATTATAGAGCTAAAGTTCAAAATACAGTGCATGAAAGGCTACACAAATGGCAAAGGTAAACCACATAACTGTTACCTTGGAATATTTCTATATTACAACACGCTGTTGGCACTTCTTGATGTTTTCAATATAATGCAAAGAGAGTGGAATAAAAACACATTATATAAACATGTCGAGCGCCAGCACTTCAGCCATTTTGATTTAGTTTGCACCAAGGAATAACTACACAGATATGATTTGCATTTTAAATCTAATGAAAATGCGAAAAATAAAGCATCAGCACGTTTTATCTGACGTGGTTACGTAAATAATAGGCTATTTAAACTTACCTCAAAATGTGTGTCCGTTCATGTTCACGGAGGTTAATATTTCATGTAAAGACACGGAATGTAATCTTCCTCTCACTTTACTTCACCTGGTTGAGGTGTGTCATCTTTTTTTAAACAGGCTGAAATCAAACTAAACTGCTCCCTCTAGTGGCTCAGAGCATCATCACAGGTTTACACTTTAAAGCAGGGGTCACCAAACCTGTTCCTGGAGCGCAGGTGTCCTGCAGATTTTAGCTCCAACCCTAATCAAACATACCTGAACAAGCTAATCAAGCTCTTACTAGATATACTTGAAACACCCAGGCAGGTGTGTTGAGGCAAGCTAGAGCTAAAACCTGCAAGGACACCGGCCCTCCTGGCCCGAGATTGATGACCCCTGCTTTACAGAGACCCGGAAGAGGCGTGATAATGGGTAAAATACTGGGTGCAAGGAAAAATAAAGTTTTTGAGTGTTTGCGTTTCTTCGCCAAGATGTTTTGCTAGGTTTTTACTAGAAGGCATACAGCTTGTTTTGTTTATTCTTGTTTATGTAAAGCACTTTGAATTAACATTGTGTATGAAATGTGCTCTATAAACTTGACAGGGAGTCTGCCTTGTTTAATGTCCTCATTAGAGCTTCTGCCTTCCATAACTAAACTGATGGTCAACTTTTCAGCACATACTTGTCAAATCATGGGAGTAACTTAACAAAGACAAACCACTACAGGTACATCATCACTATGAATCACCTGCCTCTTAAAACACCAAACACCTTAATGCACATTATCTGCATTCACATGTATCCTAAATGTGAATGTTTGTGCTCATATTATTGTGCCAGACAAAGTAATTTGAATCACAGCAGTAAATATTTCAGCATTTTTCAGAGTCCAAACCTGCAGTCACTTCCACCTTTCCTCTGGATGCTCTTATAAGCCACTGCTACATGAACCAATCCACTCCATTCAGCCTCCCAGTAACAGCGTCCAGTCAGAGTCTCTCTACACAGAACCTGCTCCTGTTGATTAAACCTGTCTGGATGATCAGGATACGACTGAAGAACTTTCAGACATGCTGTTTTGTTCCCATCAGACAGGAGTGTGTGCTGTGTTTGGATCCATTGTGAGAAAGGCATCTGAACACAAGAAGTGTGTAAGTACTGTAATATTTGTATATATATATTTAGAACCAGTTTTTGCAAAATGATTATTTGTGTTGGGACACAAATCATTAAAGCTAAATATTCTGTGTTTTTCATCAGTCTTTGTAAAAAAAAAAAAAAAAAAGTCCATTCACAACAACCTGTTTTGGTCATGTGAGAAACAAACACGATCGGTCACATACCAAAAGATATTAATAGAGATAATGTAAAAAGAGGAATAATGAAGACATAACAGAAGACTGGAGTTTTTGTTTTCTTTATTATTATTATTAGTAGTAGTAGTAGTAGTAGTATTGCTTTCATCATCATCATTTCTCATTAAAAAATTATAAAATCTTAATAACCAAAAGCAACATTCAGAAAGTCATTCATTCATTCTCCTTTAGTTCCTGATATATATATATATATATACACAGTTGAAGTCAGAATTATTAGCCCCTTTGAATATTTTTAAATATTTTTCAAATGATGTTTAGCAGAGCAAAGAAATTTTCACAGTATGCCTGATAATATTTTTTCTTCTGCAGTAAGTCTTATTTGATTTATTTAGGCTAGAATAAAAGCCGTTTACATTTTTTTAATCATCATTTTAAGGTCAATATTTTTAGCCCCTTTCAAGAGTTCAAACTTAGCTGATACTCAATAAAGCGTATTTGGCATGCTGTCCTGGGAGAGAGCCCTGAGCTCGTAATATCCTCGAGCCCGGGGCTCCCTCCCGTTAGAAGGGCGAGAGGGGAATTCGAGGTCAGGTAGGTCTCGAGAACTCCCCTGCTGGTCACCGTGAGAAGTGTAAACTCAGGTTGTATTGGGTGATAATTTGTTTTAGTCGATTGGCTATGGTTTATGTTTTTGGACGGTGGGGGGAAACCGGGGAAAACTCACGCAAACACGGGGATAACATGCAAACTCCACACAGAAACACCAACCGGCCCGATAGGTTGGACCGGCGGTGTTCTTGCTGTGAGGCAACAGTGCTAGCCACATTATACAATAACTTGCCTAATTACCCTAACCTGCCTAGTTACCCTAATTAACCCAGTTAAGCCTTTAAATGTCACTTTAAGCTGTATAGAAGTGTCTTGAAGAATATCTAGCCTAATATTATTTACTGTCATCATGACAAAGAGAAAATAAATCAGTAATTAGAGATGAGTTATTAAATGTGTTGAAAAAAATCTCTGTTATACAGAAATATATATCTTTTTATTTACTTTAAGACAGCTATGTAGAAATTGAATAAAACAATATTAAGTGCTTACAAAAAGTGTTAGCTAATAATTTAGAGTCATAATAGAGTCAGACTACTGAAAACAGCAGCAGATAGTTCACCTCAGATCTGGAAAAAAAAAAAAAACATCTGAAATTCAACTTTAGAACTAAACACATCCGTGATTCTGCATCTACATTTAACAATGATAAAGAGGATGAATATGTACTAAATAGATTATAAATCTTACTATTTTTTTTTAGGTGCAGTATTCTGTGCTTCTGAATGACTGTATTTACATTTCTGTCATGTTTCGTCTTGTGCAAACAGTCAAATTGCTGCTCACTGTGTATCTTGTAGTGTAGCGTGCTGTTAGGACACGAGATTACAATGTAACCTGCTCACTTAATGTTTACAGTCATAATATTTATATAATTTGCTAAATAATAACCTCACATGGACAGAATCTGTCTCATTTTGGAGTCTGCTATTGTCCACCGGAGGTCACATTTCGATCACGGACGCATGGTTTCAGAGCCTTTCTGAATGAATGAATGAATGAATGAATTAATTATTGAATGAATGAATGAATGAATGAATGAATAATTAATTAATTAATTAAATATGCAGTTTTCCACCAAGGCAACCCGGGGTGCTGAAGTATAACTGGCTAAACAATCATTGGGCAGGTTAAAATGACCAAAACAAAGACAACGTTCTGGCACAGAAAAAAGACTTCAGCACAGTTTTCAGACAAACAAGAAAGTTCACTGAGCATGCTTTAGAAGAGTCAAAAACTTACAGCACCTTTAAGCACCCTGGGTTGCCCTGATGGAAAACGCACCGTATTACATTTCAGTCATTAAGGATGCATCAATGTATGCAGACGCAGCCGAAAATGCCCACCTTCAGAAGGCAGTAGCAGTCTCCGAAATGAGATTCAGTTATTTAAATCCACATGAGGTGTTTTTTTTATTTAGCAAACAATTCAAAAATTACAAATGTAAACATTAGCTGAGCAGCTTACAATGTAAGACTTGGTTGTCAGGCATGCTCGATCATGTTTATGTTGTCTACCTGGCAAAAAAAACCTGGAAAAGAACCCTCTCCAATACATTGAATTTGGACTGCAATACCTACTTCAACCACATGGTCAATCCTACATGCTGCACATTAAAAAAATGTATTTGCGCTATAGCACTGATTGCTGTGTTTTCAGTTATTCCACAAGGGTGTAGGGTTATTAAATTAATTAATCATGAGTTGCATGCTACCCATTGAATTGAACATGCTAAGAACTACTACTCTATACAAACATTTCTTTGTTTCTACTTCTTCATGTCTTTAAAGTGTTTTTTAAAGCTCACACAGAGTCACTGAAGAATCAGGATGAACTCTGAATCCTGCATAGAGGTCTTCAGTGAATGTGGTGTTGAATGTGTGTAAGTGTGTGAGTGTGTTTGTGTCAGAGATGCTGTAGAAAGACATAGAACCGGACGGCACGTCCACATACACTCCTACTCTATTAGTACGAGATGATGGAGCAGGGATGTTTGTGCTCTTATTTTTGTGCCAAAAAGTGTAACTATCATCACAACAATAGAGACTCCAGGACTTTTCATTGAGTCCAAACCGACAGTCGCTTCCTCCTTTCCTGCAGATTCCTTTATATGACAATGCAACATGACCCCAGCCGCTCCATTCAGCCTCCCAGTAACAGCGTCCAGTCAGAGTCTCTTTACACAGAACCTGCTCATAGTGCTCGAATCTCTCTGGATAATCAGGATAAATTTGATGATCTTTCACACGTGATGTTCTTCTGTTCCCTTCAGACAAGATGAGACGACTATGTGTAGTATTTGGATCCAGTGAGAGGCGACAAGCATCTGAACACAAAAAGGCGAAAACAAGTCGATAAGTTTCCATCAGCCTGATTTAACATAGACAAAATGGTTCGCTGAAAAGGAATTGCAGAGGGAATCAATGGTAAGCTTAACATTTTTATATAAGCATTATAGATGGTGTGTGTTTCTGGTTCTGCTGAAATCCAATTTAGATTATGTGCTCTATGCCAACAATTATGTCTTTCTTAAAGAGCTAACAGTAAGGCGAGTTACAACAACTATGTTTCTATGTTGCCCCATGTTACATTTTGAAACACTTTCAGAAGTACTGCTTTAGAAACTAATGATGGAAATGCAAAAGCATGCATGTGTTTTTGACTTACATTTTCTTAATCCTGATGTGATTCTGAAGTCTCCTCCACTCTCTAAACTAAATGGGGACACAAACAGCAAAGAATGTTGAACAGCATTATTACTAGCAAAATGGTTTTTGTTGTTGCTGCCAGACGGGCTGCTCTGAGTATTTCAGAAACTGTTGATCTACTGGGATGTTCACGCACAACCATCTCTAGGCTTTACAGAGAATGCTCCGGCAAAGAGGAAATATCCAGTGAGCGGCAGTTCTGTGGGCGCAAAAGCCTTATTGATGAGGCCACAGGTCAGAGGAGAATGGCCAGACTGGTTCAAGCTGATAGAAAGGCAACAGTAACTCAAATAAGCACTCGTTACAACCGAGCTCTGCAGAAGAGCATCTCTGAACACACAACACGGCCAACCTTGAGGCGGATGGGCTACAGCAGCAGAAGAGCACACCGGGTGCCACTCCTGTCAGCTAAGAACAGGAAACTGAGGCTACAATTCACACAGACTCACCAAAACTGGACAATAGAAGATTGGAGAAACGTTGCTGCTCTGATGAGTCTCCATTTCTGCTGACACATTCAGATGCTCGGCTCACAATTTGGCCTCAACAACATGAAAGCATGGATCATCCTGCCTTGTATCAGCGGTTCAGGCTGGTGGTGGTGGTGTAATGGTGTGGGGGAGATTTTCTTTGGGTCCATTAGTACCAATTGAGCATCAACGCCACAGCCTACCTGAGTATTGCTGCTGACCATGTCCATCCCTTTATGAGCACAGTGTCTCCATCTTCTGATGGCTACTTCCAGCAGGATAACGCAGCATGTCAAAAAGCTCAATCATCTCAGACTGGTGAACATGACGATGAGTTCACTGTACTCAAATCCTCCACAGTCCCCAGAGCTCAATGCAATAGAGCAGCTTTGGGATGTGGTGGGACGGGAGATTGGCATCATGGATGTGCAGCCGACAAATCTGCAGCAACTGTGTGATGCTATCATGACAATATGGAGGAATATCTCTGAGGAATATTTCCAGTAGCTTGTTGAATCTACGCCACAAAGGATTAAGGCTAAAGGGGGTCCAACCCAGTACTAGTAAGGTGTACCTAATAAAGTGTAAAATGATTGTATAAACACACAGTGTTTGTTTTTAATCTTTTTTTGATTTAAAATGATACTGTCACGATTAAATAAACACTCATAGAAGAATCAGTGCTAAACAGGCATGGAAATGGAATGCTCTGAGGTCAGAAGTGGGTCATCTCACTGCTTTAATTGCCACAAAAGACTTGCTGAAACGCGGCATCACAGAACTAGCCATCATCTGTAAAGTATTTTCAATTAATAGGTGTCACTGATGTTGAGGTTCTTTGTTTATTCTTTCCACATAGGAAGTTAGTTAAAGTATAAGCTAATTCACATACTAGTTAACAAAGACAAACCACTGCAGTTACATCATCATCATTATGTATCACCTGCCTCTTAAAACACTAAATATCTTAATGCACATTTTCTGCATTCACATGTATTTTAAATTTTCTATTCATCCCTACTCCAGACCACATATCTTTGTTCACAGAAAGTATTAAATTCTAATTCAAGAGTCGACACTTAGCTGATGATTGATTATAAAGCTTGTTTGGCATGCTGTCCCGGGAGAGAGCCCTGAGCTCATGAGATCCTCAAGCCCAGGGCTCCCTCCCGTTGCAAGGCGAGAGGGGAGTTTGAGCTCAGGTAGATCTCAAGAACTCCCCTGCTGTAGTAACCAATAAACAGTAAGTGATTGTTCTTGGAGATAACTATATACTAGGAGCATGTCTATGGTGCCGATTTGGATTAGCCAATTAACTTAATTTGCATGTTTTTGGACGGTGGGAGGAAACCGGGGAACCCGGGGGAAACCAACGTGATCTCGGGGAGAAAGTGCAAACTCTACACAGAAATGTCTGCTGGTTCGGTAAAGCCTAGAACCAGAGACATTCTTGCTGTGAGGTAATAGTGCTAACCACTGGGCTACCATGTCACCCATCTAGGATGGAGGAGGAGTAGGGGTGGAAGAAGGGACTCTTCAAAATGAAGATAGCTGTGGAATGAAACCCAGGGTATTTAGGAGTTTAGGAATCGTCTGATTGGAGCATTGTGAATTGGATAATGCAGATCCAGCCTCTAGCAATCATAAGCACGTGATCCTCTCGACATTAGTTTATACATAAACTTCACTTATAGACCTACTGAATTGTAGTGCTACACTATGATAATCACCCATTTTAATTATTCCAGCAGAATATATCGCTTCTTTAGGATTACTTGAAAATTACAGACTACTGAGAGTTAAGTAGTTTACTTTAGTTTAGTTTCATACTTGAGTTTCTGCAGTGTGTAGTGTGGATCCTCCAGTGTGTGTTGGAGCAGCTGGACTCCTGATTGTCCTGGGTGATTGTAGCTCAGATCCAGCTCTCTCAGGTGTGAGGGGTTTGAACTCAGAGCTGAAGATAGAAAACCACAGCCTTCCTCTGTCACCATACAGCCAGACAACCTGCAGACACAGACCAGAGTGCAAATTATAATATAGTATAGAATCCATAACTTTAAATATTAATGACCCGGCCGGAAAGTCGCACCTCAGTATCTCCAGCTGACAGTTTGGACTCTTCAGTCCATCAGAGAGCAGCTTCACTCCTGAATCCTGCAGGTCATTGTTACTCAGGTCCAGCTCTCTCAGGACACAGTTTGAGGATTGAAGAACTGACGACACAATTTCACAATCCTGAGCAGAGAGATTACAGCCAGCAAGACTGGAAGAGAGAAGAACAAGAGAATTGAAAACAAGATAAATATACACAAGAAACTAAAGAAGTAACACATCATTAAACACTCACAGAGCTCTTGTGCAGTTGCTGACGGCTGGTATCAGTCTTCTTCTGCCCTCATCTGATGTGTTGTATTTCTGGAGCTCCAGCTCATCCAGCACCTCCTCTGACATCTGAAGCATGTAGGCGATTGTTGAGCAGTGAGCAGGAGAGAGTTTCTTCTCTGACTGTTTGTCTGATTTCACAAACTCCTGAATCTCTCTGGACAGAGTCTGATCTTTCACTTCCAGCAGACAGAGGAACAGATTGATGGATCTTTCAGTGGAGAGTCCATGTCCATCTCTGATCTTCTCTTTAATGTACTGTGTGCTTCTCCTGATGCTCTCTGAGCTCTTCTCTGTGTGTGTCAGTAGATCCTGGAAGAGTCTCTGATTGGACTCCAGTGAGACGCCCAGCAGGAACCGCAGGAACAGATCCAGATGACCACTCTTACCCTCAGTGGCTTTATCTACTGCTCTTCTCTGTAAATCATGCAGTGAATCTAAACATGCCTCTGTGGTGTTGCTTATGTTGTGGTAAAACACATAGAAAGCAGCGAGGAACTCCTGAACACTCAGATGGATGAAGCTGTAGACTTTCCTCTGCTGATACACAGATTCTTCCCTTAAGATCTCAGTGCAAATCCCAGAATACACTGAGGCATAAGTGACATTTACGCCGCTCTCAATCAGGTCCTCCTCATAGAACATCACATTGCCCTTCATCAGCTGTCTGAAAGCCACTTCAGCAAGTTTGACAATCACTTCTCTGTTGGACTGCAGGAGTTTCTCTGGATCTCTCTCTTCATACTTCTGATTCCTCATGTTGATCTGAATCAGCAGGAAGTGGATGTACATTTCAGTCAGAGTTTGAGGGATTTCTGCACTCAGATCTTCTTCCAGAAGCTTCTGAAGCACAGTGGATGAGATCCAGCAGAAGACGGGTATGTGGCACATGATGTGGAGGCTTCTTGCTCTTCTGATGTGTGAGATGATTCTGCTGGCTTGATGCTGCTCACTGATTCTCTTCCTGAAATATTCCTCCTTCTGAGGCTCAGTGAATCCCTGAATTTCTGTCAGACGCTTGATGTATTTGGAGGGGATCTGATTGGCTGCTGCTGGTCTGGAGGTGATCCAGATGAGAGCAGAGGGAAGCAGCTCTCCTTTCATCAGCTTTGACATCAACACAGCCACTGATGAAGTCTCAGTCACATCACAAACTTTCTGAGCGTCTGAAAACATCAGTGTGATTCTGCTTTCATCCAGACCATCAAAGATGAACACAACTTTACACTCCTCATAAATCTTGGGCTCCAGATCTTCAAGTTCAGGATGAAAGTCCAGCAGAAGTCTGTGAAGACTGTACTGATGATCTCTGATCAAGTTCAGCTCTCGAAATGGAAGCACAAACATGAAATCTACATCCTGATTGGCTTTTCCCTCGGCCCAGTCCAGAATGAACTTCTGCACAGAGACGGTTTTTCCGATTCCAGCGATGCCTTTAGTAAGAACAGTCTTGATTTGCTCTTTCTCCTCTTTAAAGATGTCATTGCAGTAGATTGGAGTGTGTTGGGAGTGTTTTGTTCTGGCTGTTTTCTCCATCTGTAAAACCTCATGTTCTTCATTCACTCCTTCACTCTCTCCCTCTATGATGTACAGCTGGGTGTAGATGCGGTTCAGGAGGGTTTGATTCTCTTGGAGTTTGATTCCCTCAAATAATCTCTCATATTTATTCTTCATGTTGGTTTTGTGCTGGTCTTTGACTCTCTGCAGGTCTCCAGTCTCTAGCATGTGTGCATCAGTGTTGTCCTGTATAATGGGAGTCTGATAGTTGGGTGTTGAGTTTGGAACTGGTGTGATCAGCTTACGTATCTTTTTTCTCCTTTAAGGAAGAGGAATTTTTAATTAATAAACATTTTGAGGTGTATTAAGGGTTTATTGTTTTAAAACAGTTATTAGTCTGATTTATCCTACAGTGTGTAAGAAATATTATAATAAGTAATACTAACTGCGGGTCAGAGGTCACTGGTTCAACACTTAATAGCGGAGGAAAATTCATAGATCTGTCACTCTTCAGAGAAACACCACTGGGCTTTGGAGACTCTGATCTCGGTCTCTTCCTCCTGATTACACTGACAAAAGAAATAATACGTTTTAGACTCATCTAAAGCATCTGACAACCCAAATATTTTCCAAACAAACAACCTTTTACACATGATTCATCGTTAAAGGGGGGAACAAAATTGTGTGTGTAAAAGTGTTATCATACCAGAGTTACATTTTTTAGTCACACCCAGGCCTGATGACTGCCACAAACATGCAAAACCCGTTTTTCATATCACTGTTTTTTTTCCATTCTCTGACAAAAATTACTTCAAACTACCTGAGGTCAGAGGTCACTGATGCATTATTGAGGGCAGGAGGAGTTTTCTCAATGGACCCATCACTCTCTACAGATCCACAGATTGATCCAGGAGATGCAGAACTCATTTCAGAGTCAGAGTCCTCATCTTCTCTCTTCTTTAGACTCATTTTAGTGTTCACCTGCTGTCATTTACTGAAAGAGTATTGAGACACTGATGTTAGACAATATATTTGGAAACACATGAGTTCTCTTGGTACCAAGGTACAACTTAATGTGAATGACAGTTTACAGTTTAATAATTACCAACCCCATAATAACAAGGACATATGAACAGGTTAATTAATTTCTCAAATCAGAAAGGGTTGGGACAGTGTGGAAAACTCAAATCAAAAAAGGTGATTTTTTAGATTTACTTGCTTCCAAGAAAGGTCTAGTCCTTTAGTTCCTATATGAGAAAATGACTGAAATGTTAAAACACAATGTTCCTCAAAGAAAGAGAGGAAGACGTGGATATTTCACCTTCAACAGTGCAGAACATCATCACAAGATTGAAGGAATCTGGAGGAGTTTCAGTGCGTAAAGGACAAGAGCACAAGCCTAAGCTGAACAACCGTGATCTTCGACCCCTCAGGGGGCGCTGCATCAAGAGACCTAATTCATCTATAAGCCAGATCAGCACATGGGTTCAGGACTACCGTGGCAGATCATAAGTACCACAGTACAGAGTTACATCCACAAATGCCAATTAAAACTGTACTATGCCAAAAAGAAGCCCTATGTTAACAGTGTCCCAAAGCGTTGTTGACTTCTCTGGACTCGGAGGTATCTGGGATGGACCATCACACAGTGGAAACATGTACTGTGCTCAGATTAATCAGTATATCAGGTATTTTTTGGGAGAAATGGACAGTGTGTGCTCTGGAACAAAGAAGAAAAGGATCATCCAGACTGTTCCTAGCAACAAGTCCAAAAGCCAGGCTCTGTCATGTTCTGGGGTTGTGTCTGTGACCTTGGTAAAGGTAACCTGCACCTCTGTGTATGGCACTATTATTGCTGAAAAGTACACAAAGATTTTGGAGCACAATATGCTGCCTTATTTTCCATGGACGCCTGTGAATATTTCATCACGACAATGCTAAACCACATTCTGCACACATTACAGAGTCCTGCTGTGGAGGAAGAGTCTCTAAACGTCTTTTAAGTGTTGTGAAGAGGAATGACAACATTACAAAGTGGTAAATGCTTTGCTGATACAACTGTGTATAATTGTGCTGCAATAACCTAAATTAAAATAAAAACACATTAAATAATGTCTGTTGTACTGTCTGCAATGAAACACAATCAAAGTATATTTAGAAAACATTTCTTTCTTTTGTATTTGCATTTTCCACATGGTTCCAACTTTTTCTCATTTGGGGTTGTATAATAATAGTTTTTATAATAATTAAAAATTATTTCTGATTAGTTTAATTTAGAACACGTTTGCACCAAAATTGTTGGTGTGTTGAGGGTTTTTTACTTCCTGCTCTTTTCTTTCCAATTGATTATCCTGTACCTTTTTAAATATTTAACAAAACACAGTAAAAGAAGCTGTCTACTCCAATCTTCTGCTGGTCATCGCAAACATTAATGGCCATCATTATTATTTATATTGAAATAAACAAACCTGTAAGAAATGCAAAAACCTCAGAGATAACGTCTAAAAATAAAGATCAAATCTATTTTTTTATTTATTTATTATGTTTATGTAGGAAATACATTTCTTTATATATTTTCAATATTACAGCTTAAGTTCTAAAGTCTATACGGTGCATGAAAGGCTATATAAAATGATAAATATAAACCTCACAGCTTGGAATAATTCTAAATTACAACACACTATAGGTACTTATATAAAACAAAGAGAGTGTGATAAAACATACTATATAAACATGTCGAGCGCAACACTTTCACAATCACAGCTCACAATCAAGCCACTTTGATTTAACTTGCACTAAGGAATAACTAAGGTTATTATTCACAATTTAAATCCCATGAGAAGACAACAAATGAAGCATCAGCACACTTTTGTGATGTGGTTACATGAAGAAAGGCTTTTTGAACTTACCCCAAAATGTGTGTCCATACAGGTTCACTGAGGGTAATAATACAGGGAAAGCCACAGAATGTCGTCCTCTACCCTTTTCTCTTTCACTTCTTCACCTGGTTAAGGTGTGTCATCTTCATTTTTTAAGCAGGATATGCAAATCAAACTAGGCTACTACACTGCAACAAGCAAAGCTGTTGAACAGCACTGCATAGGTCAAATCTACATCATTTATTTACAACAAACACATATAAAAAACTAAACTGCTTTTGGAACAAGGACAACAATGCAAAAGACAATGATTCCATACATCTTCCTTTGACTGTTCACTCAGTGTACACTTCTCTTCATGATTATAAAAAAAAATCATTAATTTTTTTTTTTTTTTTTTACAGCTTAGTCCCTTTATTAATCAATGGTCGCCCCAACAGAATGAACCGCTAACTTATCCAGCATATATTTTACACAGCAGATGCTCAGGTAGAGAATTCTTAATAGCAGTACTTGATGAACACATATGTAAACTTCTTTTTTTTTTATTAGTAAACTGCATAAAAAATGGGAAGTCAAATATTTTCACAGAACATTTCACAATATAATTTAGTTTGTGTTTTTATTTTGTACTTTCATGTAAAGTACACATCATACATTAAAAATATGCCATTTTGCTCTGTAACAGCTGTTGACATGTTGTGTTTCCAGTTTGGCAATACACATATAGAAGGCCAAGAGTAAAACAGCAGCTCATCTTTATCTGATTACGTTACAAAACAAAATGTTAAAAATGTGAAAGACTCTTCCTTGTGCTTCACTATATTAGTTCTAGTCTTGTTTCCTTTTACTCCACCCACATCAACACAGGTTTTACTTCCTCTAGTGCAGAGCAAGACTCATTAATGTGTGTGCGTTAACTTGTGGCTGTTCAAAGTAAGATGTGTAAACTCTGCTTATACCAAAAGCTTATACCAAAAACTCTCTCACTGCTTCACCATAGTGTTTAATGGACTCAAACACAGTCCTCTAAATCTCTCAGGCCTGAATCAACTTTACAGAGAAGGGCCGTTTGACTTTTTTGTAAGATTATGATCATTCACCCCACCCAATCAGCAGGGGCGGATTTAACCAGTTAGCGAGGTAAGCGGTCGCTTAGGGCCCCAGGAAATCTGGGGGGCCACAATAAATATCTAAATATATAAATTATACCTATAAACTATATATAATGTTATTTTCTACACTATTTTTTATGGTGAGATTTAGGGCGTACTCACACTATGCTATCCGAACCGTGCCAAGGTCCGTTTCCTAGATTGTTTCAGAAGTGTGTGCGCTGAATCTGGCTCAGGCGTGGTTCACTTGGCCGGCCCTGGCCTGGTTGGAAGAGGTGTGCCAGAGTGCGGCTTTGGTGGGGTACGCTTGTAGTGTGAGTGTAAAACGCACCTGAGCCCGAAACTGAAGATGAGACGTGACTTTTAAGGGACTGTTTGATATGGATTTATTAATCAATCTTACTGTTCTATCAAAGCAAATTGTCGTAGCTTATTTATGACGCAAACCCCTCACTGCACGACAGCTGCACCTTCAGCAAACCTCCTCATTCTTGCAGCACGAGGACTTTATGTCAGTTTATGAGCAGCAAAAGTGGAGGATCTGTTCTGCGAAATATTTCACTGGATGTCATCGCATCCCAAACCACTAAACGATATAACTAAAGTAATGTCCACTGTGCTGAACTAGAGCGCTTACTGAACAGCGCATCATCGGTGATGTAAGCATGCCCAGGCTCGCTTACATCATGTGAGTCCGGGCCGTCGGGGGAGACGGGAGTGGGGACAAGTGTGCTTTGGCCAGGTTCAAGGCAACTGTACATAGTGTGAGTACGCGATTAAACAAATACAATTTTAACATGATTAAATATCATTTAGAATGCAACCAAATATTATATAATCATAATAATGTAATTTTATGTAATAATAATAATATTACCAAATAAAATATCAATCATGGACCAGCAGTCAAATTTGAAAAATATATATTTATCATTTTTAGTTGTATTCAAAATTAATTTTAAAATTAGTTGTAGTTTAAAATTCATTAATCTACAATTAATAATCTGGCATTATGTTACAGCAGTTCCTTCTGCTTTGGCAATCCCTGATTAATAATGGGACTAAGCCAAAAAGAAAATGAATGAATGAATGACAAGGACTGTACAATAAAGCAAAATATCAGGTATGGAGAAAACCTTTTGTTTAATATTATGAGCAGCATAAACTGAGCAAAATGTAACAGTTCATGCAGCCCATGTGGATTAATATTAGTCTGTGGATCCCCTGAAACATTGAAGACATCTAAAAGAGCTTTTTACAAGAGCACAAATCTCTACCCAAACAATATATATACCCTATGAGTGTATGAGTGTGTGTGTGAATGTGGATGTTTCCTCAAGATGGGTTGTGACTGGAAGGGCATCCGCTGCGTAAAAACTTGCTGGATAAGTTGGTGGTTCATTCCGCTGTGGCGACCCCGGATTAATAAAGGGACTAAGCCAACAAGAAAATGAATGAATGAATGAACAAAAATGTCCCCACAAACATAGTAATACCAGTCATTTTTAACTTTGTTTTTTTAACCCTATGAGGAAAATATCTAATAAATCACACAGAATGGAGTACTTTGAGTGTTTTCTGTGAGGGGTTGGGTTTAGGGGTAGAGCTTGGGTAGGGGGAGAGAATATACAGCCATAGAAACATTATTACAGCTATGTGGAGTCCTCATATGGCCTGAGTGGTACAGTGTGATTTGGTACGCTTTATGGCCGTTTTCACTGTAGAAAGGTACCAAAAAGCGAACTGTGCCCTACCACTTTGTGTGTATCCTTTGCAAAGGGTACCTAGCACAGGAAAAGGGTACCAAAAAGTGGAGCTAGACGCGCAGCTGAACGCTATTGGTTTACAGAGAAACGTCACTCGTACATACACAAGCAGAATAATGAAGACAAAGAAACCACCATTTTTAAAAACACAGCCGAGACATTAAATCGCAATACTATATGCATATAATAACGTTCTATAGTCGACCCAAGCTCAAACAAACCATGTCTTGATGAACAGCCACAAAGCCAAGAAGAACAAAACCTGCAGTGTTCTGTTTTTGTTTCACGAGGCCGACTAAAAGTGCGAGTGGTTTCACTTTCTCCAGGACGCTTGCGATTGCTCATGTGAATGTCTGTATTTGAAATAACAAACTTCTTGAGCTGATGATAATAACGTGCGCATGATTATTGAAGCGCTCTAAAATCCGATCCTTTCAGAAACAAATAAAAGTGAGAGTGAAGCGCAAAAAAAAATTAACAAAGGAGAAGCCTGAAAAAACCAACCTAAACCATGAATAAACTGCCATGTTTATCATCGTGTTTTGAACTATTATGAACTGTGAATTACAGAATTACTCTCTAACAGAGGCTACATGTGCTGCTGAAGATGGTGGCTATATGTTGTGTGCTGTTTTTGAACCTAAGTAAGGACTAAATGTATGCTGTGTGTCGTTTTTTCTGTAATTGGTTATGTATTGTAACGTAATGTAATGTAATGTGTATTTATATAGCGCATTTATCGTGTATGGCCATACACCCAAAGTGCTTCACAATCATGCTAGTGTGCAGCTCCACTTGCATGATGCGACGACAGCCACAGGACAACAGCACCAGTGGTTCACCACACAACAGCTACAAGGGGAGTGGAGAGACTGTGATAGAGCCAGATCAGTGGACGGGGATGATTGGGAAGGATATGAGAAACTGCAATGCTCATTGTGGGTTCATGTATGCTGCAATTTTTTATTTATTTTATATGATTGCAGACATTACCGTAGGTTATTTCACATCATTGATCTGCAGTTATAATCAAATCATATTGGTAGAAAGGTTAGGAATAAACATTCATACAGTATTTATGTGTATGAGGCCTCTTTTTTGTGAGAAGTGCTTCTCATATGATATGTGAGTGAACCGTAGACTAAAACAGTGTATTACACTTTACACATATGACATTAACAAGATTGACTTTCACCAATTAAATTAAACTGGCTTTAGAAATGTCTACACACCACTGCCACAGATTTTACACTCTGACTCTAAACTAAAGAATAACAGTCCAATGGGATTATACCTGGTAAGATGCAAAGACCAGTTTTATCTGTCTTGTCAATCATGGTCAGGAATATAAAAAAGGTCATTGAAAATGTAGATAATTAAACTTCTTGTTACTCCAAAAATGAACATTTATCTCCAGTAGTCAAGACTATCTGAAGCTACATGCAATTGAATGAACTCCTACTCTAAGATCACAGAGGTTGTGTTCGAAATGGCATACTTGCTTACTGCCCCAGTATACAAAAGAACTCTGTACTACATTTTTAAGAATAGTGCATAAAGCAGTATATACAATATGCAAACATTTTTCAAAGGGTAGTGTGCTATAATGTTGTCACATGACAAGCCTGCGCATTGTTAATGCAGCAGAGCTGCTAAATCGTGACCTTAGAAATTCAGTTGAAGTCAGAATTATTAACCCTTCTGTTAAATTTTAATCCCTTTTTCAAGAGTTCACACTTAGCTGATGATTGGTAATAAGCTAGTTTGGCATGCTGTCCAGAGAGAGAGCCCCGAGCTCATGAGAGCCTCGAGCCCGGGGCTCCCTCCCGTTGCAGGGCGAGAGGGGAGTTTGAGCTCGGGTAGATCTCGAGAACCCCCCTCCCTCCTGCTGCGTGAGGGTTGCTGACAGAATTAAATCAAATTTGGTGCTAATTTGGATTAGTCAATGTACTTAAGTGTCATGTTTTTGGGAGTGTGGGAGGAAACCGGAGGACCCGGGGAAAACCCACGCAAGCACGGGGAGAACATGAACTCCACACGAAAATGCTGACCGTTTGGGTAGATGCCCGAACTGGAGGCATTTTGCTGTGAGGCTGCAGTGCTAGCCACTGGGCCACCTTGCTGCCCTGTAGACAAAGGAGGAGGCGAAGGGGTGGAAGGGGGGATTCTTCAAGACAAAGATGACTAAAGGTAAGGTGTTTGGTTATTTATACTTGGTTAGGAGTAGTCTGATTGGTGGTTCGTACATTAGCTTGACTCGGAGTCAGCCGTGTCAGTCATAAGCACGTGATCCTCTCGAAATTAGTTTATGAATAAACTTCACATAGTTTCCTCAAGTTCTGTTTATTGGAGAAATTTTTTTTTAAACACAACACAAACACACACACACACACATATATATTTATATAAGATTATAGTCTACTCAGAGTTTGTTGTAACAGGTTACCAACATTGACATTATACATTAAGAAACTAATAGAAAAGGTATCCAGACATCTGTCAATATAGTACAAGTTGGTTAGCAGTATGCAATTCAAATACAGTACTAATTTGAATTACATTTAGCAGATACTGGCAAATATTGTTGGTCATCCGCATATTCCATGCATGCAGAAATGTGCATACTATGAAATAGTGAGTAGTGTGATATTATTGAATTTCAAACACAGCCTAGGAGAAGGTAACCCTGCAATAAGGACAGGAGCACTCCTGACAACAATGACCTTCTTTCATTGTTTCTTCTTCCTCAAGTACTCTCAAATATATTCACATTACTACACTGATTTGGTCTATACTACTTTAACATACTTTACCCTACAAAACAGCTGGAGATTGAAGACATATGTTTGTGACATCTCAGATATTTCTCACATCAGGCTTCTAAATGTTGCACAAAGACAGTGAGGAATCAAACACTCTGAATCCAGCATAGAGGGGTTCAGTGAATGTGGTGTTGAATGTGTGTAAGTGTGTGAGTGTGTGTGTGTCAGAGACACTGTAGAAGGACAGAGAGCCAGACTCAGTGTCCAGATACACTCCTACTCTATTAGACAGAGGTGAAGGGGCTGGTATGATTTGGCTCTTATTATTGTGCCAGACATTGAACCCATTGCCAGTGTAGAAGAGACTCCAGGACTTTTCACTGTATCCAAACCAACAGTCACTTCCTGCTTTCCTCCGAATTCCTTTATAGGCCACGGCTATATCAGTGCCCTCACCACTCCATTCAACCTCCCAGTAACAGCGTCCAGTCAGAGTCTCTTTACACAGAACCTGCTCTTGGTGCACAAATTTCTCAGGATAATCAGTATATTGCTGAGGGTCTTTGACATGTGTCACCTTTCTTTTATCCTCAGACAGGATGAGTTGATTGTGTGCTGTGTTTGGATCCAGTGTCAGAAAACATGCATCTGAACACAAGAAGAGAGATGAAAACTCTACAAAGGACAGTTTCTGTGAGAGTGTGAACAGAGTGTGAGAGTGTGTGTAAGACAGAAAAGACCTACATTTTCTCAGTCCTGGTGTGATTCTGAAATGGCCTCCATGATCCCAACTAGAAGAGATAAATATAAAACATAAATGATGAAAGATTGACTATTAAATATGTAAATATGTAAATATGTAACCAAATATGTAAATATACAATATGTATATGTATATTTAAAAAAAGGCAATTAGAAATAAAAAATGCAGAAACTAAACACAGATTTACATATTACATAGAAAAAACACCATTACTTAGTTTAATGAAACAGTAGACTGAAGAAAAGGTGGCAGTTAACCCAAACAAAGTGTTATCCTGCTGGAAGTAGCCATCAGAAGATGGAGACACTGTGCTCATAAAGGGATGGACATGGTCAGCAGCAATACTCAGGTAGGCTGTGGCGTTGATGCTCAATTGGTACTAATGGACCCAAAGAAAATCTCCCCCACACCATTACACCACCACCACCAGCCTGAACCGCTGATACAAGGCAGGATGATCCATGCTTTCATGTTGTTGAGGCCAAATTGTGAGCCGAGCATCCGAATGTGTCAGCAGAAATGGAGACTCATCAGAGCAGCAACGTTTCTCCAATCTTCTATTGTCCAGTTTTGGTGAGTCTGTGTGAATTGTAGCCTCAGTTTCCTGTTCTTAGCTGACAGGAGCGGCACCCGGTGTGCTCTTCTGCTGCTGTAGCCCATCCGCCTCAAGGTTGGACGTGTTGTGTGTTCAGAGATGCTCTTCTGCAGAGCTCGGTTGTAACGAGTGCTTATTTGAGTTACTGTTGCCTTTCTATCAGCTGGAACCAGTCTGGCCATTCTCCTCTGACCTCACCAACAAGGCATTTGCGTCCATAGAACTGCCGCTCACTGGATATTTCCTCTTTGTCGGAGCATTCTCTGTAAAGCCTAGAGATGGTTGTGCGTGAAAATCCCAGTAGATCAGCAGTTTCTGAAATACTCAGAGCAGCCCGTCTGGCAGCAACAACCATGCCACGTTCAAAGTCTCTTAAATCCCTTTTCTTTCCTATTCTGATGCTCGCTTTAAACTGCAGCAGATCATCTTGACCATGTCTACATGCCTAAATGCCTTAAGTTGCTGCCATGTGATTAGCTGATCAGACATTTGCATTAACAAACATTTGGACAGGTGTACCTAATAAAGTGGTAGGTGCCACGTTGCTAAAAACACTTTTTGAAGCAATGTCTCGATGATAAGGTCATTGTGTAAATTGTCATTGGTCATCACTACTGGCAATTACACAGTGACGTCACTGAGTTTTCAGCATGTCTGTGCATTCATTCTGTGCAAAGCTAGATGGACCTAATTCTCAGGTCTGCTGTAAATGTTGCTCACCCAATCACTGTCCATATCCCCTGCATCGGTGTTTGCAAATCAGCTATTTTTACACATGTAACAATAATCCCCTTTTTACACAAACCATTCCCTCTTTCACCCCAGGTGAAAAAAATATATAATTAAATGCATTTAAAATACACTTAAATAACCGCAAATACATTTTTAGTACATTGTTATGTTTTTGTGTTAAATAAAAGTTTGATGATTTTACACTATAAATATACTAATTAAAAGTATGTTTATACTTCAGTAGGACTTTAGTACACTTGACAAAAGTATACCAAATACCAGTAATACTTAAATAATTTTTAGTGTACTACAATAAAGTACACTACAGAAAAAAAACATCCAAAAGACTTTTATTAGTGTTTTTCAAAAGTGTACTTTAAATGCTTTAAACATAAGTTGATTTTTAGTACACTGTTTACATACTAATCCTAAGTTTAAAATAAGTTAATATATAAAAAATCTATTAGTAATGTATTGTAGTAGAAGTACATTTTCCCAAAAGTTGTACTTAAGTACACTTAATGTGAATGCAATATTATCACTAAAACTTAAATTTATTTTGAGTGTGGTAATTTAAGTTTACATTAAATTGACTTTATTAAAAATCTATTAGTAATGTATTGTAGTAGAAGAACATTTACCCAAAATGTCTTTACTTTTCATACATGTGCTGTAATGTTGCATCTTATTTATATTTTTGTGTTCTCAGTTTTTGCTAAGTTTTTGTTCCCTCCCATAAGGTATTTTTGGCTTGTGGTTTATTGCACAAAGAGATTAAAGTGTTTTGATGAAGCACAGATGCTGTTTTCTTTGTACACACAGTATCCCAGGTGAAAAAAAAGTGTGCTAAAATGCACTTTATTTAAGTATACTTAGTACACTTTTCAGTAATGTACTAAAAGTGCTCTATTTTCGCACACTAATTTTGTACTTAATGTACTAAAAGATAGTAGTAAGTATATGTTAAGATAAGCTTAATACCATCTAAGTGTACTCAACTGCTATTATGAGACATCCTGAAATTGAACTAAAATGTGCTTTTAACATACTAAACATTTAATTAAAGAATATATTTTGAAGGGATACTGTGTGTAAAAAAAAATAAAAATCTGTGCTTCATCAAAACACTTTAATCTTTTAGTGCAATAAACCACAAGTCCAAAAATACCTTATGGGAGGGAACAAAAACTGAGAACACAAGAATATAAATAAGATGCAACATTACAGCACATATATGAAATGTAAAGACATTTTGGGAAAATTTTCTTCTACTACAATGCATTATTGATTGTAGTATGATATTGATATGATTTTTAATAAAGTCAATTTAATGTAAACTTAAACTCAAAATCTTCTTAAGTGTTAGTGATAAAAATGCATAATAGCATAATAGCAGTTGAGTACACTTAGATGGTATTAAGTTTATCTTAACATATACTTAATACCATCTTTTAGTACATTAAGTACAAAATTAGTGTGCGAAAATAGAGCACTTTTAGTACATTACTGAAAAGTGTACTAAGTATACTTAAATAAAGTGCATTTTAGTGCACTTTTTTTTTTCTTTTACCTGGGACCACTTTACACTCTCACCTAAACAAAGCTGGATACACTCACCTTTTAGACTTTTTTTCAAACTAAAGGTGTAAAAACACCCTGCTGAGTCGGGGGTTTCATGACCCTTTAAAATATGGCGAGTATCAAAAAGGATAAATGATATCCAATAGACTTAATGAAAATCCAATAGACTGATGGAGAATATATTTTTGTTACTGGTCTGAGGGGTACAATAAGGGAGGGTATGAACATTGCCAGAAGCCAGTGGAGTACGAGTATGATGATGATGGAGACTGGTTTACCAATGACAGAACTTTCATGGCTCACTCCAAAGGGCCGCTAACCTGTGTGGTGGTGGATAATGGGGTGCTGAACACTGAGGATGGTTGTGTGGAATTTAAAGTTAAGATTAGTACCTACAATGTCATCTCTAGAATTCAATGATCTTTCCTCTGGGCCGTAAACGTTCCACAGCGACAACAGCTCAGAATCTTTACTGTGCAGGCAATTCCATCATACAGTACAGTATCTTACAGTATCTTCCTTATTACAGTTTGGGAAGAGGGGGATCCTCCATTGGATAAAATCAGTCATCAAAGGAGGAGCAGGTGAGTGGTATGGGTTGAGGAGTAAAATTTGAAATATAGAATTATTTATGTAGTGGTGATGGAGTTGGGGGGCTAATGAAGCTCAACTTCCTACAGGGATGTGCAGCCAGATGTCCATGGTGGAGAGTTAAACTTTATGTTCTGGTTAGAAGACAAGAGTGGAGGTTCTCCAGCTATCATAGTGATGTCTTGCTTCTCATGCTATCCACCAAACATTTTGGTGGGCAGTGTTCCAGAACCTCTCAGTCACCTGGAACCAATGAGTCATAGATGGAAACTCTGATGGTTTTCCTGATCTTCCCAAGGAGGTTGGTAGCCAATAAAGCAATAGATGATTGTTAGATCCATAAACGGTTGACAGACGGAGTTCTGTATGTACTCAGCCCATGTGGTGTAGTGATTCCAGGAATCTCACAGATTTTTCTTTCAGTTTGGCAATTGTTTTGGAAATTGTATTCAAAAGACAGGCTGATAGTCACACCTTGGATTGAGAAAAAAAGATCTAGATGAATTGAGGACTTTGTCAGAAACCTTACCCTCTGATATACCAAACTTAGGCAATATGTGTTGGAACAAATATGTTCAGTCTTCAATGCAGGCCTTTAGGGGTCCGAGTAAAAAGACTTTTAAAAAATCGATAGATTGCAACTAGGATGCAAGTGAATCCATTGGAGAAACGCAGAACTATCACAAAGTCCAATCCTACATGTGACCAAGGAAACTGAGAAGTAGAAAGAAATAGCATTTTTAATGAAGGTAGATGTTGAGGTATACTCTCACTCTTGTGTTACAACCCCAAAGATTTGATTGGTCCAAGGGTGACCAGTGACCATGGCAGCGTGGATGGAGTGCATGAGGTTAAGGCAAATTCATTTGTGCATGTAGGTGAGGTTGGGAGAATATTCAATTAGAAAGACAATTCTGGTTGATATATCAACACAGCTTTCTTAGGAGGTTCTAAAGGCCACGGTAATTAGGTTTCTTTTACAGTTGTTGTACAGTGATCACTTCTACCTTCCTCTCATGAATGCAGATACCCTTGGAGCTTATGTTATAGACATGGAATAGAATGGCAATTTGGCAAAAAAGGCCCTGTCCATTTTGCAGACAAAGAAGAAACTGGAAGCAGCAGGGGATAAAATGTAAAGATATAAACCTGCTAGAGTGGGTTAATATATAATATCATATACTCCTTGATGTACTCCTCCATTGCATCAGCTCTGAAACGGACAGAAAGTAAACCTCTGAGCCTTGGTTCACTAAGAAGCAGGTCTATAGCACATTCCCATGGTCCATGAGGTTGTAATTGAAAGCTTTGTTTCAGGCCGAAGACATCATGGGCATAGCAGCTGGGATTTCCATGGACTGCTTACCAATAGGGCTCTCAATTGATGTGGATTAGACATGGAACAATGAAGTGGCTGTGGTGCAAAGTGGTAGGAAAGGGAAACATCAGGAAAAGCAGTCTTTCTAGACATTCAGATTTCCTCCCAGTGGTGGAGTTATCTTCAGTGTAGAACTGACAGTCCTAAAGCTAGGTTAGGAACACACAATACTTTTCCTTGACGAGTGGAATTTTTTTTCCCTTTTTTTGAAACAGTGATGCTTGCAGAGGTCTTTGGAAAAATATTTGCTGCCCGAGTTAAGAAGGGCATAAACTGTAACAAAGCGATATGGATTAATAAGCTGCACAATAATAGTGGGATGATGCAATTTTGCAGTAGAGTATGAAACTACTCTCACCAAAGGACATGAAGGACAGATAGGGGAACATCTAGGTGACATGCCTTTTTTGACTACAATATAACCATAATCCTTGGATCAGCTGACAATGATGCTCAGTCCAGAGAAGAATGGAGTGGTGAACCTGTATGGGCTCGCCATGGTATAAAGAGCTTTCCACATATCCCTTAATTTATTTAGTGATATGGATAGAAAGTTGGTGTCATCATAGGCTGAGTGATGTAGTCAGAGATAGCCTTCAAGTCCTAGATGTACAAAATGGATGAAATTCAAGAACATAACCCTGAATGGATTTCTTGCCTTAGTACAGATGATACAATTGTCACAAATAGATGAAAACCCAGATGTTCTGCCAAAACCCAATGAAATTGAATGATGAAGGCATAGAGGGACTAAATGACAAGACACATTTTCCAGACAAAGTGTTTCAGTGCATTACAGCACTCAACCTGTAAGCAGAGACAACATGCAATGCAGAGAAAAGCAATATTTGACCTCTTGGTGGGAAAGCGATGCAGCTGCTTATCTAGGGTGAGTGAGCATTGGACATTTCTAGTATAATATCTCATGACTGCAACACATACTTGAGTTTCTGCCGTGTGTAGTGTGGATCCTCCAGTGTGTGTTGGAGCAGCTGGACTCCTGATTGTCCTGGGTGATTGTAGCTCAGATTCAGCTCTCTCAGGTGTGAGGGGTTTGAACTCAGAGCTGAAGATAGAAAACCACAGCCTTCCTCTGTCACCATACAGCCAGACAACCTGCAGACACACATATTGAAAATTGTATGTTTAATGAGCCAGATAACTTGAACATCTACTAATGTCTAAAAAATAGTGTCTCTTGGTGTCTACATTTCCAGTGAACACCACTAATTTCCATTAGCTAAACTGTATTCATACATAAATTTAGGTTAACTATATTGAGTCTTGGCTAGACTATGCTCATTGAGCCTATACTTGGTAAGTATCTTCTCTAACAACCGAGAGATATTCTTCCATTTTTTTATTTTATTGATAGAATAAAACATATGAAAGTATGAAAGAATTTTAATTTATTTTGCACTTTAGTTTCTTTCTCCAAATGTTCCAGCTATACAATTTAAGGTTGTTGGTATGAATACTTATTTTGATGTTGTAAAAGCAGCGGTTCTGCTCTGATATCCATTTTTACATTTACATTTACATTTAGTCATTTAGCAGACGCTTTTATTCAAAGCGACTTATAAATGAGGACAAGGATGCAATTTACACAACTATAAGAGCAACAATGAACAAGTGCTGTAGGCAAGTTTCAGGTCTGTATAGTCTAAGAAGGAAAGTATTAGTAGTATTAGTATTTATTTTTTATTTTTTTTTGGGGTACAGATTTTTTAAAATAAACATCGTAAACATAGTAAACATTTTTGATGTTTATACACCTTAGAAATAGTCATTTTTCATTTTAAAATATTCATCAGGTTTGATTTTGCATGCATAGCAAGGCATTTGTGAAGTGTTTTGACAATTCAAAGCCACCATAAAAGCGAAGCCAAAATCCAGAATACTGTCAGACTTTGTCCTGTAGTACAGAGCACTTTTTTTTGTTATCGTTATGATAGACAAGATTGTAGCAGACACACACACAACAGCCAATTTTGTCAACCCAACTTACTTATACAGTATGTGTTTGGACTGTGGGGAAAACCGGAACACCCAATATGCAAACTCCACACAGAAATACCAAATGGCCCAGCTGGGACTTGAACCACCAACCTTCTTGCTGTGAGGCGGCAGTGCTAACCACTAAGCCATCGTGCCACTCGAATTTAAGGGGTTTTATTGTTAACATTTTTACACTTGAGACCAGATTGACAAATGCATCCGAATACTAGTGTCAACAGGGCCTGATTTGTTTTACTAGAATGCAATCAAAACTGGGAATCAAAATTGGAATCGACATTGATAACAAGATAACATTTTAATGATGCCCAATCCTATTTAATACCTCTTGGATATACTAAATGACCAAGCTATTGAATCAATGGATTTTTTTATTCCCTGATGGCATGGGCATAATCATAGATGCCAATGTCAAGATTCATGTGGCTCAAGTTGTGAAAGACAGCTTAAAGATGGTTTAAGGAGCAATTAGACATACTTTTTTACTATTTAATTATTAGACATACAATGGATTGGCCACCACAAAGTCCTTAACCTTATTGAGAATCTTTAGAATGTGCTGGAGTACATGTTGTACAGTGGCCCATCTCTCCCATCAAAAAAAAAAAAAAAAAGGTTATAGCAAAAAATATATGAAACTCGGGATGTGGATAAATGTTGTGACACTTAAAAATCATATTAAAACGATGCTATGAGGAATGCATGCCATAATCAATGCTGAAGGCGGTGTGTGACATTTTTAATTGCTTTAACTTGTTAAACTTCTAGGTCATTCAATTTGAATTAATGGCATTTGTGATAATTTTGGTTTAAATCCTTAAAAATATGTTTGCCGTTAAATATCCAAACTTAAAAATACAAAGTACTGATCAAAAAATAAGTTGTATCAAATATCAATTCTAACATGCCGCAGTATCTCTAGATGACAGTTTGATTATCTAAAGATCAACATTATGTCCACCTGACTGTACATTTTCCTTCACATGTTCTTATTACCTCAGTATCTCCAGCTGACAGTTTGGACTCTTCAGTCCATCAGAGAGCAGCTTCACTCCTGAATCCTGCAGGTCATTGTTACTCAGGTCCAGCTCTCTCAGGACACAGTTTGAGGATTGAAGAACTGACGACACAATTCCACAATCCTGAGCAGAGAGATTACAGCCAGCAAGACTGGAAGAAGAGGAGAACAAATGAAAATAAAATTTTACCAAAAATAAACACAAGATCTATTTATACGAAAGAATTTCCATTCAGAAAAGTTTCTTCACTGTAACACTGGATTCGACACTCACAGAGCTCTTGTGCAGTTGCTGACGGCTGGTATCAGTCTTCTCCTGCCCTCATCTGATGTGTTGTATTTCTGGAGCTCCAGCTCATCCAGCACCTCCTCTGACATCTGAAGCATGTAGGCGATTGTTGAGCAGTGAGCAGGAGAGAGTTTCTTCTCTGACTGTTTGTCTGATTTCACAAACTCCTGAATCTCTCTGAACAGAGTCTGATCTTTCACTTCCAGCAGACAGAGGAACAGATTGATGGATCTTTCAGTGGAGAGTCCATGTCCATCTCTGATCTTCTCTTTAATGTACTGTGTGCTTCTCCTGATGCTCTCTGAGCTCTTCTCTGTGTGTGTCAGTAGATCCTGGAAGAGTCTCTGATTGGACTCCAGTGAGACGCCCAGCAGGAACCGCAGGAACAGATCCAGATGACCATTCTCACTCTCAATGGCTTTATCTACTGCACCTTTAATCAGGTTTTCTACTGAGGCAAAATTCCTCAGTCCATCCATAGTTGTGTTCACATGGTAGTAAAACACATGGAAAGCAGCGAGGAACTCCTGAACGCTCAGATGGATGAAGCTGTAGACTTTCCTCTGCTGAATCACAGATTCCTCCTTAAAGATCTCAGTGCAAATCCCAGAATACACTGAGGCGTCAGAGACGTCTACGCCGCTCTCAATCAGGTCCTCCTCATAGAACATCACATTGCCCTTCATCAGCTGTCTGAAAGCCACTTCAGCAAGTTTGACAATCACTTCTCTGTTGGACTGCAGGAGTTTCTCTGGATCTCTCTCTTCATACTTCTGATTCCTCATGTTGATCTGAATCAGCAGGAAGTGGATGTACATTTCAGTCAGAGTTTGAGGGATTTCTGCACTCAGATCTTCTTCCAGGAGCTTCTGAAGCACAGTGGATGAGATCCAGCAGAAGACGGGTATGTGGCACATGATGTGGAGGCTTCTTGCTCTTCTGATGTGTGAGATGATTCTGCTGGCTCGATGCTGCTCACTGATTCTCTTCCTGAAATATTCCTCCTTCTGAGGCTCAGTGAATCCCTGAATTTCTGTCAGACGCTTGATGTATTTGGAGGGGATCTGATTGGCTGCTGCTGGTCTGGAGGTGATCCAGATGAGAGCAGAGGGAAGCAGCTCTCCTTTCATCAGCTTTGACATCAACACAGCCACTGATGAAGTCTCAGTCACATCACAAACTTTCTGAGCGTCTGAAAACATCAGTGTGATTCTGCTTTCATCCAGACCATCAAAGATGAACACAACTTTACACTCCTCATAAATCTTGGGCTCCAGATCTTCAAGTTCAGGATGAAAGTCCAGCAGAAGTCTGTGAAGACTGTACTGATGATCTCTGATCAAGTTCAGCTCTCGAAATGGAAGCACAAACATGAAATCTACATCCTGATTGGCTTTTCCCTCGGCCCAGTCCAGAATGAACTTCTGCACAGAGACGGTTTTTCCGATTCCAGCGATGCCTTTAGTAAGAACAGTCTTGATTTGCTCTTTCTCCTCTTTAAAGATGTCATTGCAGTAGATTGGAGTGTGTTGGGAGTGTTTTGTTCTGGCTGTTTTCTCCATCTGTAAAACCTCATGTTCTTCATTCACTCCTTCACTCTCTCCCTCTAGGATGTACAGCTGGGTGTAGATCCGGTTCAGGTGGGTTCCAGTCTCATCTAGTTTGAGTCCCTCAAATAATCTCTCATATTTGTTTTTCATGCTGGTTTTGTGCTGGTCTTTAATTCGGTGTAATTTCTCATAATCTGGTTTGTCCAATGCATCACTCAGCACTGAGTCAAATGTCACTGGTTCATCACTGAAGTTTTCAGGTTGCCCGATGGATCTGTTACTCGTCATTGACAGAACGCTGAACTCTGGAGACGCTGATCTTTGATTTATTGTCTTGCTAATGCTGACAGAATTAAAAGATATTTTTTACACAGTCTGACCGCAAAAATCTTCAATCCTCTAAAAATTTACATTTATTTATTAACAAATAATGAACAGAGCAAAATCAAGTGATAAGTGCTGAAATACCAAGCTAAAATAGTAATGTACATGCTAGAACCGAAATGAATTCAAGCATTGGTTGACGGATTGCAGAGATAAATACAGATATTTGTTATTAATATTATTAAAGAGACAATAGCTACATTACAGTTCTTCCAATTGTTTACACACATTTTCTAAGAGCAGGTCTCGTATTGTCAGAACTCTACACACAAATCACAAAACACACACATTGGGCGAAACTTTTCAATTCTTCTGCAAAATGAAACTCAACGTTCAAAACAATGTGATTTCTTCTCAAAATACTCTTTTGTTTTCAAATGACACACACAAACCATCACATCAATAGACATTCATAAGATCAGTTTAACACTGATTTGCTTAATGTAAAACACTATGACCACTTCTTCTCCATTAATCATTATGACTTTCTGTAAGCCTTTTTTTGTTCAATGTTACACTTTACTAGACAGTAGGCCTACAGAAGTGCACTGTAAAATATTTTAGAGTATTGTTTTTATACAAAACAAACAAATATCAAATATATTTTACTGTATTTTCCTCACAAATACAGTGTACACAGTGTTCATCCCAACCAACACAAAGTTGCAGATAACGTGGTCTACATAACATCAACAGAAGTATTTAAAATACAGTCACAGTAAAAAAAAAACAGCTATACTGCATCCTCTTTTTTGTTTTGGTCGGGCCAAGCAGTGGGGGAAATGTCACCGTGCATGGCGAACCCAGCCACGAAAAGCATCAACTGCTATAGCTTGGAGAAGGAGTATATGTGTGTGTGGATTTCGGTCATACACTTTCCATCTCCAGGCAGAAAAACAATTCCTCAAAAGGTTTGAGGAATGGAGAATATGAAGGGGGAGATACACAACTAAAAACATGGGTGGGCAGTAAACTAGTTGTGAACCAGATGAGCTCTGATTTCTAAATTGCAATTCTGTGTGACAGATGTTTACCTATGTGATGAGTTAGTATGTAAAGTAGGACAACTGACTTTACAATTGTGAATGAAAGTGCGTTCCTTGCGAAAACAAAAGATTTTTTGCATGAACATTGTGCAAAATGCATAGAATTGTGTGTAGTGTTTTGAAAAATAGTGTGTTTTTAACCTGCAATTTGAGTGTAAAGCAGGAATTGTGCTTGTAGTTTAGCAGAGCAGAATTGGTTCAGGGGGTTGGTGCATCAGTTACATGTTGTAGTCATTGTGTCTGAAGTGCAAGTAATTGTGTGTAAACAATTGGGAAAAAACTGTAATTGAAATTTGTTGTCTTTTTACTCTTTGGAAAAAAAATTGACCAGTGTCTTACCTGAGGTCAGAGGTCACTGATGCATCGCTGAAGTCAGGAAGATTTTTTTTCATGGACTGATCACTCTTCACAGACACACAGCTTGATCCGGGAGATGCAGAACTTATTTCAGAGGCAGCATCCTCATCTTCTCTCTTCCTTTTACTCATTTTAATGTTCACCTTCTTTCATTTACTGAAAAAGTATTGAGGTGGTAATTTAAGACATTTTGTGTGGAAACACAAGATTTCCTTAGTCAATGTGAACAACAGCAAAGAAATATTCATTCATTAATTTTGCTTTGACTTAGTCTCTATTTCAGAGGTCGCCACAGCGGATGCCCTTCCAGCTACAATCCACACCCCATATACACTCATTCACAAACTCATACACTACAGTCAATGTAGTTGATCAGTTCGCCTATAGCGCATGTGTTTGGACTGTGGGGGAAACCGGAGCACCCGGAGGAAACCCACACCAACATGGGGAGAACGTGCAAACTCCACAAAGAAAGCCATATGACTCGAACCAGCGTCCTTCTTGCTGTGACGAGACAGTGCAAACCACTGATCCACCGTGTCACCCAAAGAAATATAGGTAATATATTTTTTAATTATATATTTAAAACTTTGATGATAATAGTTGTATTTTAAACACATTTGTTGCTGAAATGGTTGTTTGTTTGAGTTTTTTTTATTCACGCCTTTTACTTTAACTCTTAGGTTTATCCACAAACAGCTGAACGTCTATCCACAAATCATTAAAAATAAATATCATATGTTTTACATTTTCATTATATAAGGAGCTGTTCATTCATAACAACTTTGTTTGGTCATGGTAAACATTAATAATGGCTACCAATAATATAAAAAAAGAACAAAAACAAACAGGGTCACATGCCAAACCTCAGAGACAAATCCACAGTAAAATACATGCATAATAATGAATGGTGAAGACATCATAGAAGAGAGCTCATCATCCTTATTATTATTAGAACTAATAAAACGTGATTAAAAACTAAATGACACTAACAAAATAATCATTAAATTGGTGCAACAACATTATAAAGAGACATATAGTTCTCTTTTTCCGTTTAACAGAAAATACATTTTATATATTTACAATGTTAGAGCTAAAGTTCACAAGTCTATAATGTGTGAAAAATTATACATGAAAATTGTAGTTTATATATATATATATATATATATATATATATATATATATATATATATATATATATATATATATATATATAATTACACGTTTTAAATTGCTTATTGGAGTTAAAACTGGTCATTTGAATCCATTTTAACATTGACTTTGCACTTTGTTAATGAAGAATTCATGTTAAGCCCCAATCTCGTTTGGAATAGGAAAACATTAAATCACAACAGATTCATTAAACTCGCTATGATGTGTTCTTACACATACAAAATAGTGATATTATTTTGATTGTGCTCCTTCATATATATCATCTTAAATGCGTTCCAATTCACGATTCTTACCATGAAACCTTCCTAGTTTTGTGTGCATTACATACCTTGGAAATGTCTAGTACTCTATAGTATAATACGCTAGAAGTATTTCATTATGCTTCAAATATAAAACTAAGAGAGCGGCATAAAAAAACTAGAATACATAAGCCTGACGACGAACGTCAACACTTCCGCATTATTGGTTTAGTAGCGTTGCGTAGTAACTCAGCGTATGATCCGCGTTTTAACTCGGATAATCCCACGTAAAACAATAACAGCAACATCACATTTTTACATGGCGTAGTTACATGAAGAATATGCTATTTGAACTTACCACAAAATGTATGTACGTTCAGGTTAATTGAGGATACATGCGTACATATGCTGCGATCTTTTCACTTTCAGTTCTACCTGGTGTAAGGTGTGCCTTATTTATATTTCTAACAGGATATGCAAAATGAAACCTAGCCTGTGCTGCCTCTAGTGGTGCAGAACATCATCACAGGTTCAACAACACACAAATATATATATATAGTGAGAATTATTCGCCCCCCTTTGAATTTTCTTTTTTTTATATTTCCCAAATGATGTTCAGCAGATTCAATGTTCACAGTATGTCTGATAATATTTTTTCTTCTGCAGTAAGTCTTATTTAATTTATTTCGGCTAGAATAAAAGCAGTTTTTAATTTTTTTTTAATAAGCATTCTAAGGACAATATTAGCCCTTTAAACTATATTTTTTTTCCCTATAGTCTACAGAACAAACCATCATTATACAATAACTTGCCTAATTACCCTAACCTGCCTAGATAACCTAATTACCCTAGTGAAGCCTTTAAATGTCACTTTAAGCTGTATAGAAGTGTCTTGAAGAATATCTAGTCTAATATTATTTACTGTCATCATGACAAAGATAAAATAAATCAGTTATTAGAGATGATTTATTAACACTATTATGTTCAGAAATGTGTTGAAGAAATCTCTGTTAAACAGAAAATGGGAAAAAATTAACTGGGGGGCGAATAATTCTAACTTCAACTATATATATATATATATATATATATATATATATATATATATATATATATATATATATATATATATATATATATATATATATAAACAAATAACTGCTGTAAATTTTAACATGTAAAAACTTGAACAGAACAAAATGAATTGGTCACAATGACAGTCTTAGCTATAGTACCGTTCTGGCTGTCCATCAAGAAATTCCTACTATTACACACAATGTGAAATCAATGATAGTGTGTCAAAGCTTTTATTTCACCAGCTTGTTATTTTTCTTCTCTGTCACCTGTACAATTTTGTCAAATAGATCACATGCCTGAAGCCAATGCACTTACATAAAAGGGAGAAACTGGTTGTCTTAAGCATACAGAACCTGTGTCGATACAAAATAATAGTGTATTCCAAATATATGTTGATTGTCGATATCAAGAAAGATAGTTTGTGTTTCTGTTTAAATCCATTTTTGTTTATGTACCTGTGTGCTTTCTACTTATAGTTAACAAACCTGATTAAGATAACCAAACTTCTGCAGGTTTTAGGTGGGTAAATTTAAAACTTTTGAAGAAATATTGGTAACGCTTTACAATAATTGCACATGAATAATGATGTACTAATATGTTACTTCATTATGAACCAATGACGAGTTAAGATCATGCTTTAATCAAGAACTAACTTCAACTACAACATGAGTCACATGAGTTCATGTGTGAGAAACAGCTGCATTAATTACCTGCTCGTACATGTTTGTTAAATAATGTGTGAACACTTCAGTTTCAGACTTTAGTCTTCAATTTTTACAGTAGTGTGGAGGGATGTTTGACTATTTCACTAGTCAAGGGGGGTTCATTAAATTCTTTTATGGTTGTTTTAAGTTTCACATAAGGTGTTTTTTTTAATACAGTTTTTACAAATAATGATATGCAAACATATTTGCCGTATAGATTCTGATGTAGTAAATATTGTTTGGTCATAGTGTCTGTGTGTGTGCATTAGTACACCGGTTTTACAAAAAGGTGATTTATAAGTGCAATGCACATGTTTCCATTTTTTAAAGGCTTTAAAGAGACTCGTGGATGGCAGATTATCCTGCTGCTGCTGCTGCTTCTCCATTAAGGTGCAGCAGGAACTGAAATATGAAAGAAATGTGGATAATCTGTGGATGACTGACAGGGCTTGTAACCAGCAACATAACAATCTGTTGAGGAAGAAGTAGTGTGTCCCAAAGCTTGCATACTCGTCTTTTACACACTCAGAAGTATATACTTTTTCTTTACAAAAAAAGAAAAAAAAAGTACACACTTTTAGGGCGAAGTATAATTATTCTCAATCTTATTTAAATGTATGGAACATTAGTTTCACTTTTAATTTCACTTCATACACTCCTTTACAGGGTTGTAAACTATTTTTTTCTGTATTTTTAGATGGAAATCATCGAAGGATCTGGCAACTTAACGCTGACAGGGGAAATAAAAAAAAACCTTTAGTCTCTGGGGCGGGTTTAAGAAAAAGGAACAGGCAAGTTCAGAGCGTGTAGTTACAAGAATAAATTCTTCAAGCAGAATGTAAGTAGAGCACGTTTATTTTTAGTCTTTAAAAAATATAGATTACTTAAAATTTAAAAGCATTACAGGCACAATACAGCATTTTTAATGTACAATTATTCAGCCACATAAGCAAAAATGTATTGTAAGAGCAAATACACTTGCTTTGTTAAATGACTAAACTCAAACTATAAGAAAAATTAACAGAAGCCTGTTTTCCCTTTAGATAAAGGTAGAAACAATGAATTGTAAACAAAAAAAGTTGAGCATTTCTCTTAATAAGCATAAGAAATATAATTACAGTATGTATCGATCTGCAGATCTTTTACAGGTTAGTCTATTTACTTTCGCTTTATTTTATAGGTCAGTGGAGATGTAATTTAGCTTACTTTACAAGTTTGGAAAGTGTTTTCGAGGTCATTTGGGCTCAGTGTGTTGCCTTTATAAGATCAATAATACAAATGTGATCATCAAGAAGTTATTTTATTTTAACTTTCCATCACAGCAGTAAAAAATGTCAGTTTTCAATCGATGAATTTAATATGAACTATTAAACAGCCTACATGCTATATTCAGACTTGGTGAGCAGAAGAATCTTATTAATTCAAAATATTATTGTGGACATACTGTACTCCATGAATTTAAATAGCTTAAACAAGCCAAACTTGTGTTTTTTCAGAAGCGACTTTTCACCAACAGCCTGAGGTGGAACTGAAAGCAGCACTTATAGAGAAACCTGATCCAAGTCAGTTAAGAAAAAGGACAAAGATCACTTGACAAAATCCCCTGTAGTCCCTTTTTTTTCTCTTGGTATGTTTGTATTGTCTGACTGCACACAAAAAAGAGCATATACATCTGAATTAGCTGCAAATCTCCCACTCCAAACATAAAAATCAGAAATCGTGTACATGTGTATCTTATGAAAGGGTTCTCGAACATTTATTTTGTTGTGTTACAGTATGTTGGGGACATTTATATCGACTCTGGGCTGATTTTATGTCTTAATTTTGCCACAATTTTCTCTGTTTCAGCAAATGCAATGTTTTTTGCTGACAAATCTTATTTTGGCACATATTTTGGGAAAATGCTTTGGAATGAAAAAAAAAAACAACATGGACAGACTGACTTCCCTTTGGTTATGTTGGTGCTGATTTTGCCCTATTGACTTCCATTATAATAATATTTTTTTGATTGCAAATGCATGACAGCATACGGTATAAGCATGCATTCATGATTGTTGCTGGGTTTCCCTGTTGGGAGGAGGGACAGTTTTAAATTTTTAGTTTTCAGTTGCATTGCAAAAAAAGCATAGTTTCATAGTTTCTGCTGTTTTACTTCACTAAACTCCAAACGAAAGACAGCACCTTTTTTGCACAGGCCTATTTAAAGCAGGTGAGTTCAAAGTCGTTACCACTCGTTCACAACAAATTTTAGCTACTTTTTAGCTACTTTAACTTTTCATTAACACACCTATTGAACCTATTTGGAAGTTTCTAGTACATCTAGAAAGAGCTTGGTTAGCTGGTTACTAAACTAAACTCTGCAGGACACCGACCCCAAAACCTTTATGTCTCGTTTCCACTGAATAGTATGGGTTAGTTTGGTATGGTACGGGTCACCTTTACCACTTGTACCAATGTAACCATTTTGGTGGCCATGGTGTACAACAGATCAGTCGACGTCCTTCTCGCTCAAGGAAATGTTAAAGTAAAGCTGTACAACTCGTTCACATATCACATACAAAACTGATGCTTTATACACATAAATATGTTTACTTGTGTATAAACATTAATAAATAACCTTTCTATTCAATTCATCTTTATTTCTTTAGCACTTTTACAGTGTAGATTGTGTCAAAGCAGCTTCACACAGAAGTTGTAGTAAACTGAAACAGTGTCTGTCCAGTTTTCAGAGCTGAAGTTCAGTTTAGTTCAGTTCAGTGTGGTTTAATTTTCACTTCTGAGAGTCCAAACACTGAAAAGCAAATCCGTCAATGCACAGCTCCACACATACCGAACCAAGCGAGCCAGTGGCGACAATGGAGGAACAAACTTCACCAATTGACCAAACTGAAGGAAAAAAAAAAACCTGGAGAGAAACCAGGCTCAGTTAGGCACAACAGTTCAGGCATTGGAGGATGGAGAACACTGGACGTCCATCGTGGAGAAGGTCACCGGCGGATGTTCATGCTGGCCCTTCAGTATCAATGCGAAGACTCGTGTCACTGGGGTCTATCAGAAATCAATCTCATGCTTTTCACTCCTCCATTACCACCACAGCAGCTGCTCAGGATACGGCCTGGTCCAGGATTATAGAGAGTGTAACCAATTACAAAAACAAAAATACCCAAAACATAGACTTAGGCTTTATTTGGGTTCATAAAAAATATGAAACATATACAGTCAGCACAAACCTCTCATCTTTATTCTTCAATAGCACATGTAACATTCACATCTTCTCATTCTGTGTTTACAATAGTCCAGAAGGTGATGTTAATAGTTCAACATGGCCGTTCCTTCATCTTTTAGGTTGCTGAATGAATCATTTGCTCCTTTGTTATTTCGCACTTCAGTCTTGCGTTTGTCTGTTTCTGAAAGGATCGATTGTCAGAAGCACTTCAATAATCCCACACACGTTATTATTATGAGGTCAAGTTTGTTATTTCAAATATGGACCTGCAGCGAGCGATTGCAAATAGAGCTCTCCAGAGAAAATGAAACCACTCGCGATTTTAGACGACCTCGTAAACAACAACAGGACACAGCAGATTTAGTTTTTCTTGGCTTTGTGGGTGTTCATCAAGATGACGAGAAGGTTTGTTTGAGCTCGGCTTGACTATGGCTTGTTATTATATGTATATATTATTACGGTGTAATGTCTCGGCTGTGCATTTGAAATTGGTGCTTCATTTGTTTTCATTCTCCTGGCTTGTACACACACTAATGACGTTTTTCTGTAAACCAATAGCATTCAGCAGTGCTTCAAGCTCCGCCTTTTGGTGCACTTTTGTTGTTCTGATGCCCTTTGGAAAGGATACCCAAAAAGTGGTACAGTACAGTTTGCTTTTTTGAAACCGTTTGACCGTAGAAAAGGACATAAAAGCGCACCGAACCATACTGTACCGCATGAAAAGTTCTTTGTGACCCAATCGCATGTCAGTCCGGTGTCTGAGAGCAGTCTTGTAGAGCACCATTGTTGGCCAACCACATTACCAAATTTTGTGCCCAAATAGGGGTTCCCCAGAACATCTACTGTAGACATATCAGCAAAACTAGTCAAATAAATTAGCTCTCCGCTCTTCTGTGATGGTTTTTTTCTGAATGAGTGACACCAGACAATATGGCACCTGACCATGCTTTCAGATTCAGTATTGGACTGTTTTAATTCTGCAATCTGCCAGTGCGTCCCTACACTTACATTAATTGTTTTTCTCCTAGTAACAGAAAATGGAGGATATTACCAAGTTGATAACTGATGTGCTCGAGGAACTTGTGGAGTCAGAGCTCAAAGAGTTCAAAAGGCAGCTGTGGATGGGTGTGAAAAAAGGCGTCGAAGCCATTCCTCGGGGAAAGCTGGAGAATAAGGACCGTCAGGATGTGGTGGACTATATGGTGCAGCATTACAGCATGGATGCTGGGAAAATCGCTGTACAGGCACTGCGCAGCATCAAGCAGAACGAACGTGCAAATCGCCTCGAGTCGAAACTTCTGGAAGGTTAAAAAAAATAAAGGTTTATTTTTAGTTAAAGGGACAGTTCACCCAAAAATAAAAATTCTGTCATCATTTACTCTTCCTCCAAACCTCATTGAGATCCTTTCTTCTGATGAACACCAAAGACATTATTTTGAAAGAAGCTGGAAACCTGTAAACGTTGACATCCATAAAACTCTGAAAAATGTTCATTGGATTTACCAAAAAAAACACAAACAAATTTAAGGTAAGTGGTTGCAAACCATTTATATGGGCTGAATTTAAACAGACAGTTTAAATGTAGTAATGTTGGGCATAATTTCTTCGTTTAAATTCAGCCCGTATCAATAGTTTGCAAACACTCACCTTAAAGACATTTTTGTAAAATCAAGGAATTAGTTTTGTCAGTGTCATCATCTGATTTGTCATGCTATGGAAGTCAGTAGTTACAGGTTTTTAGTTTTCTTCAAAATATAAGGATGTTTAATCTTTAAAGCAAATTTTAATTTGTGGGTGAACTTTAAGCCCTCTTTGCATATATACATTTAAATGAATATTAAAGAAGAACATGCATATGTTTATGATCCATAACAAGAGGAGTTTTTTCTGTCTTTAGTTCAGCCGCAGGCGCAAGAAAATGAGCAAAACCCTGAAGACCCGCAGTCCATCAACACTTCCGGGTCTGATGAGCTAGAGCCCATCCAGTCTGACTGGCAGAGACCACGAGGGATCATTAACCGCTTTCAAGAGTTTAAAACCAGACTTCTTTACGCAAACAGAGACGATGCAAGTATTTCAATACATTTTTACAAACAGAACACACTTTCAGTGAGCAGGACTGCTTTCAGAGAGCCACTTTATTGACGCTTTATTACATGATGGGCCCAATAAGTGTGTCGCAAGCCTTTTTCTTTTGCTATGTTCAAACCGGCACAGGTGTTACTTTCATGTTCTGCACCACATTGTTTAAATAGCAAATGCATTTGCTCCGCTTTGTGCGCTCATGGCCATGCTGATCTGAAAAGAAGGTGTGGTAACTCACATTGTTGGCTTATTCAAACAGACAGCCATTGACTAACTTAAAGCTGGTCTATAGTCTATGGCGCAGGGTTTTTATTTGTTATTTAAAGAGTGTGTTGGTCACACTCGGCAGCAAACCACCCAAGTGTATGCTGAATGTCCATGGTCAATGAAGCCCACAGAACAACATCGTCTGCAAATAACAGAGATGAAATCCTGTGGTCCCCAAGCTTTGGGCCATGACCGAAAGGACAAGATCTTGGATACAAGTTTCCTTCTCAGGGTGGCAGGGTGCACTCTTATAGATAAGGTGAGGAACTCTGACACTCGGGAGGAGCTCAGAGTAGAGCCGCTGCTCCTCCACATTGAGAGAAGTCAGCTGAGGGGGTTCAGGCTGTTTCAGATGCCTCCTGGAAGCCTACCTAGGGAGGTGTTCCAGGCATGTCCCACCGGAAGGAGGCCTCAGGGAAGACCCAGGACACGCTGCAGGGACTATGTCTCTCGGCTGGCCTGGAAATGCCTCTTGATCCCCCCCGGGGGGCTGGAGGAAGTGTCTGGGGAGAGGGAAGTTTGGGGTTCTCTCCTGAGACTGCTGCCCTCACGACCGGCCCTGGAAAAGCGGCAGGAAATGAATGAATGAAAGTGTGTTGGTGTTATGCACCTATGCGGGTCCAAAACGGGTCCATATATGTGTTAATTGTTGTCGACAAAAATATAAAAAATTCTCCTTTTTATGCCTTCTACATCTCAGGGGGCTCAGGTGGAATCTGGCACCCTTGTAGTCAGTTTACTCATTACTTTACCATGTGTAATCTTAGACCCCGTTTACACCGTTAAATGTGACCCAATTTCGATTTTTTGCTTATATGTGACACAGATTGGAATCGTATCTGTGACAATCGTATCTGTGACAATGAATCGTATCTGTGACAATGCGACTATCATGTACACAGGCAAATCAGTTTAATTGAGGCATTTATTGATATAGGCAACAAATCAGAATTGGGCATCAAGACCTGACAGTGTAAACAGGGCTTAAGGCTGCTTTTCCACCGAAGCATTTATGTGCTGCAGAAATGGTAGTGCAGTTTTATAAATATTCAGCTGTAAGCGATTTTGCAATGCAGTGTTTTTTTCAGTCGATGGCCATGATACAGAGTATCCTCTACCATTACATCCAATTCACATGAGGTGTCAGAGTCAACAATTCCCTTTCACTTTGAATGAATGACGTCACACATTGCCGAACTGAATTGTGGATGCATCAGCGGCGTTTCTAGATGCATAAGTTGGGAATTTCCAATCAGCCAATCAGATCGCTTCATGCAAATACCCAAGCTCATATAGTAGCCAATTGTGGTCTAATTTCATTAGGATGACCCTGCCATGACAACTGCGTCAACACCTAGCTTCAAACATGCCCTCTGTCAAGCGTTGACAGTGATGCCTTGTGTGAATGTACTGTTACAGGTTGAAAAAAATAATGCAGTGCAACTATTAACTACAACAGAAAACGTTTCGGTGGACACACATCCTAAATCATCCCGTTTTTTTGCACACCGCCAGGCAAACTCAAGAGTTGGGAAGTTCTGATTCTGTTGATGTTTTTAATCTGTTTTTCTTTTTCCGTACAGATTTACACACCAGTGAGCAGGACTCAAAGAAAAGGCTTGGCTCTGTTAATCACCAACATATTATTCGCCAATAAACAAGACGACCGTGCCGGAGCGGAGAGAGATGAGGAGAACATGGAGTGGCTCCTGAAAAACCTGAACTTTATGGTTATAAAATACAGAAATCTCACTGGAAATGTGCGTATGATTTAAGACCAGTAATGCCCAAAATATGTACAGCTACTTGCATATTTAAAGGGATAGCTCAACCAAAAATGAGAATTCTGTCATCATTTGCTCGTTCAAAACCTTTATGACTTCAGTTCACCACAAAGGAAGATATTTTGAAGAATGCTAAACACCTGTAACCATTAACCTCCATAGTGTTTGTTTTCCTTCTATAGAAGTCAATGGTTAAATGTTTTCAGCATCTGATCTTCTTTTGTGTTGAACTGAAGAAAGAAATGCCACTTAAACGGGAGTAAATAGTGAGTAAATATTTGGCATGAACTATCCATTTAAAGTGTGCTATGAGTGTTATACCATGCATCTTTTTACGAGAATTCATTGATTCTCAGGAAATCAGCAGAGCAGTGCAGGATTTCTCTCGACGTCATGAACATCAAGACGCAGACAGCACATTTGTAGTCATCATGTCCCATGGGGATAGAATTCAAAATAAAGATGCCATTTTAGGTGTCAATTACAACTGGCTTCAAAACCGTAATGACGTCTACTTTGTTGAAGACACTTTCTCCCATCTGAACTCTGTGAACTGTCCTGCTCTGATCGACAAACCCAAGGTTATCCTCATTCAGGCCTGCAGAGGAGGTACGACACCGCTGATCAAATGCAGATATTATCATTGCTACTTTATTATCATTGGCAATGTACAGTATTAATGTGAACTGTTTCTGTGTGCAGGGCAACTCGGTGGTGTGCCTGTTAAAGATTGTGTGCCTGAATCTGACTCGTGGGTGCACAAGGAGAAAGACTTTGTCTGCTTTATGTCCACCATGCCTGGTGAGTTTGTTGACTGCTTAAAAAAACTGACATGTGGCTCACGCCTGTTCATTTTGCTCACATTCAAATATCATATAAAAACAGTAAAAGCCATTGTATTTGTTTTTTTTCTTCTTCTTTTTGTTCTTTTACTTTCCAAAACAAAACAAAAAAACCCTCCTCAATGAAACCACTCAGATGTGCGTTAAAATGTCATTAGCGATTGCACAAAAACACGTGCTGCATCCCAATTCACATACTTAATGTCCTAAAAGTATGCACTTTTTTGTAAAGGTAGAAAATATACTTGTGTGTAACAGAAGAGTATGCAAGCTTTGGGACATACTACTTCCTTGTGACAGATCGTTATGTTGCTTAGTTACAAGCCCGTCAATCATCTCGACATATCAACCATATTTATTTTATATTTAATTACCTGCCTTATTGGGAGGTATTTACCATTCACGAGTCTTTCATGCAGAGAAATCTCCTCAGCTCTTTGGATAATTCTGCATTCTGACGGTAATGTCCAAACATATCTTGATATAAGTTCACATTGTTGTTGCAGATTAAATATAACATAGAAAATGTGATTTAAATAGCTTCCAGTTGGCTAGATCATAATTAACGGTCAATTAAACAACTCTCTACTTGACAGTTGATCTTGTGTGTCAGCCATGTTTGTAGTTTGTTTACACTTTTTACTCGAGTTTGTAGTTCTAATCAAATTCACGTTCAACATGCAGTGTTTTTTTGTCAATATCGGCAGTTAGGACGCTTCTACACTTCAGATTTTTTACCGGAAATACCATCCAGGATCCTTTTGGCATACTCTTTTCCAGATACTATGGTTTGGGACATACTAATTCTATTTTAGAATACTATTTAGGACGCATAGTATGGGATTGGGATGCATCAACAGTCTGTTCATGATGGCCGGTGTATTTATATCGTTGACCAAAGGTTGCTTTGTATTTTGTATTTGGTATGATTTCCACAGATGTTGTTGCATACAGGGATGAGGTCAAGGGAAGTTACTTTATCAGCTACATAGTGGATGTGTTCTGCTCATCAGCCTGCAAGGATCACATTATGGAGCTGTTTAGGAAGGTAAATACTGAACAATCTTTTAGCTTTTTTCTTAGCTATGCTCAGGTAAAGCAAAGTTAGTTTTATGGTGGACAGTTATCAATTATTCTGTGCAAGCTAATCCAGTGAAACAATTTGGTTTTGGTAATGTTTAATTAAAATATGACTGCATTCTGCTCTGATGATGTCAGTTTGAGTGATTGGGTGAAATGTTCTTAGGCCCACCCACCAAACAAGAGACATATGAGAGGCGGGGCTACAAATAAAACCCCACCCCTACTTAATATTCTGACTCAGTTGGAAATGCATCATTGTACTGAAAATAAGAAATAAAACTGAAATAAAAATCTACAGAAACTGGTTCATGTGGACTTTAACATTTAAATATTGTAATTTTTTTTTTTAAATAGGTTGCCGCACGTATGGAGAAAGACGAACGTTTCCGACGTCAGGCGAAACTCTTACCATGCATTGAAAGGACGTCTCTTGTAAAGAAATTCTACCTGTTCCCTGGACAGTGAAGATATGAAGAGTAAACTTAGAGGTTTAGAGGGAAACAGCACAGGTGATCGGGGTAAAACATGTACATCACCATGCTGAAGGACTTCTTTTCCTGCCAGAAAATTACCTCAATGCAAGTCATTATTAAAAACACAGGTATTAGCAGTTTTTATATAAACAAATATTTGGAAAGGTCTTAGAAGATGGTACATTCCCTGCTTGATTATTCAACCTACAGTAAACATTGTAATGAGGGGTGTTTTCTATTAATCTGTGGTGTTTTTATTTCATATTATTTTCCTTGGTCGTTTATCATGTAATCACTTTATTACTACATGTAATGGTTTGCATTAATCAATTAAACCTTGAATGACTGCATTTCATCAATTCATTCAGTAATTTTGTAGTAGGCTACTTGTTATCCTCCATTGTGTTATAATCTTATGTTTTCTGGAGATCAATCTGAAATATATAAAATAAGGAGTGTATTTCAAGGTGTTTAATGGTACTTTACTCTGTTGTTAAACAGTTTATTTTTATTGCTTGTGCTGTAATATCACTGGATGGATTTCTGTTTCTATGCTCAGTCAGTAAACAACTAATTATAAGTAAATAACTAATTGATTGGGTTTCTATTCAATAACAAACACACATACACAGTGTTTTTAGATTGTTTACATTGTGAAATGCAGTTTCTTTATAAGGATAGTAAGTGCCTATTTGAAATTATGATTGCAAAATTTCTGAGATTTCAGCGAGTCGCAGCCATCAGCCTGTCATATGGGGTATATGGTGAAGCATGCTAATAGGACTTTTAATTTGCCAGTAACCTGGGTTAAGCGCTTCCGGCGAATTGAATGCCAATGCAAAATCCGGTGCGTTGAAGGTCTGTTTTCTTTAAAAATCAGCGATCTTCACTAGCTGAGTGATATCTGATTTAAAGTGGGTCTCAGATTGTACAAGAAGCACTGCATTAAATTACATTTCCCCCCGCCATGTCTTTATAATAAGAGCATTTATTTTACCCCAGTATATTCAATGGAGCTTCTGCGTTAGCCTGCCGATTCTGATGGGAGCGTGCGAAAAAACAGCTTTTTGTCTCGTTTTACGCTTGAGCAACTAAATAAATGCTAAAGTTTATTTAACTGAATGTATTTTAATGACATTACAACATCCATGCTGTATAAGGAACCGTATAAAATGGTAAAAAGTTCACAATAACAGGACACCGGAAGTGTATCAGCATGGGAACAGCACTAGCTCGGCATATATCCTATTAAGCAGAGCGAAGAAACAAGATCACAAAATGGCCACATAATAAACCCTACGATGGAGAAAAACTGGGAGATGTTCATAGACATAGGGCATTTCATGCCTTTCAGCCTTATATTCTTATCAAAATCATCAGTTTTATCATCACTTAGGGCTGATTTATACTTCTGCGTCAAGCGCATGCATATGGTCCAGCACAGCCTTCGCAAGGTTGCATAGCCCCCGCCGTGGCTAATGCCGACGCTGACACGCACCTCTCAAAAAAATGTAACTATATAAAATACGTATAACAAATATGTATAAAATCGACCACTAGGCATGTAGGTACATTTTAACAAACATTGTAGGTGAATGAATGGGTTGCTCTCAGGGGCTACTGTATAAGTTGCCATCTGTGCAATACGTCCATTCATGAAATTTACAATACAGTACAATATATATATATATATAACACAATCCATTGTTATGTGATACACTAGAACAGTGGTTCCCAACCTGGGGTCCGCGCCCCCCTTAGAGTTCACAAGGGGAGCGCGGGAGAGGATAAGTGTTGAGGTAGAAAAAGGCATAAAAATGGGCTGCACAATTAATCGAAAATCCGGTTTCGATTTCAAACGATTATAAAAAAGCATTAATCGAGATAAACGATTATTGCATCATATACCGCCCCCTTTCCAGTTGTACACGTGTTGCTCTTAAAAGCGCGAAAGAGCGCGTGCTTATGTGTGTGTGCAGCACGCACACGCAGTCAGAAGCATTCGGCCGGTCAGCATTCGCTCTCATTCGCACACTGAGACGAGCAGAGAGCACACACATCTAAAGTCATCTTAATGTGAGTGCTTTAATGGTCAAATAGGTGTCAATACGCGGTGTTTAGTGATTATTCATATTAACCCTCATTTGTGTAATAAACAAACGAGTTGAGGATCAAAAGACGTGAAAGGGAAACCATTAAAGAGACAGCGAGAAATATTCCTGCTGCCGCCTGTTTTTATTATTATTAATCAAACATAATGAGAAAATCCCTCTCTGCTCTTGACTGAAGGACTGCTGTAGCTAAAGTGTTTTTCTTACAGTGAAGATGCTTAAAGCACAGTTTGTTTCATATTTTTATTCAATTGTATTTATTTCTCTTTCCTTTGCAGCGTGGAAAATAACTATGTATACATTAAAGTCAGAATTATTAGCTCTCCTGAATATTAGCAACCCTTTTCCTGCCCAATTTCTGTTTCATGGAAAGAAGTTTTTTTTTTTTTTTACTTATTTCTGAACATGATAGTTTTGATATCTCGTCTCTAATTACTGATTTTTTTATCTTTGCTATGATGACATAATATTTTACTAGATATTTTTAAAAATACAAGCATTCAGATTTAAGTGCAGTTCAAAGGCTTAATTAGGGTAATAAGGCAAGTCATTGTATAACAGTAGTTTCTTCTGCAGACAATCCAAAATATATATTGCTTAAGGGGGCTAATAATATTGAAGTTAAATTGGTTTCAAAATATTTAAACCTGCTTTTATTCTAGCTAAAGTGAAACAAATAAGCCTATAAGAAAAAATATTAAAGGAAATACTGTTAAAACTCCTTGCTCTGTTAAACATAATTTGGGAAATATTTATAAAAAAAAAAAAAATTCTCAGGAGCGCTAATAATTTTGACTTTAACTGATAATCGTTTTGAATAATTGTGATTATAATTATGAACAAAATAATTGTGATTAGGATTTTTCCCAAAATCCAGCAGCCCTACTATAAATATGTATTTTTAAATAACAAAAAAAAAAACAAAACATGCTTAAAATTCCAACATAATAGTAAAAATAACTTAAATAAATAACTTTAAATAATTATTTAAATTTTGCTCACTCACGCAATGTGCTTGTCCAACGTGAAACGTAAATGCAGTGATTATTCAGAGGCGAAAAAAAAGATTAGACAGTATGACAAAGCCTACATAAATTTTGTTTTTATTGAAGGCCAAGACAAGTTAAAACTGATTAATTTATATTTTCTATACATATTAAATATTAATATTACACAATGTATATATACAGTACATATGTGTGTGTGTGCGTGTGTATTTATATGGTGGGGGGGCTCCAATGTTTGTATATGTTCATGGGGGGGCCCCAAAGAAAAAGGTTGGGAACAACTGCACTAGAACACACTTACACACTTGTAATTGAACAATATCTTGGTTGTTTGTGATGTCTCTGCGATCACTGAATGATGTTAAATCTGACACAGAGACACAGAGGATTGAGGATAAGCTCTCAATGCAGCATAGAGGGGTTCAGTGAATGTGGTGTTGAATGTGTGTAAGTGTGTGAGTGTGTGTGTGTCAGAGACACTGTAGAAGGACAGAGAGCCGGACGGCACGTCCACATACACTCCTACTCTATTAGATTGTGCTGAAAGAGCTGGTATGGGATGGCTCTCATTTATATGCCATGCAGTGAATCCATTAGTATACCAGTAGAGACTCCAGGATTTATCATTGTACCCAAACCAAGAGTCACTCCCATCTTTTTTGGTGATTTCCTTATAAGCCACTGCAATATCAACACTAGCGCCACTCCGTTCAACCTCCCAGTAACAGCGTCCAGTCAGCTTCTCTCGACTCAGAATCTGAGGATGGTGCGCAAACCTCTCTGGATGTTCAGGATACGGCTGACACTCTTCCACAAATGTGATTTTTCTGTTCTCCTCAGACAGGATGAGTTTATTGTGTGCGGTGTTGGAATCCAGTGTGAGATGAAGCGCATCTGAACACAAGGACATAAATTATAACCAATGTACATGAAGACAATGTGTTTAAGCTGTGTGATTGAGTGAGAAAGGAAGAAAACACTTACATTTTTTTAGTCCTGGTGCGATTCTTGACTGTTCTCCATGATCTAAACTAGAAAGACACAAATATAAAGTCTTAATTATTAATTCAACCATCATCAACCACCTATTCAGAACTAGGCATGGACGAAAACCGAGGTTTCAAGGTTTACGAATGTTTGGAAAAGTAGACATTAAAACCACTGAAATTTACTGTTGTATCGCTCCTACCATCAAACTGATATTTTTATTCAAGGTTATCATACTATCAGAATCTTATACCAGTCTGGAACAACCATGCAGGGCAGACTCAGCATGGAGCTCCAGACCCACACTTCCTCCAGCTTCTCTGGGGTGATCAAGGTATTCCTGGGCAAGTAGGGAGAAAGTCACTCCAGCATGTTTTAGGTCTTCCCTGGGGCATCCTGCCTGGGTGGGCATCAGAATCAGCTCAACTATCTTCTCTTGGTGTGGAGGAGCAGAAGCTTGACTCTAAGCTCCTCCCGGAGGATGAAGATCCTCACCCCATCTTTAACGGCACGTATCCACTAGCATGTAGGGACCACAGCGTTTTCAGTTAATTCTTATAAAACCTGATGCATTGATCAATTCTTGCACGTGTGACAATGCATGTGGGATAAGTGTGTAAACACTGATTAAAACAGGCATATTCAGCCCTATGTCTTACATGCCCTAGAGAAGTGCTGTAGTGTTGCCAGCTGCACTGAGTGCAGAATGCATGCTGTAGAGGAAACGTACCGTAATGCCTGATTCACACGAGGCTTCAGCGTCAGTGCTTGACAGAGGCCGTGTCTGAAGTTGGGGCTGACACGATCGTCATTGCAGCATCAGCCAATGAAATTAGTCTGCAATTGACTACTGTCTGAGCTGGTGTATTTGCATAAAGAGATCCGATTGGCTGACGCTACTGTTGGCGCTTAAAAAGTTGAGAATTTCCCAACTTCAGCAAGACACACCACTAAAGCAGCGCCAACACACTAAATGCAGTTCAACAACGCTTGATGTTACTCATTCAAAGTGAATGGGAAGCATTGACGCTGATGCCCTGTGTGAATGGGGCGTAAGGGTACACCCTACCAAAGCTCATGACCATAGGTGAGAATAGGAACCTACTGTGGATTGAACAGTAAATTGAGAGCTTTGCCTCTCAGCTCAGCTCCTTCTTTACCACAACGGACCAGTACACACGACTACATTACTGCTGCCGCAACACTGATCCATTTGTCAATCTCATGTTCCAGCATTCCCTCACTCATGAACAAAGCCCCAAGATACTTGAAATGCTCCAACTGGGGAAGTACTCCCCACTCTGACCTGAAGATGGCAAACCAACCCAGACAAACTCTACCTATCTTTCTGGTCAAACACTATGGCCTCAGACTCGATTGAACTGCGACTGAGATACTGCTATAAGCCAGATTCTACTCTCCAATAACATGGAGTAGATTTTTGCAGCTCTGAACAAGAAGTTTGGCTAGAGGAGAACTGGTTGTACCCAACTGAGTCTGGTTTCTCTTGGGTTCTCCACTGTCACCAATGGCTTGCTTGGTTTGGAACTTGTGGAGCTGCGCATGGATGGATTTGCTCTTCACTTTTTGGACTTTCAGCAGTGAAAATTAAACCACACTGAACTGAACTAAACTGAACTGAACTTCAGCTCTGAAAACTGGATTGACACCGTTCCAGTTTATTAGAACTTCTTTGTTAAGCTGCTTTGACACAATCTCCATTGTAAAAACACTAGAGAAATAAAGATGAATTGATTTTTGTCATGCTCTAGTTTATAAGATTAGCTCCACTGTTCATCATAAAAAACATAACTGGGGCACATACTTGAGTTTCTGCAGTGTGTAGTGAGAATCCTCCAGTGTGTGTTGGAGCAGCTGGACTCCTGATTGTCCTGGGTGATTGTAGCTCAGATCCAGCTCTCTCAGGTGTGAGGGGTTTGAACTCAGAGCTGAAGATAGAAAACCACAGCCTTCCTCTGTCACCATACAGCCAGACAACCTGCAGAAATGCACACCAGGGTTCAATTTTAAAGACAGTATTGAATCTGAAGCTTTAAATGATCATGACACAATATGAAACTCAAACCTCAGTATCTCCAGCTGACAGTTTGGACTCTTCAGTCCATCAGAGAGCAGCTTCACTCCTGAATCCTGCAGGTCATTGTTACTCAGGTCCAGCTCTCTCAGGACACAGTTTGAGGATTGAAGAACTGACGACACAATTTCACAATCCTGAGCAGAGAGATTACAGCCAGCAAGACTGGAAGAAGAGGAAAACACACAGTAAATACATTTTACCCAAAACTATTTTAACACTAACACTTGATTAGATACTCACAGAGCTCTTGTGCAGTTGCTGACGGCTGGTATCAGTCTTCTTCTGCCCTCATCTGATGTGTTGTATTTGTGGAGCTCCAGCTCATCCAGCACCTCCTCTGACATCTGAAGCATGTAGGCGATTGTTGAGCAGTGAGCAGGAGAGAGTTTCTTCTCTGACTGTTTGTCTGATTTCACAAACTCCTGAATCTCTCTGGACAGAGTCTGATCTTTCACTTCCAGCAGACAGAGGAACAGATTGATGGATCTTTCAGTGGAGAGTCCATGTCCATCTCTGATCTTCTCTTTAATGTACTGTGTGCTTCTCCTGATGCTCTCTGAGCTCTTCTCTGTGTGTGTCAGTAGATCCTGGAAGAGTCTCTGATTGGACTCCAGTGAGACGCCCAGCAGGAACCGCAGAAACAGATCCAGACGCCCATTCTCACTTTCAGTGGCTTTATCTACTGCTTCCTTATGCAGACTATGAATTACATCTAAAAAACGAGATGTGTCCATATTCTGCATCACATAAAGTTGAAACACATGGAAAGCAGCCAGAAACTCCTGAACGCTCAGATGGATAAAGCTGTAGACTTTCCTCTGCTGAATCACAGATTCCTCCTTAAAGATCTCAGTGCAAATCCCAGAATACACTGAGGTGTCAGAGACGTTTACGCCGCTCTCAATCAGGTCCTCCTCATAGAACATCACATTGCCCTTCATCAGCTGTCTGAAAGCCACTTCAGCAAGTTTGACAATCACTTCTCTGTTGGACTGCAGGAGATTCTCTGGATCTCTCTCTTCATACTTCTGATTCCTCATGTTGATCTGAATCAGCAGGAAGTGGATGTACATTTCAGTCAGAGTTTGAGGGATTTCTGCACTCAGATCTTCTTCCAGGAGCTTCTGAAGCACAGTGGATGAGATCCAGCAGAAGACGGGTATGTGGCACATGATGTGGAGGCTTCTTGCTCTTCTGATGTGTGAGATGATTCTGCTGGCTTGATGCTGCTCACTGATTCTCTTCCTGAAATATTCCTCCTTCTGAGGCTCAGTGAATCCCTGAATTTCTGTCAGACGCTTGATGTATTTGGAGGGGATCTGATTGGCTGCTGCTGGTCTGGAGGTGATCCAGATGAGAGCAGAGGGAAGCAGCTCTCCTTTCATCAGCTTTGACATCAACACAGCCACTGATGAAGTCTCAGTCACATCACAAACTTTCTGAGCGTCTGAAAACATCAGTGTGATTCTGCTTTCATCCAGACCATCAAAGATGAACACAACTTTACACTCCTCATAAATCTTGGGCTCCAGATCTTCAAGTTCAGGATGAAAGTCCAGCAGAAGTGTGTGAAGACTGTACTGATGATCTCTGATCAAGTTCAGCTCTCGAAATGGAAGCACAAACATGAAATCTACATCCTGATTGGCTTTTCCCTCGGCCCAGTCCAGAATGAACTTCTGCACAGAGACGGTTTTTCCGATTCCAGCGATGCCTTTAGTAAGAACAGTCTTGATTTGCTCTTTCTCCTCTTTAAAGATGTCATTGCAGTAGATTGGAGTGTGTTGGGATTGTTTTGTTCTGGCTGTTTTCTCCATCTGTAAAACCTCATGTTCTTCATTCACTCCTTCACTCTCTCCCTCTATGATGTACAGCTGGGTGTAGATGCGGTTCAGGAGGGTTTGGTTCTCTTGGAGTGTGTTTCCCTCAAATAATCTCTCATACTTGTTCTTCATGCTGGTTTTGTGCTGGTCTTTGACTCTCTGCAGGACTCCAGTTTCTGTCTGAATGGATGTTTTTGTTTTCTGCCTGATGTGGATATGACTATGAGATATAGAGAATGAGATTGATATGATCTGTTGTATTTTCCCACCTAAAAATGTAATTACTCTATAACATAACCAGATATTTCTAAAGGATATGACAATGATAATGCTAAGGTCTACAATTTATGGTAATGGTTATACACATTAAGTGTTATACATTAAAGTAAAGTTTGAAAGTACAAATTTATTAACGAAGGACCAGAGTTCACCGGTCCACCTCTGAAGTTTATTGTTGGGCTCATGGACTTGTTAGTCCTTACAGATACACTCATGAGTTCAGCTGACACTGACCTCTGTACTTTCCTTTTGTTAATACAGAAAATATGCTGATATTTTCATTTAGTAATATTAAAATTGTGTTTAAAAGTTATATACATAAATATATATCAGATGGATAATTGAATTCCAACACTCAAATAGATGATGTATTACGCTGCTGTGCCGTCAGCCAATTTTTGCATTGCTAATCATGGCTTGAAGGATGGATAGATCAGTCCTTCACAACTAACGCAACAATCGCAGATCGGTTCATCCAGACATTCTAATCTGATTCACGGAGAGACCACCCTCATGATTATTAAGTGCTTTGGGTGTATGGCCATGCACAATAAATGTGCTGTATAAATACACACATTATATTACTCGAGCAGAGATGCATTATTCTCAGCTCTCAGCAGTGAATGACATGCATGGACACATTAAGTGAGCCTAATTTTTTTGTTAATTCAGTTTATTTTCAATTATTTAGCTAAATATTGAAAATTGGCCTATTTTTATTTACTAGCAAATAAGGATAACTTCTTTATTATAGGGCAAAAAAGTCCACCACACGTTTTAAGGCATTCATTCATTTTCTACCGCTTTTCCAGGGCCGAGTCGTGGGGGCAGCAGTCTTAGGAGAGAACCCCAAACTTCCCTCTCCCCAAACACTTGCTCCAGCTCCTCCCGGGGGATCCCGAGTCGTTCCCGGGCCAGCCAAGAGACATGGTCCCTCCAGAGTGTCCTGGGTTTCCCCAAGGCCTCCTACCAGTGGGACATGCCTGAAATACCTCTCTAGGTAGGCGTCCAGTAGGCATCCAAAACAGATGCCTGAGCCACCTCAGCTGACTTCACTCAATGTGGAGGAGCAGTGGCTCTACTCAGAGCTCCTCCCGAGTAACAGAGCTTCTCAACCTATCCATAAGAGTGCGCCCTGCCACCCTGAGAAGGAAACTCATTTCGGCTGCTTGGAACTGAGATCTTGTCTTTTCAGTCAGACCCAAAGTTCTTGACCATAGGTGAGAGTAGGAACGTAGATTGACCGGTAAATCGAGAGCTTTGACTTTCAGCTCAGCTCCTCCTTTACCACAATGGACCGACCAGTAGATCGACCGCATTACTGTTGCCACTGCACCGATCCGCCTGTCAATCTTGCGCTCCATTCTTCCCTCACTCGTGAACAAAACCCCAAGATACTTAAACTGCTCCACCTGGGGTAAGGACTTTCCTTCGACCTAGATATGGCAAACCACTTTTTTCCAGTGGAGCACCATGACCTTGGAGGTGCGGATTCTCATCTCAGCCGCGTCACACTCGGCAGCAAACCACCCCAGTGCATGCTGAAGGTCCATGTTCGATGAAGCCAACAGAACAACATCACCTGCGAATAACAAGAAATCCTGTGGTCCCCGAACCGGACGCCCTCCAGCCCAAGGCTGCACACTGAAATTTTGTCTACATAAATTATGAACCGAATTGGTGACAAAGGGCAGCTCTGCCAGAGTCCAACATGCACTGGAAACAAGTCTGACTTATTGCTGGCAATGTGAACCACACTATTACTCTGTTCATACAGAGACGAGACAGCCCTTAACGGAGCGCCTCTGACCCCATACTCCCACAGCACTCTCCACAGAATCCCACGAGCGATACAGTCGAATGTTTTAAAGCAGGATTAAGTCAAATGCTTTTCTCTTTGACCACTTGAGAAATCAACCTTTGTGAAGTTTATTTATAAACAAATTTCGAGAGGATCACGTGCTTATGATTGTTCACAGCTGTTCCAACTTTAGCTAATAACTGATTATCCAATCAGACGATCCTTAACTCACTATAAATAACCAGACTTTTCTCATCTCAATATCTTCGTCTTGTTGAAACGCCCCCCACCAAACCCTACTTTCCCTCCTTTCAAACGGGTGTCATGGTGGCCAGCGCTGTTGCCTCACAGCAAGAATGCCCCTGGTTTAATTCCTTTCCAAACCAGACGGCATTTCTGTGCGGAGTTTGCTCGTTCTCCCCATGGTCGCGTGGGTTTTCCCTGGGTCCTCCGGTTTCCTCCAACAGTTTAAAAACAAGCACTCTAAACAATTAATCCAAATACATTAGCTAAACTTTGAGTACACCTTTCAGCATACATATCCGACACTTAGCTACAACAAGCAAGAAGGGGAGTCATCGAGATCTACCTGAGCTCAAACTCCCCTCTCGCCTTGCAACGGGAGGGAGCCCAGGGCTCGAGGATCTTATAAGCTCAGGGCTCTCTCCCATTGCAAAATGATTACCCTATTTCTAACTGTTCTGACTTTACTTATTTGTTCTGTATAGCTCCTTGTTTCTCTTGATCCATGTTCATCATTCCACTTAAATAAACATGAATAAAATGAAACGTATTTGTTAATTTTCCGTTTCTTTTTTATTTATACTCAAAGGGGAAGAAAGTTTTAACAAATAATAGCAAAGCGGGAAGAAGAGGTGAAAATAAAACTACTTCTGATTACCTGCAGGATTTTGCGAGCAGGAGTGGGACAAAAACTGAATACTTTGGGTGGGAGCTGGAGAAAATAATATATATTTTTGCAGGAGCAGGACAGAATCTTTTGGTATGACTGAAAAAAGGCTGGTGTCTTACCTGGGGTCAGAGGTCACTGGAGCATCACTAAAAACCGGAGGTGGATCAATGGACCAGTCACTCTTCACAGACACACCACTGGGTTCTGGAGAAGCTGATCTCTTTCTCTTGCTGAAAAATAACACGATCAGAGCAGAGCAGGGATGAATTTAAGAAAGAAGACAGACATAACTACTGGATTCATTTAGATGCTTCCAGAAAAGATGAATTATTACAGAGTATGAAACTCCAACAGACTTATGCTGAACAGTTGGTTAATCATGCGATCAATTAGGAACAGTGACAGAGAAGGTTCTGGAAACTGACTTATTGCTGATACCTAAAGTTTAAGGGCTAAATCATGATTCCAGTAAAGAGAGCACTGTTTATGAATCTGACATATACAAAACCTTCATTAGCTTACCCGAGGACTGAGGTCATTGTTGGACCACTAAGAGCAGAGAGATTTTCTGTGGGGTCATCACAGCTTGATTCAGAGGAAGTGTCCTCCTTAGTGTCCATTTTACTTTTTCCTTAAAAGATAAAGATGTTAACTAGACAAACTGATCATTTAAAGCAGTGACGTCAGTTTTATGTAGTACAATAATAGTGTTTGAATAAGGAACAATTCTATTGTAGTTTTTGATGGTAATGCAATAATTTGTTAGTAAAGAACCTAGAGATATGTCATTCACACATTTACGCGCACACACACGCACAGCTATGACGATAAAATCAATGGTTGGGAAAAATAACCACAATTTATCTTCAATACCCAGCTGAGGCACCGAGTCCCACTATACTCTCCGTGCACTGAAAGCAATATGTCAACACTACTCCAGGTGTATGCTCACTGTGTGTGTGTGTGTGTGTGTGTGTGTGTGTGTGTGTGTGTGTGTGCGTGCTCCCAGTCCTCACCCAATATGTGTTTGTGCACTTGAATGGGTTAAAATCAAAGGACCAATTTTGAGTATGGGTAAAAACATCCTTTACAAGTCTTATTTTACTTCAACTAACAGCAACGGCATTAGTTCAACCACCAACTTATCCAGCATATGTTTTACACAACGGATGCCCTTCCAGCTGCAACCCATCTCAGGGAAACATCCACACACACTTATTCACACTCATACACTACGGACAATTTAGCCAACCCAATTCACCTGTACTACGTCTTTGGACTGAGCAGGAAACCGGGGCACCCAGAGGAAACCCACCCGAACACAGGGAGAACATGCAAACTCCACACAGAAACACCAACTGACCAGCATATGTACTTACACAATTTAATGACATGATAAATGCTCCAATCTGTGGGGAATTGCCTTCATCAAAATGACTGAGGCGTTTGACAACAGGTTCATTTTTAGTGGTGTTTAATGTAATTATTGTAAGGCAGAAAATAAAATTGTTTATACATAAATTGCACAGCTTCAAACTGAATTAGTTTATTAAGTGCATGAACTAGTAACCAATGTAATGTGTTGTGCTTAATGTTAAGTAATGTGCTTGAGATTATATCAGTATTTGAGTCATTCATGACTTCACAAGATGAAAAATACTGTTAGAGCTGAACCATGGAAAAACTTTTACTAATGCTGTGATGTTTCTTCATATAGTGTGGTAAATATACACAATAAACAAATTGTGATTAACTGCAAATAAACACCCTATGTGCTTTAAATAGAGCAGCTGTGCGTGAGAAACAGAAAATAAAACTTTAGTTGAGCTTAAAGGAAATGTGAATGAAAGGGTTCTGGGGAAAATTTATATTGATTATTTAAAGATTGATGAGAGAAATTTGAGAAGCTTGAAACATTTTAAATGAATATATATATATATATTGTCTGTCTTTAAGAGAAGAAAAAAACCCTAACCCATGCCTAACTCCGCCACTGGCTGGGAACTATACTCTAATTCCAGCATAATAATCAAGGAACTTTGCTGTACCATGTTATTTTATTAGAATTCTTTATTCAATTTTGAGCGAGATGCTAATGGTCTTATACGACTTTAGCTTAGCTTAGCATAGACCATTGAATAGGATTTCACCAATAGCATTTCACTCAAAAATTACTTAAGTTTAGCTAGTTTTCTCCAGCTTGACTCCAGCGTGTCCTGGGTCTTCCCCGAGGCTTTCCCAGTGGGACATGCCTGGAACACCTCCCTAAGTAGGCGTCAAGAATGTTGTCGCTGTCCTTGCACAGAGTACTGAAATGGTACTCGCTCGTTTTAATTACATTATGGCCAATTATATTGCAGTGTAATGATGGATCAGATTGCTTCCTTGTTGAAACGGAAAGTGTGGGTTCGTTTGAATATTCACATATCTTATTTAGCAAGAAAAAATAAAGCAATACTCACGTCTCCTCGGTCATTGATGAATGAGACGGCCAACAAGTTGAAATTGAAACTGATTCCGCTGTGACGAGTAAAATGTTGTAGCCTATAGTGGTCGTGCACGCCACATCAGCACAACCCAAAAGCAGCGTCCCTCATGTTTAAATGGAAAAATTATGACATCTTTGAGACAACCTATAGTAACAACGTAGAATCCTTTTTTTTCATTCAGATTGGTACAGCATTCTCTCTCTCTCTCTCTCTCTCTGTGTGTGTGTGTGTGTGTGTGTGTATATATATATATATATATATATATACACACACACACACACACACACACACACACACACATATATATATATATATATATATATATATATATATATATATATATATATATATATATATATATATATATATATATACACACACACACACATATATATATACATGTATGTATGTGTATGTATGTATACATATACATGTACATGTATCTATCTATGCCATAATAATATATTACACACACTTTCCTACAAAATCATCCCAATAGATTTGCCAATAATTCACATTCATCATAGTCATATGAGAGTATTCACATATAAAATATTAAGCATTTGTCATCAGAGAGGAGACTTATGGCATACATGTTAATAAGCTAATTGTAAACAAACATTTTTAATATGCTCTCTGCGTGGACAAATATCAATCTTCGTTGTATATATATATATATATATATATATATATATATATATATATATATATATATATATATATATATATATATATTTATTTTTTTTTTTTTTTTTTCAGATTTTTTATACAGTTTTTTTATACATATTATTATTTTTTTTTTTTTGGCCTGTCACGAAGGCTTCAGGCTATTGTAAATGCTACAATATAAATGCAGTATATCACACATTTGGATTAAACAGTTTCTGGGCGGCATCTTCTGCTGTTGTGAGGCTTTTTTCTCATTACACTGCAAATGTCATCATTTCAACGTTTATTGTTTTGCTACTGAAGAAGGTGTAAATGGCGCACTATACTTTGAATGCAGCCTTTTTATAATCTGGTGACAAATAATTGAGCTTTAAAATTAATCTACAATCAAACGTGTGTAAATACGCATGATGCGTCACTCGTATTTCATGCTCATTTAAAGAGTAAAATCAGAGCTTACCAGAACGGTCTCCTTCGTCTTTTTATCTGAAAACTGAAAGCTGAGATTGCTCCCTCTTGTGGCAAAGAGGGGACATTATGCCAGTTATTTAATAAATTAAATAACGCCTGTACCTATCTACAACCTCAAATGTAATGTCAAAATGTGTGCAAATTACATTTAATTATTATTTATTTAATTATTAAATGAGTGCAAAACAAAATATATAAAGCATATTTTATCCTTTGAACACAGATGTCATGTCTGTTTTAAAGGTAATGGACATTTTATTATTATTATTATTAATAATAATAATAATTACTATTAGTCTATTAAAAATGTATCGGTTATTAAATAAATGAAAAGAAACCAACACAGAATGTGTAAAAATTAGCTAAACATGATCAATTTCATTTCTCAAAATGTTAAAATATCTAAAAGTTGATGACTTAATCTAATATTAAGTATACAATCATTCTTTTCTTTTCTTTGTAATTTTACATATTAATTTGCCTTTTCCCCTTGCTATTACCATTGTTTATATTGTTGTCTTGCTTCTGTGTTTTGATTTAATGTTGGCTTTTGTGACATTACATACTACCCAAATGCATGTCTTAGACTTTCGAGACAAAATGTATTCTTTGTTTATTTTTAGTTTTGAGAGTTTTAGAGTGTATCCCAAAGTCCAAAAGTGATACATTAAAAGTAGAGTACAATTTATTGACTAAATTTTATTCATATTTTTACAATGTTGGGAATGTAAAAGAATGGACCAAAATAAAAATTAAAAAAACTTGACTGAACGTTTAAATCAGAAACACGAGTTTCTGGCGCGGGGTTTAGAAGAAAGTCAGCTAATACGAATGAAAATGTGTTTGATCGTAATTATAATTAAAATAGCATTAGTATAGCGTTATTATATACAATTATTCATTGACCTGAGCAAAAATACATAGTTTAAGTTTTTGTAAAACACACAACTATTGTTTACTATTTTTATTATTGTAATACTATTGTTAAATTTACTCTAATGTTCAGTTTAGTTTTCATTAGTTTCATGAATGGGTTTCTTCGTTTCAGTTTAGTTTTTATTTTGTGAACACATTTTCATTTAGTGAACACATTTACAGAACACATCCAGGGCTGACCAGAGCAAAGTTTGCAAAGTTTACATAAACCCTTATGCACACCTCTTAGTAATAAAACAATGTAAAATAATAATTTAAACAAACAATAAACCTAAAACCACAAGTGCAATTTCAATTCAAGTAACTTCTTTATATAAAAGCTGTTTATGTGCAGTTAAACATGCCTAGTTTACATATTTTAGTAGATGAAGAAAAGATAAAACAGATGTTTTAAGTTTTTGGACATAATCGTGCTCCTGACTGAGGTTTTTGTCTGTAAAAGACAGTGACACTTGACAGTGAGTGCGATTCATCATGTGCAAATTAACTAAGCAGTCACAGGTGTCAGACTCAGTTCCAAAAGGGCCGCAGCTCTGCACAGTTTAGTTCCAACCCTAATTAAACACACCTGATCAAACTAATTGAGTCCTTCAGGCTTGTTTGAAACCTACAGGTAAGTGTGTTGGAGCAGGGTTGGAACTAAACTGTGCAGGGCTTCGGCCCTCCAGGAATTGAGTTTGACACCCCTGAACTAAGCAGTCACATTTGTGAACTTTAAATATCTACATATCCATTTGTAATTCCTGTTTATAGCAAATAACAAGCTGTATATTATGTTCATATCTGTTTGCAAATTCCTGAAAATTAGTAGCAACCTGTACAGCATGTTCACCTATTTGCAACGTTTCTCCAATCTTCTATTGTCCAGTTTTGGTGAGTCTGTGTGAATTGTAGCCTCAGTTTCCTGTTCTTAGCTGACAGGAGCGGCACCCGGTGTGCTCTTCTGCTGCTGTAGCCCATCCGCCTCAAGGTTGGCCGTGTTGTGTGTTCAGAGATGCTCTTCTGCAGAGCTCGGTTGTATCGAGTGCTTATTTGAGTTACTGTTGCCTTTCTATCAGCTGGAACCAGTCTGGCCACTGGTCAACAAGGCATTTGCACCCACAGAACTGCCGCTCACTGGATATTTCCTTTTTGTCGGACTATTCTCTGTAAACCCTAGAGATGGTTGTGCGTGAAAATCCCAGTAGATCAGCAGTTTCTGAAATACTCAGACCAGTTTAGGTTAGGTTTATGTGTGGGGTAGGATTAAGAGATCTGAAATATGTTCATACAGAACAAGACATTCATCAGTGCAGCTGTTCCCAAATAGTCAACTAATTTATAGTCGACCAGAATAGGCTTGTTTGACTCAATTTTCATTAATTGTTTAGTCACAGGGAAAAAATACACAAGTGGTGCAGTCAGTGTGCAAACTAAAAGATCTGGCAAATTCACCTATAATAATAATGTCTGGAAAAAAAAAAAATCAAAAAAGTGTGGGATCATAATCACTCCATCCCTTTCACATCTACTTTATCGGAGCATTTTAACGGTAAGGCTTCCCAACAACATATAGTTCAATGGCTTTAATGAACGATTACTGGTCGACTAAGATAATCTTTAATCGGGGACAGCCTTATTGATCAGTACTAATAAACAGCCAATGTTCTATTAATAAGCAAGTAGTTATTTGCAAGAATTGTTCTCCAAAACACAAAGCTAGCATTTTCAGAAAATTTTTGTATGTGATCCATGTGTGTTGGGATTGGGATCGAAAGGGGCCTACATATATTTATTTTTTTGAGGAACTTCAGAAGGTTTTTAAATCTGAGACAGAGACACTGAAGATTCAGGATAAACCTTAAAACCAGCATAGATCGATTCTGTAAATGTGTTGTTGAATGTGCGCAAGTGTGTGAGTGTGTTTGTGTCAGAGATGCTGTAGAAGGACAGACAGCCGGACGGCACGTCCACATACACTCCTACTCTATTACTACGAGATGGAGCAATAATATCAGTGCTCTTATTGTTGTGCCAGAAAGAGTAAATTCTGTCATAACAGTACAGACTCCAAGAATTTTCATTGCGTCCAAACCGACAGTTACTACCTCCTTTTCTATCAATTGCTTTAAAAGCCGCTGTTATAAGAACAGAGCCGCTCCATTTCACCTCCCAGTAACAGCGTCCAGTGATAGGCTCTTTACACAGAACCTGCTCCTGTTGATCAAATCTGTCGGGATGATCGGGATACGGCTGAGGATCTTTCACATGCACTGCCTTTCTGTTTCCATCAGACACTTGCAGTTGAATATGTGCTGTGTTTGGATCCAGTGTGAGAAAACAGGCATCTGAACAGAAGAAGAGAGATCACACAATGTGTGAAATCATGAATTATGCACAGACCAACTGTGAAGTATTGTCTACTTACATTTTGTCAGTCCAGGCATGATTCTGTATAATCCTCCATGGTGCAAACTGAACAAGACAAAAAAATAAATAAAAAAATACAAATAGAAAGACTTGTTGGAATGAAAATTAAAATGAGAAATTTCGCTTATGCCATTTAGGCAAATAAAAAAAAAATTCTTGTTATACACTAATTAAGAAATTTTTGCAAAAAGACAACTTCTGCTTTTGCAAAGCCCAGAAATTTAAAGAGAGTCCACTGTATAAAGCACTATAAAGAGTATATGAACATGATCATGTTTAGGGAGTTAACACTATATTATAATGTTGATATATATTATCCACAGCTTGTTCAAAATATTTGAACTGAGATTAAGAGTTACTTGAGTTTCTGCAGTGTGTAGTGTGGATCCTCCAGTGTGTGTTGGAGCAGCTGGACTCCTGATTGTCCTGGGTGATTGTAGCTCAGATCCAGCTCTCTCAGGTGTGAGGGGTTTGAACTCAGAGCTGAAGATAGAAAACCACAGCCTTCCTCTGTCACCATACAGCCAGACAACCTGCACACACAGACAGACACACGTGTCATCTACAGACATTATTACATTTTTCCTACTATGTTTCTAAGCCCCGGTCACATCGCACTTTTCGTCCCAATAATTTCCATTCATATGCATGTGAATGCACCAGAAAGAAAACAAGCTTGTGTTGAAAGTATTCCATGTTGCTGCATTCCAAAGTTTAAGCTTGATGAACTCTGACTTGCAAATTTGTGTCACGTTAATGTATAAGATCAATTGATGATCAAAATGTGACCTCCCTGAAGTGACTGCTCATTTTATCAGTATTGCATCATCTTGTTTTATCGCACCTCTTTTCACAAAACTCTGCAACAGATTTTTGTATGCTCAAACTCTACAATGAATGCAAATTTACTCACCTTAGTATATCATGATGCTCCTTAAGATACTAGACATAGACAAATATTACTACACACCTCAGTATCTCCAGCTGACAGTTTGGACTCTTCAGTCCATCAGAGAGCAGCTTCACTCCTGAATCCTGCAGGTCATTGTTACTCAGGTCCAGCTCTCTCAGGACACAGTTTGAGGATTGAAGAACTGACGACACAATTTCACAATCCTGAGCAGAGAGATTACAGCCAGCAAGACTGCAAGAAGAAAAGAAAACAACAATTAAGTTCCATACACAAACTATTTTTTAACACTAAAAGTTAACACTCACAGAGCTCTTGTGCAGTTGCTGACGGCTGGTATCAGTCTTCTTCTGCCCTCATCTGATGTGTTGAATTTCTGGAGCTCCAGCTCATCCAGCACCTCCTCTGACATCTGAAGCATGTAGGCGATTGTTGAGCAGTGAGCAGGAGAGAGTTTCTTCTCTGACTGTTTGTCTGATTTCACAAACTCCTGAATCTCTCTGGACAGAGTCTGATCTTTCACTTCCAGCAGACAGAGGAACAGATTGATGGATCTTTCAGTGGAGAGTCCATGTCCATCTCTGATCTTCTCTTTAATGTACTGTGTGCTTCTCCTGATGCTCTCTGAGCTCTTCTCTGTGTGTGTCAGTAGATCCTGGAAGAGTCTCTGATTGGACTCCAGTGAGACGCCCAGCAGGAACCGCAGAAACAGATCCAGATGACCATTCTCACTCTCAATGGCTTTATCTACTGCATTCTTATGCAGATCATGCATCACATCACAAAATTGCAACGTGTCCACATTTTTCATTACATAATAATAAAACACATAGAAAGCAGCGAGGAACTCCTGAACACTCAGATGGATGAAGCTGTAGACTTTCCTCTGCTGAATCACAGATTCCTCCTTAAAGATCTCGGTGCAAATCCCAGAATACACTGAGGTGTCAGAGACGTCTACGCCGCTCTCAATCAGGTCCTCCTCATAGAACATCACATTGCCCTTCATCAGCTGTCTGAAAGCCACTTCAGCAAGTTTGACAATCACTTCTCTGTTGGACTGCAGGAGTTTCTCTGGATCTCTCTCTTCATACTTCTGATTCCTCATGTTGATCTGAATCAGCAGGAAGTGGATGTACATTTCAGTCAGAGTTTGAGGGATTTCTGCACTCAGATCTTCTTCCAGGAGCTTCTGAAGCACAGTGGATGAGATCCAGCAGAAGACGGGTATGTGGCACATGATGTGGAGGCTTCTTGCTCTTCTGATGTGTGAGATGATTCTGCTGGCTTGATGCTGCTCACTGATTCTCTTCCTGAAATATTCCTCCTTCTGAGGCTCAGTGAATCCCTGAATTTCTGTCAGACGCTTGATGTATTTGGAGGGGATCTGATTGGCTGCTGCTGGTCTGGAGGTGATCCAGATGAGAGCAGAGGGAAGCAGCTCTCCTTTCATCAGCTTTGACATCAACACAGCCACTGATGAAGTCTCAGTCACATCACAAACTTTCTGAGCGTCTGAAAACATCAGTGTGATTCTGCTTTCATCCAGACCATCAAAGATGAACACAACTTTACACTCCTCATAAATCTTGGGCTCCAGATCTTCAAGTTCAGGATGAAAGTCCAGCAGAAGTGTGTGAAGACTGTACTGATGATCTCTGATCAAGTTCAGCTCTCGAAATGGAAGCACAAACATGAAATCTACATCCTGATTGGCTTTTCCCTCGGCCCAGTCCAGAATGAACTTCTGCACAGAGACGGTTTTTCCGATTCCAGCGATGCCTTTAGTAAGAACAGTCTTGATTTGCTCTTTCTCCTCTTTAAAGATGTCATTGCAGTAGATTGGAGTGTGTTGGGAGTGTTTTGTTCTGGCTGTTTTCTCCATCTGTAAAACCTCATGTTCTTCATTCACTCCTGCACTCTCTCCCTCTATGATGTACAGCTGGGTGTAGATGCGGTTCAGGAGGGTTTGGTTTTCTTGGAGTCTGTTTCCCTCAAATAATCTCTCATATTTGTTCTTCATGCTGGTTTTGTGCTGGTCTTTGACTAGCTGCAGGTCTCCAGTCTCCAGTGCGTTTGTTTCAGTATTCTCCTGTGTAATGAGAGTCTGATAGTTGGATGTAGAGTATGGCACTGGTGTGATCAGCTCATGTTTCTTTTTTCTCCTGAATAAAATAAAAAGTAAATATTTTACATGATTTTCAATTTGTGAATATTCTGAGTAGTATTAAGTGTTAATTAATTTGGATTTCAAAACAGTTACTAATCTGAATTGTCCTACAGTATGCAAAAAATATTATATTAAGTGAAACTAACTGAGGGTCAGAGGTCACTGGTTCATCACTCAATTGAGGGGGAAAATTCATAGACCAGTTACTCTTCAGAGAAACACCACTGGGTTCTGGAGACTCTGATCTCGGTGTCTTCCTCCTGATTACACTGACAAAAGAAATAAAACAGCATTTTAGACACATCTAAGGCCTTTAGTTTACAAATATTTGCCAAATAAAAAACCTTTTACACATCATTCATCTTTCAAGTACATGTAAACTATTTTTCTCCTCCCTTGACAGTCCACATACCCAAAACATAACATATAAATATATTTAAAAAACAAAATAAAAGTAAAAATGTCTTCCCCAAACCTTAATCAAATCTAAATTAAATAATCAATTAGATTATATTCAGGATGCATTTTTACTCTTATGGGTAATAAAACTTTGGTCCAGTCATCAGATTGACAGAAATCTCTAATGTGTTTTATTTTATGGCATGTTCAGCAAGATAAATGACTATAATACTGAATCTTAGACAATGTCATAATTACCCAGAATCATAATTGATGCAAGCAGTGACGTCATATTTAAATATTATGTGGGCACTAACAGGCAGAAAATTATATTAAAAAAATTAAATTAAATTAAATTAAAAGAGGATAAGGTTGCTAAAAAATGCCAGTAACAAGCCCTTAGTATTTTCACACCACATTCAATAAAGCTTTGTGGCTGTTTACACCTGGGGTTCGTTCTTTGTACCTCGCTTAAATGATCTAAGATGACTTGGCAGATCCTGGATCTGTTCATATTGATGACTGATCTCTGGCTAATTTGGTTCTTCAAACAAGTTCGTGAATCAGATTAGAATGTCTGGATGAACTGATCTGAGATCGCTGAGTGTGTTATAAAGGTCAGATCTATCCATTCTCGAAATCATGATCAGCAATACAATGATTGGCTGACGGCACAGCAGCGTAATGACATCATCTGATTAATATTCAATTACCATGCAAGCAGAATTACATCAAATTCATAGGAAACGATTTGTTAAATATGATGCGCAATAACTTTCTATCTTTGTTGTGGGCTGCCTCAAATAATCTCTCATATTTATTCTTCATGCTGGTTTTGTGCTGGTCTTTGACTAGCTGCAGGTCTCCAGTCTCCAGTGTGTGTGCATTAGTATTGTACTGTGTAATGCGAGTCTGATAGCTGGATGAAGTGTGGGGCACTGATGTGATCAGCTCATGTTTCTTTTTCCTCCTGAATAAAATTAAATTAAATATTTTACACAATTTTCAATTTGTGAATATTTTGAGGTGTATCTATGTTAAGTGGGATTTTAAAACGGTTACTAATCTTAGTTGTCCTACAGTGTGTAAAAATATTATATAAATGCATACTAACTGAGGGTCAGAGGTCACTGGTTCATCACTCAATTGAGGGGGAAAATTCATAGACCAGTTACTCTTCAGAGAAACACCACTGGGTTCTGGAGACTCTGATCTCGGTGTCTTCCTCCTGATTACACTGACAAAAGAAATAAAACAGCATTTTAGACACATCTAAGGCCTTTAGTTTACAAATATTTGCCAAATAAAAAACCTTTTACACATCATTCATCTTTCAAGTACATGTAAACTATTTTTCTCCTCCCTTGACAGTCCACATACCCAAAACATAACATATAAATATATTTAAAAAACAAAATAAAAGTAAAAATGTCTTCCCCAAACCTTAATCAAATCTAAATTAAATAATCAATTAGATTATATTCAGGATGCATTTTTACTCTTATGGGTAATAAAACTTTGGTCCAGTCATCAGATTGACAGAAATCTCTAATGTGTTTTATTTTATGGCATGTTCAGCAAGATAAATGACTATAATACTGAATCTTAGACAATGTCATAATTACCCAGAATCATAATTGATGCAAGCAGTGACGTCATATTTAAATATTATGTGGGCACTAACAGGCAGAAAATTATATTAAAAAAATTAAATTAAATTAAATTAAAAGAGGATAAGGTTGCTAAAAAATGCCAGTAACAAGCCCTTAGTATTTTCACACCACATTCAATAAAGCTTTGTGGCTGTTTACACCTGGGGTTCGTTCTTTGTACCTCGCTTAAATGATCTAAGATGACTTGGCAGATCCTGGATCTGTTCATATTGATGACTGATCTCTGGCTAATTTGGTTCTTCAAACAAGTTCGTGAATCAGATTAGAATGTCTGGATGAACTGATCTGAGATCGCTGAGTGTGTTATAAAGGTCAGATCTATCCATTCTCGAAATCATGATCAGCAATACAATGATTGGCTGACGGCACAGCAGCGTAATGACATCATCTGATTAATATTCAATTACCATGCAAGCAGAATTACATCAAATTCATAGGAAACGATTTGTTAAATATGATGCGCAATAACTTTCTATCTTTGTTGTGGGCTGCAGGCTTTACATGTGTCAAGAGTGTTTAGTTATTTATTTAGTTTTACATTTAGACCGGATTTTCTTTATTATAGTAGTCTATGCCTATTTAAGTTTCTTAATTGGTGTAAAGAATAACTGGCCGTTCAAATTAATTTTGCATCAAAAACGTATTTTGATATTGGTAAAGGTGTCTGCAACTTTTGCAAAGTATCAAATTACCGTCATATTAGTGGTCAAAACATGTTAGTTTATGATTGCAGAAAATATTATTTCTTAAAAAAAGAAAAAGTTGAATATATTGTGCATGTCTATTACTATACATGTACTGAAGCTGATATGGTACTGTAAAAATAGTACTCATTTGTGTCTAAAAAGTCCATATTAATAAATGTTTTCTTTGAACCCTTTTGGGAGAACCACCACGTGACTTCTTTTATAATTATATTTATACTATATTTTTTTAAAATATAAACATATATATGTGTGTGTACATATATATATATATATATATATATATATATATTTATATCTGTGTGTGTGTGTGTGTGTGTGTATATATATATATATATATATATATATATATATATATATATATATATGTGTGTGTGTGTGTGTGTGTGTGTGTGTGTGTGTGTGTGTGTGTGTGTGTGTGTATATATATATATATATATATATATATATATATATATATATATATATATATATATATATATATATATGTGTGTATAAACAGGTTTGAGCTACCAGACCTGATGTTGTGACAACAACTCTCGAATTAGTTTTGAAGAACGAAACGATCCTGGATCATGTCAAATCGACAACAATTCCAATTCCAAATCCAGCTAATTGAGTAATCCACGTACAAAGAACAGACCCCTGATCACTTCATGTGTTGTTTTGTGATTGGATAGCCATCCAATACTGATATGTACAGGTGTAAATGCCCTCCGAAACACATTCGAAATGGATATAAAACAAGACAAGTCTAAATGCATCCGGTTGTTGAAACCACATATATAAATTTTACTCCTCTCAAAAAAAAAGTAAAAAATAATAATAATAAAAATATGTGAGAGTGCTCATTTATGGGAGATATGACCATCAGATATACAGGTGCAAATGCATAAGCAATGGCAGGTCACAGCTGACAGTTGTTTGCTCCATTTTGCAGCATTAACAACAGACACAGCACATGTCTGTAGACTATCCTTATGAAAAGAATGGTAAATATGCCATATTGTTTATTTACAAAGGCAAAATAAATGTTGGGGGGAGGGGGAGTGTATGTCGTACACAATAATACGTTTTGAATAATGCCCTGAACATATCTGTTTGACAAAAATAGAGGTTTCATTCAGACTTAAGGACAGCAATTGTGGAGACTGCCTTGGGCTCCTAAGATGATGATTTGCATGTTTAATTGATGTTTAGCCTGGATCTAAAATAATTTGCATGCCAAATAAGATATATATGTGGAAGACTGTTTCTGTCTAATACAAAAAACAAACAAAAAAATCATACTTAAAGTCAAATCCATGACTTAAACTAAATTTAGACTAAAAAGTCTAAATTATTACCTAAACACTCAAAATTACAAGATACAAGATTAAACATTACGACATTACGACCTAGCAGAAAAGAAATTATGAGCTGAAGTTGAAATTATAATATACCAAGTTAAAATTAAGACTTAATTAGTTAATTAGACTTTTTAAGGTTTTGGAAATTACGTTGTTAAACAAATAGGTGGCATCTAAACCATCTAAATGTGTCACTTCATTAATCCTTTAAAAATTATTAATCTAATTAAGCATGGAAACATTATAAGGGAGTTATTATATTACTAATGAAAATAAAAATATTACATTCAATCGTATAATACAAAGTAGTGTAAAAAAGTGTTTTTCCCCCTGGCTGATTTCTTTTTTTTTTTTTTTATGTTTGTCACTGTTTCACATCATCAAACAAATTTATATACAAGTCAAAGATAACAAGTAAACGCATCGTGCAGTTTTGAAATGAAGGTAAAAAAAAATCCAAAACTATATACCCCAGTGTGAAAAAGTGTTAACTCCGGTTTATCAAAGTTTTCTAGCTATACCCAGCAGATCTGTTTACTGCCACAAAAAATATAAATAAATAAAATAAAAATAAAAAAAATCTGTAAGGGGGTAAACACTTTTTACAACACGCTATTAAATTTTTTTATTCTCTGTGAAAAGTGACTACCTTCAAACTTCTCAGTAAATGCTGAAATGACCAGTGTCTTACCGGGGGGCTGAGTTCACTGATTCATCATTGAGGGAAGAAGGATCTTCGTCCATGAGCCGATCATTCTTCACAGACACACAGCTTGATCCAGGAGATGCAGAACTCATTTCATAGCCAGCGTCCTCATCTTCTCTCTTCCTTTGACTCATTTTAGTGTTCACCTTCGGTCATTTACTGAAAGAATATTGAGACACTGATTTTAGAAGCATTATATTTGGAAATTCATCTCTTGGCACAATGCTACAACCTAATGTGACACTAGAGTTTAATAATTAGCAACCCCATATAAAGAAGGAAGTTTAAAAAGGTTAATATAATAGTAATAATAGTAATAATAACAATTATTATAATAATAACATTAAAGTTTAATTTAGAACTCATTTGCGCCAAAACAGTTGGTTAGTTGAGGGTTTTTAATCCATGCTCTTTTATTTCCAATTGATTACACTGTGCTGTTTTTTCTCATTTTAAGTTTTTTTATATTTAACAAAACATTGTAAAAGAAGCCGTCTACTCAAAACAACTTCTGGTCATGCAAACATTGCCATCAATACTTTTATTTAAACTGAAGCAAACAAACAGGAACAAATGGAAAAAAAAAATTTGGTGAAACCAAAATATGCCTAATAATAAATCGTAGAAGAGATTTTAATGATTATTATATTATTGCTTATAAAAAAGCGCAAAAAACTTAATTAAACGACTTTTACAGGAAAATTATACATATAGAAAATATTTTTTGTTTATGGAAAATACATTTCTTTATTTACACCTACACAGCTAAAGTTCAAAAGTCTGTGATACAGTGCGTGCAATTGAAGAACAGTTGGTTTTACATTCGCACATTAATTCAGAGACAACCTGTGAAACGCTCTCTATTGTTTACTATGGTACTTTGAATATTCGTCTTAAAATCGCAAGTATGACTTCAAAACATTAGCACTGTTTATTTGACTGTGAACAGTGTTTTGATAGTCATAGGCCGCTAATGTATAAATTATACATTATAATTTAATTATAATTTCACTATTTGTAATTTGCAAAAAAAAAAAAATGCATTACTGTAAACGAAATTATTAATATAATTCAGAAAAAAAGTCCGAGCTTGTTATATTACACATTACACAAATAAATGTCGAGTACACTTCCGCCATTTTGATTAAGTTTGCAGTAAGGAATAACTACGCAGCTAAATGATTCGCATTTTAAATCCCATGAAAAGACAAGAAATCAGCACATTTTCATTTGACGTAGACATGAAGAATAGGCTATTTGAACTTACCTCAAAATGTGTGTCCTTTCAAGTTTAGTGAGGTTAATAATACGTGTAAAGACACGGAATGTCGTCGTTTTACTCTCTATTTCACTTCTTCACCTGGTTGAGGTGTGTCGTCTTTATTTTTAAACAAACTAAAATAAAACTAAACTGCTCCCTCTAGCGGTGCAGAGCATCATCACAGGTTAAACAGCACTGCATTGCTCGCATGACGTTACGCGAAATGGTAAAGTTAAACCACATACCTTGGGATTTTTCAGTATTACAGTACGCTATTGGTACGCATGTTTTCAATATAAAACAAAGTCAGTGGGATAAAAACATTGCATAAACACGATGGACAACACTTTCATTTTTGATTTAGTTTGCAGTAACTACGCAGCTAATTCGCATTTTTAGTAAAGGTACATGAAGAATGGGCTATTTAAACTTACCTCAAAATGTGTATCCGTTCAAGTTTACTGAGGTTAATAATACACGTAAAGATACGGAGTCTCGTCTTCTACCATTTTCTCTTTCACTTCTTCACCTGGTTGAGGTGTGTCGTCGTTATTTTTGAACAGGGTGAAATCAAGCTAAACTGCTCCCTCTAGCAGAGCATCACATGTTTACGGAGACCCTGAAGAGACGAGCGTGACTATGGTGGAAAAACTGGGTGGGAGGAAAATGTACATTTTAAAGTTTTTGCGTTCCCTCGCAAAGATGTTTCGCCATGTTTTTGCTAGAACTCATACAGCTTCTTTCGTTTACTTGTTTATGTAAAAGCACTTAGAATTACCATTGTGTATGAAAGGTGCTATACAGCCTATAAACTTGCCTGGGAGACTGCAGTGTTTAGTGTCCTCATTAGAGTAACTGCCTTCCATAACAAATCTGATGGTTCATTCACTGCCCTCTTTAGTGCTCACTTGTCAAATCCTGAGGATTACTTAAAAGTACAATTTTAGTTAAGTTATTTGTGCTCCCTTTAAAAACAGCTCTTGAGAAATTTGGTTTAATGTCCATATAAAAAGCAGCCTCTATTTCCTCTGAGATTAAGGCTCAAAATGTGTGTAAGTTCAAGTTTACTGAGGTTAATAATACGTGTATAGCCACGGAACGTCGTCTTCTATTCTCTTTCACCTTCTTGAGGTGTCTTCATTTTTAAACCGGGTATGCAACGAAAACTGAATTGCTCCCTCTGGTGGCGCAGACCATCATCACAGGTTGAACAGCACTGCAGCGCTGGCATCTCCTTCAAAAAGTATTCACAACACGTGCAGCTTCCTTGCAATGTGAATTAGAACAGATATTACATAAGAAAATAGTCCCATACCTCTTTACTGACTGGTCCCCCAAAATGTTCTTGATCGACTAGACAATTGTTTTCTGCAGTGTTGTTTTAAAGCATGGGTCTCAAACTGGATTCCTGGAGGGCCGCAGCTCTGCACAGTTTGCTCCAACCCTAATCAAACACAGCTGATCAATTAATTAAGGTGTTCAAGACTACTAGAGACTATTGAGCAGGTGTGAGTCGGAGCTAAACTTTGCAGAACTGCGACCCTCAAGGAATTGAGTTTGAGACCACTGTTTTAAAGCAATATTTTAATCTGATCTGATGTTTACTAGTATACTTTAAGTGCTGCAACATATTAAGGCAAATATTTTGTCAGAATATTACATATTTGTGTTTTATTTTGAATGAAAGCACACATTTACCTGAGCTGATGACATTTTGACAAAGTACAAAAATACAAACATATTTATAATATAAAAACTTAAACTTGCTGTTTAGAAATTGAACAGAATAAATCAATTGTTTTAAAAGACAGCTTTGGCTAAATATTTGAAAGAAAATAGTATTAAATAAAATCTTAAAACAAAATGTGTTGCAGAATACTGAATTTGAATAGGAATAATAATAATAATAAAGATAAAGTGATTTAACAGTTTCTCTATCAACAATTTCACACAATGAATGTACAATTAATGACAAAAAGTTTTATCCACTGGTGTTATTTTTCTGTGTCACCTGTGATTGAATGTTGCATAGATTGCACATCTGAAGCCAATTCACTTACACATAAGGGAAAAATCTTTGTAGATGCAAAATAAAAGTCTTCTGCAAATATAAACCAAGGCAAGGCGAGTTTATTTACATAGCACTGTAATTCAAAGTGCTTTACATCAATGATAATATAGAAACAAGTATAAGAAATAAAAGCAAAAAATAAATAAAAAATCAATATAAACAGATTAAAATGTTATAAGCAGGTTATAAATGACTGAAAAAAGAAAAGAAAGACATAAAAGTGTGATCTGTGGGCTGTTGCACAGTGCTCATTCAGTAAAGGCACAGTTAAACAGATGTGTGATCAGTCTTGTTGTGAATGTGCTTCATGTCTTTAATGTGTGTGTGTGTGTGTGTGTGTGTGTGTGTGTGTGTGTGTGTGTGTGTGTGTGTGTGTGTGTGTGTGTGTTAAATCTAGCACAAAGACACTGCAGATTCAGGATAAACTCTGAATCCAGCATAAAGGGGTTCAGTGAATGTGGTGTTGATTGTATATAAGTGTGTGAGTGTGTGTGTTTTAGAGATGCTGTAGAAGGACAGAGAGCCGGACGGCACGTCCACATACACCCCTACTCTATTAGACTGGGGTGAAGGAGTGGCAATGTTTGTGCTCTTATTATTGTGCCAGACAATGTAAATATTCTCACAACAATAGAGACTCCAGGAGTTTTCATTGAGTCCAAACCGACAGTCGCTTCCTCCTTTCCTGCTGTTTCCTCTGTAGGCCACTGCTATATAGGTCGATCCCCTCCATTCAACTTCCCAGTAACAGCGTCCAGTCAGAGTCTCTCTACACAGAACCTGCTCGTGGTGCTCGAATCTGTCTGGGTGATCAGGATACAACTGAAGATCTTTTATATGTGTTGTTCTTCTGTTCCCGTCAGACAAGACCAGATGACTGTGTGCTGTGTTTGGATCCAGTGTGAGAAAACAGGCATCTGTACACAAAAAGAGTCAGAGTTTCTATTTTGACCTGTGTTAATGCACATTTTGAAGTATGCATTGAATCAAGTGATGGAAAGGCAAAATTTCGAGGGAATAAACCCTTAAATTACTTTACAAAATTGTAACATTAAGTTTTTTTTTAAGTAAATACAAATAATGACATGATTTTTGTGTGTGTGTTTCTGTTAAATTATAGGACCCAAATTAATATACGGGTATGATACAGGTATTACTGGAACAGGTGACAGGTGATATTGCACATGTTCCCATTTTTAAAAGGTTTATAAATCATGTAGAATGAGTTTATATTTTTAGAAAGTAAAAGTGCAAAACTTTCCCTGTAAATAATGCAAACCTGTGGAATATATCTTTTGGAGTAGTGTGTGTGACTTACATTTTCTCAGTCCTAATGTGATCCTGAAGTGTCCTCCACCATCTAAACTAAATGGAAACAAAAACAATGGTAAATAGTACAACATGGTTTTTCAGTAGTAGATATAACCATACTATTTTTGAAGAAAAACCTAAACTTGAAAATTAAATGTTAAGTTTAGTAGCTTTTAATACATTAGCCTTGAGGTTGTAACACCAGCCTTTAAAATTATCCACAGATGAGCAGCCACATCTGCATTTCAATGAGCCGTGCATATTAAGTCAGCCTGATGCAGTCACTCATTAAGGTTTGCAATGTGGAGGGTTTCCAGCCGGTGGCTCAGGGTTGTGGTCAAAGACATAGGATCAGATTCCTTAACATTTTTACTAACATAATTTACTATCTTTTGGCATGCAAGCTTTAGTGATTTAATAGACATGTAGAGAAGAATTAGTGCTGAAAACACATTGACAATGATTTTTGAACCTGACCCTATATGCATGTCATGTGATTTACTAATATTTGTCTCACTGAAATTACAGGCATTTGCACCAGATACACAAACAATCTTAAATTCTTTACTTTACACTACAGGAGTCACCCCAGAGAGCACATGGTAGGGTCAACAGAATGACCTAGATATTCAGATTTTTATGGTTAGTGTTGTTTTTTTCAGCTCCATTTTCAGTGTCCAGTGATACCATCCTAATCAAAGTTAATCAAGCTCATCATATAATAAAATTACCATCCATTTTTGTAATTAGCAGAGTCATGGAAAATAAGGCAAATGAGCCATTCCTTCATCTGTGCAATCCGACTTCCTCAGACAGCATGAGATCAGTTTTCAAAACATACAACGCATAGACTAATTCATAAATACAGCAGGGAAGCTGGGAGACGCTGAGAAAAACATCATTAAAAATCCCAAGATGTCCTTCGAAAAAGAGTTAAAAAGTTTAACTGCCCACTGGCCTCGGTCCATAATGTCCTCCTGACCCTCCCCATATCATAATTGGCTTCATCACTCTGTTTCCTCTCCACCAATCAGCTGGTGTGTGGTGCGCTAAATGGCTGCCGTCACGTCATCCAGGTGGATGCTGCACACTGGTGGTGGATGAGGAGATTCTTCCCATTGTGTAAAGCGCTTTGAGTGCCCAGGAAAGCGCTATATAAATGTAAGGAATTAATCTAGAACACAATAACATAAAATGTTATGAAATATTTATAGCTGATGTTGTGAAAATGCGACTGTCACATGAAAAAAGCTGAAATGTATAGAGGTCCGATGCATTACGGAAAAAGTGATGTCAAATGATGCATTCCAGCTAAGGTCGGAGTTGCTCAATCTGCCACGAGTTCAAAGGGCAGATGTCTGTCTTCTAGCAGCATTCCAGATGTAATATCCAAGTACGAAGACCAATTCATGCCTGATTCACACAGGGCTTCAGCCTCAGCGCTTGACTGAAGGCGTGTCTGAAGTTGAGGCTGACGCGATCGTCATAGCAGCATCAGCCAATGAAATTAGTCAGCAATAAGCCACTGTCTAGCTGGTGTATTTGCATACAGCGATCTGATTGGCTGACGCTTCCGTCGGCACTTGAAAAGTTGAGAAAGTCCCAACTTCTGCAGCGAGCAACATCACTGAAGCGGTGCCGACGGATCCACAATGCAGTTCTGCAATGCCTGACGTCACTAACTCAAAGTGAATGAGAAGTGTTGACACTGATGTCCTGTGTGAATGGGGCGCCAGAGTT